TACAAACGTAGGGTATTAGGGATACAGACTGAAAATCAAAGCTTAAATTACGAGAACAGTTGCAACGTTCTGGCATATATGGTAGTTTGCAAATTAATAGCTGGAGACTCCAGCTTGATGATGAGAGCCTCAGCTATGGCCAGTCTTGTGGCGTCAGGGCATCTCATGCCGATGCTGGTGCAGGCCTCGCTGGTTTGGTATATTTAATATAATATTTAGTATAATAACTTATATATTTATTATAATAATAATATATTTAATATAATAATATTTCTCTCTGGCGTGGTCACATAAAAAAAGTACGTTTCCGATAGACATTTTGATACGTAAACATCGTTGCATTAAATGTCTTATTAATATCTTTTATATCAAAGTTCTTTGGAAACCGGCTTTTTGATCTGCTCACCATCGCGAGAAATATCGTTCAATTCATTTAATAAACAAAGAAGAAAATTGTTAATATATTTCATCCTTTCGTCCTGGTCTTCAGTGGAACATGTATGAAGAAAAACCTTATGCTAAACTATATCAATATAAGCTATAATATATTCTATAGCATAATAGTTAGTTAAAATGGAGGTCATTGCTATTCATAACTTCTTTGTAGTTTAGTTGTTCCAGCTGTCCAATATAATTAGTAAAAGAGTTTTGTAAAATACGGTAACGAGTTTCGCTGATCGCTGAGCATATGTAGTTGGTTCAAAAACTGAAATTCGAATTTTAATTGATGCAGATAAGTTTACACTTAAAAATATACATTTTAAGATATTTTACAAAGAGTTAATTTGGAGCTCAATATTATGTAGAATATGTGTATATGTGCATTTGAGCGCATCTTTGTTCAATTAACATCAAGTACGTTTATTATTTTCGGATCCGGGATTAGGAGATTAGAAAATTTCAGAAATTCTGGAGCCCCGTTAATGCCAGGCTAAGCTGCTATAATTAGTTAATAGTATAATCCATCATACATTGTTATGCATAGTCATTAGTTAGTGATCATATAATATAAGTATTTAGTTTAGCTAGATTTGATTGAGGTACAACGATTCATGCTGATTATATTTGGCAGCACTTAATTCAATGAATTTCTATTTAATCAGTTATTAACTAATCAGATAAAAATTCGTTCTTCCAAACAATATAATATTTCGTTCTTCAGTTTTATCGCAAATGTTTTCTTATTTCTTGTTTATATAGGGAGTACGTAGCATCTAGTTGAAGTCGTTCCAGCCGTTAATATCTTGTTCATTTGGTCCACGATAGAAAGTCGCCACATAACGTATTCATTTATCATGAAAAGCAGCGTATACTTTTCCCCTGACATTTCCTAGAACCAATTTGCATGCATGGCTCAATTGTTCTCCGGAAATTGAAAAAAACTTTTCATCTGCTAGTAAACAAATTTGTTTCATAAGAAGTTGCCGTTTGAATATATTTTGAATGTCATATGCTACTTGGAGGCAATTTCTTTCATATTTTATGATAAAATAAGAGCCAACTCATCTCAAGAGAACGATTCTTCAGCGTAGAGCAAAGTGTCGCGTGTTGCCATGGTGATGGTGGCGTGACAGTTGCCATGACAACGAGCCTCTTTGTTGTGAAGTCGTCACTCGTCAGATGCAACTCTGATGTTTGCATTATTCAGTCACGTGTTCATGTGCTCTCTGAGTAATAACAAGGGACGTTCTTGTATGACGTTTCAAAAATACATATGGCATACCATAACATATAACGTGAACCCAATCTGTCTTTCCTTGCGTAACTATTACTTTCATCGTAAAAAATGTGTATTTTTGTATTCATGTGTTTTATTTTACTGTCTAGCATCATGGATAAATATCCTAGAAATATCTTGCGGGAGAGGAGCAGGCTGCGAGTTCGAGCATTCGGAAGCTCAATATACAATTTATTCCCCTGAGGCGTTGAGGGTGGTACTTCAGCATGACCTTGGGTGGTGCTCAAAAACCAACCTAGTATCTAGCAGTATTACTAGCATGACAGGCATATTACATAATGTATAAATCTGAATTCACTGCAGTATACATAATATTACAGTATCATAATTCTCAACAAAGACCAATAGCTAAACTTGACACAAGCAACGACGAATTACGGTAAAGTTTTGTTAATTTTATGATATTTTTGAAAATATAATGTCATAGTTTTTTTACAGTTGAAAAGGCTGAAAGCGATCATTGTTATTTGATCATCCTCAAAATACACGCTCATTAGACATCAATGGACCACGATGGGATCAAGTGAGTACCCACTAACTATAATTATTTAATTTTGAATAAAATATTTTATTTTAAAATAACTACTTGTCCGAATACGCATAAATTGTAAATTTTTAGAATATGTTTTATATTGTTATTTTACGTGAAAAGCTCGTTTTGTAGCCAAATTTGTTAATTATGTTTGTTGCGGTGGGAACTCTTTCCTAGAGCTGCGGTGCTGCAAGCTGTGCACCAATGCTGCAGTGCTGTGCAGAAGCTGCTGCAAGACACCTCTGCTGCGCTGACACAGACTCCTGGTAAACTCAACTTATCAAATATTTAAATATAAATAGATTGTACGACTGAATCTGATTGTACGACAGGATTTGATTGTACGACTGGATCTGATTGTACGACTGAATCTGAATGTACGACTGAATCTGATTGTACGACTGAATCTGATTGTACGACTGAATCTGATTTTACGACTGAATCTGATTGTACGACTGAATCTGATTGTACGACTGAATCTGATTGTACGACTGGATTTGATTGTACGACTGAGTTCATCATCTGTATTAAGAAGCGGAGAATGCAACAATATCATTACTGATTATAAGAATACTTACTATGACCACTTACATCTCCAGGCTATAGAACGCAAGCCTCTCTAAAGTGTAGTAATCTTGAGACTTTTTGTTCAACACAATGATGAAATGACTGAATTTATGTGGAATTGTTGAGGTGTTTAATCAAGTCACAAATATCTTAACTTTTATGCTTGATTATGTCATCCAATATTTGTTATTACCAATATCGTAGAGTAGGTAAACAATAAAATAAAAAATCGAAGTCAGAAAAAATTGCATGGCTGACATTTCGCATAAAATCACTAAATGTTTTTTTATGTTATCTTTCTCATCAAACAATTTAGAGATAAAATCAATTGAGCATAAGATGTCTAAATTATTACTGTTGTCCCTTCGTTCATCAGAATCTTCAGCTAGTAGTAGCATGAGCTTTCAACATTTTATAAAAAATTTGATGAGTTCTTGTGTGGTGGCCCAGTGGTTACTGTTCAGAGTACCAGGATTGGCGCAGAGAGGCGCGGGTTCGATCCCAGCTCTGTGCGCCAGTTTCTGGTCAGAATCGGCAAGGAGGCCGGGCGGTTAAGCACAGCAGAATTGTAGCAGTGAGTTGCGAGTTCGGGACCGCAACAAGCTGTGAATGTTCTGCGATGTTAAGAATCGGCGACAGGCCTACGGGCTAATAAACGCTAAAACCGCTATTATTTTATATTATTATTGTGTCAGAATTTTCTGTGGGATCGCTGTTGCTACGGCAGCTGCGACGACAGGCCGAACAGCTGCGGCAGCGCCTGCAGTTCAGCGCCAGGCTGGAATATCTCTACGCCTCGACGCTCGCCAGCCGCTCCGTCGCTCAGGCGGTGACTACAGTATTCCTTCATTGTTTCACTCATTTAATATATGCATATTTTTTCCCTTCATTTTCATATATGTCTATTCTAATACGCAGAGGTGGGCAGTAGCGCGCTACATTTTCAGTAGCGGTAGCGGTAGCGGCTCTACATTTAAGGCAATGTAGCGGTAGCGGTATAGCGCCCGCTACATATTTAAGTAGCAATACGAGGTTTTGCCGCTACAGCGCTACCGCTACATTTATAGATAAAGCCTTTAGATTTTACTTAAGGGGACCGGCTACCCTCCAACGCAACTTTTTTGTTTACAGACAGATCGTTTCGTTTTAAAACTTGGTACACATATGTAAAACAGAAATCTAAGACCTTTTTGTTCATGTAAATGTAAAAAATGAAAGAAAACGTGGAATTAATAGAAAACGGAAAATAAAAGGTACTCTAAAAAAGTTTATAACTTTTGCAAATCATATGCTACAATGTCGAGGCACATATCATTCGATTTGTAACAACAATATCTAGCGACTGTAGAGCCCCGATTTTTTATTTTCCTCGACGTTTTTTTCGCGTTCTTCCCATTTTTCACATTTTTACCCCCCCCCCCACCTTCCTCCCCCTCCCATATATAAGTCAAACCATGCACATATTAAAAAATCCATTGTAGCGGCTAATGTAGCGCGCTACAATTTACTGTAGCGGTAGCGGTAGCGCCCGTTACAATCTAGTGGGTGTAGCGGTAGCGGTAGCGCCCGCTACATTTAGAGCATGTAGCGGTAGCGGTAGCGCCGCTACATTTCCAAGTAGCGCTGCCCAGCTCTGCTAATACGTTCCAGTTACCGGATACTTTATAACGTTCAAGTGATTGTTAGAATTTAAGTTAATTATATTTTTAAGCAATGTTTATAAAAAAGTTCGTGTGATTGAACTTTTAGTTGCATCTTACAATTATAAAGTTATAATACAGTAGGTGCGCAAATTGAGTAAAAGAGTTAATCTAAGATATATTTGAAATTTTAAATTCAAAGCTCATATGATAATTAAATTTATTTTATATTAAAAGTACGTCTAAGATATTTTCAAGCCAGGTATCGTCCTTAAACTATATTAATTGTTCGGAGCATTCACTATCAAGATTATGTAATGATTTTCTTAATTACGTCTGCAGTAATCGTATGTGGTCTACCAAGTGAGCTCAGACGGTATATAAAATTACTACTTTACTTTTCCTCTATTCCAGGAATTTAACAGCGCTGCGGTTTCGCTGGAATTGCAGGTGCAGGAAGCAAGAAGAAAGTTGCAGGAGGACAAGTCGTCAGGATTACTGAAGCTGCAGACTAGTAGGGACCTCCTACAAAAGCTGGATGACGAAGGAAAGACAAGCGTCAGCCGTCTAAGGTGATTAATAATCTTATGATAATAATTTGGAGTACCTACCAAGATTGGAACAGAAAGGTACGGGTACAATCCCACCTCTGTGCGACAGTTTCTAGCGAGAATCAGCGAGGAGGCAGGGTGGTTAAGCGCAGCAAAATCAGAGCAGTGAGTTGCATGTTCGAGACCCGCAACAAGCTGTGAATGTTCTACGATGTTAAGAATTAGCGAACGGCCAAATTAACGCTGAAACCGCTATTATTATTATTGATTGATATTGTAGAAATAGAAAATATTATTTTCATTGATGTATAAAGCAAATTACTGACATTTTTTTCAGTACAATGTTTCTTTTCACTATATTTTCCCTCTGCGCGTAGGTGCGTCTCGGCAGCTGAACAGGAAGAAGTCAGGAGTCTCGGCAATGCTCGACTGCTGCAGTTAAAAGAGGAGCTGGCTGCAGCTGAGGATCTGCAGTCAGAGCTCGAAAAGAAACATAAAGAAATTGAAGCTGATATGAGGCAGAAAAGGTAATGAATTTTACTAACACTGGAGAATAGGTGGCTGGTATTCATAGCCAGTCAAATATTGGCAGGCGAAATGTGCAGCCTCTAACTTTCGGATAATCTCTTGTTGAACGCATTTGATAAACACCTGATACAAAACGAAACCAATCACGAAACTACGATATTAAAGATGTTTAGTTAATTTGTTTACGTGACTTTAGTGATTGACAACTTCTAGCAAGGAAGTCACACGACGGCCATCAGGAAAGGCCAACGGTTCCTACAGTATCAACACAGCTCAACGTGAGCACGAGAAGTCTGATGTTAGAAATAGCACTACTTCTCCATTCCGATAAAAAAAAACTGATGCTGTTGCATCATTCTTCGAATATTTGTAATGATTCACTTCAAAATTTATCCCTAAATTTGGTAACATAGCGCTACAAGAGATTAATTTGACACGGTTGCCTTTAGTTTTTTTATGCGTTCGCTCTCGTTGACTAAGAGTTCGCCGAGACAAAAGCTGGAACTTTGGAGTTATCGCTTTTGATGTTCTCTCTTCCGGAAAGTGTTGTGATTAGCTGGGATCAGTGATACGTGCCATTCCATTATGTTCATGTATAATTAATTTTTCAGAAGAGAAGTTGAGCGATGTGTGAAGCAGGCCATAGTGCAGTACGATACCGAAATGACAACACTGCAGAGTACCCGAGACAGCCTCGTTGCTCAACATACGGCCGTTCATGAAGAAGTTTGCTGCCAGGAGGTGAATTTTTCACTATGTGCTTCTACTAATAAAGTTATCACGATAAGTGCTTCTACTAATAAAGTTATCACGATAAAACGATGAAGGTTGTGAGGCTAGAGATGATAAATCTTCAAAATGAAGTTAATATCAAGTTTATATGGTGTTTCCCTTACCTCATTTTAAATCTTCTTGATAGGCTGAATTATTGTTGGTGAAAAGACAGCATGATGTCATCGCAGACCTACAACGCCAAGAGGACGAAGCGCGGATGTTAGCCATACAGGTACGGTGCATTATATAGCGATGCTGACCTATTATGGAACAATCTTTAGTAAGGATGGATTGAGTTGTGCTCTTGATTGTTTAACGAAGGATATTGTGTCCAACGAGTAATGATAATAACTAGTTAGATAACAGAATGCATTTTAAACAACCACAATGCATTTTAAACAACTCGTGGATCGATACAACCAATTATCTAATAAATGGAGGGTATAAGGCATTGTTTTCAAAATAGTACATGAACATAATTTAAGTGTCTCTGAAATATATAGATACTGTATATATTAACTTGCAATAAAATTTTTATTGTAATCTACAAAAAATGATTGTTATATTTACAGGCAGAATTTTGCCGGGAACGCTCTGCGCGAACTATTCAGAGGGCTTGGCAGCACTACAAAATCAAGAAAATGCTCAAAAAAGCTCATAAAAAAGGCAAAAAGAAAAAACTTTCGATTGCAAAATAGTTAACTTTTGGTCGTCCTAACACATTACACTTGGTGGCCCATGACTCTTGGTTAATCTTGACACATGGTTGCTTTTGACCCTTGGTGGCCCATAACTTTTGGTTGCCCATGACATTTGGTTGCCCACGGCACTTGGTTGCTCTTGATACTTGGTTGCTCTTGTCACATAGTGGTTCTTGTCACTTGGTGGCCCATGACACTTGGTTGCCCAGTGCCCGCGGCACTGAGTTGCCCTCGATACTGAGTTGCCCTCGATACTTGGTTGCCTTGACAGTTGGTTGCCCTTGACACTGGATTGCCCTTGACACATGGTTGCCCTTGATACTTGGTTGCTCTTGACACTTGGTTGCCTTGACACTTGATTATTTTGAATCATGATTGCCTTGACACTTGGTTGCCTATGACATACGGTCAGCCGCATAACTCCATGTACGGTTTCGGGTCATTTTGCAGACGAACCAGAGGTAAAGAATTTTACACCCATGAGTAATTGGGTGAACAGAACGTATACTTACGTGCAACCTGCACATCAACGCCTGGAAATTTTTACAATGCCAATCGTTGCAACTACATTTCTAAATGGCACCTCAAACCGGTTGAAATCGGATTCTGTCACGGAAGCTTGACGTAGAGCACATCTCACCGCAAAGGACTGATCTGAACTCGTCAGATGTGTGCCGAATTAACAGAGTTCTAAACTGACGCGCACTTCATGCACTCTATGAGTGATTTGAGATTTTTCAAGATTTGAGATTTTTCAGGTAACAAGCAAACTTTATGTTCACTATACATGAACATGTGGGACAATTGCTCACGCAGTTGCGTTTGACTGAAGATAAAAATCCTGTTTTGCCGTTTTAATCTTATTTACCGTCTACAGACTAATGTAAAAACGAGTCAAAAACTCTTTACATAGCTTTGGGCATTGAAAAATGAGTATTTTAGCGCATAATCGTTAGTCAGGAATTGCAATTCGGCGTGCGCAGTTGCTGAAATGTGGGAGTGGGTGCGTGCCGCGGGTGCTAAAACTTTGCGTTTGGAGCACTAAAAGTAAAAGAGAACGAAACGGACAAGAAAAATCAGACAACGGTCGTAGGCGTGTATTGTGAATAAATAGCTTATGCTTATTAAGTTAAGATCATTTCAGACTAGAGAAAGTTATGCATAGAAAATGTTACTTCCACGATATAAAAAATTCTCCCTGAAATTGATCTCAGAAGTGTCTTTCCTTTAATAAAATTTCCTTCGAATTTAAATAAGATCAGAATTCGTTACCAATGTGTAACATAATAAACGAATAAGCCAAAAACAATCCTTTATTGTAAAGAGAAAACATCCAATTGTGAAAAGGAGTGAAAAAGTAATTCATACCACCGAACATTTCATATGCTTTCATTACCAAAATTCAGAGTGGGAATGGAAATTTATAATACTCAAAATTTCATGAAATTAAACATGTTTGATTGTGGAGTTTACTCGAGTTTCCGCCCCGCGAAGTTCAAGCGGTTATGGCTCAGCAGTCAGTGTGTCTGTGGAAATAGGGAAAGCTACGTTCATTCACTGCGGTACTGGCGTACTGCTACTGCATGCAGGAAGAGTTCGAATTTGTATTTTATGCCGATGGTGAGATAGCTGAAGTAAGAGTTTTGGTTCGAGCCTTCAAGGTATATTGAAAACGAGTTTAGTTCTCTAACTCCTGCCTAGATTGTGAAGATACCAGTCATACCACGTCTAGTGCAGTAGTGCTACTGTCGTACCTACTGTGCTCTTCGTCTACGACTGACGACTCTACGATCTACGTGATGTATAGTATCTTCGGCATTTAAAAAATAGGCCTGTCGCCGATTCTTGTACTTTGCTTGACTAGACTGGAATTTTGATCACATCTTTTTAACGGACGGTAGATTTAAAATAGCTTCTACTCTAGATATCAGTTGTTCCGTAGGGTACGAGGCATTTTAAGACTAAACATATGCTCTGATATGCTCATGCATGGCCTTGTCTAGTCTGTTCTTGAACGCGTTCATACTCAAAGCGTCAACAATATCTTCAGGGAGGCTGTTCCACTTCCACATGTCAGTGACTCGAAGCAAGAAGAAATGTTGTCACGTGGATAAGTTGCACCGCAGTTTTTTTTAGTTTATAGCTAGCCTAGTCTGGAAAAGTCCTATTTTTGTCTGAAATATCGCGGCTCTAATTTAGTCTGGAAAAGTCCTATTTTTGTCTGAAATATCGCGGCTCTAATATCATATAATTTCAGTAGGTATGAAATCTCGCGGCTCGAATGTCATAAATTTTTGTTTGATTAAAAAATTGCGGTTTGCTCTTCGCAAACATGTCATTTCATAAAATTTTCAACTTCCGCAATCCGCATTGCTTTACCGTTTCCGCCAAAAATATCTTGCAGAAAAAACATAAACATCGTAATGTAAACAAATAAACAAAACATTTGTTGAAGATCGCGCATAGTTGCGGTCATATCAAAGCGCTCAGACTGTATATTAACACGTGCTGAACTTACAGTAGAGACAAATTTTATTGTTGCCGTTTGACTGTTTAAGGGTAAAATTAGAGATTTGGGGTAACACGTGCATAAACTTTGTAAATAAATTTACGGCTGGCAAATCCATAAAACCACGGCTCGAAAAATTCAGTCGCGGCTCGCCAAGTAGATATATTCCATACTAGTAGCTAGCCCTAGCTCTAGCTGTGGGCTGTGGCCCCTGGTGTACGGTGGTGTTGGTTCATGTTTCAAATTCTAGTAATCCTTCTGGGACCTTGTACAAACTATAAGCATAGGTACTTGTATACTTCAATGAGGGCAGTATGAGGTCACCACGCAGCATAGTGGCAAAGCAGAGAGTTTTTTTAGACTCTCCCTCAAGTTCATTTTTGAGTCCTATTGGTAGACCAGTAAAGTATCCTGGATACTAGCCATAGTGGCAAAGCAGAGAGTTTTTTTAGACTCTCCCTCAAGTTCATTTTTGAGTCCTATAAGTAGACCAGTAAAGTATCCTGGATACCATCATACCAGCATCATCATACATAAGAAATTGGTTTAAATCTTGGGTAAATGAATAAATGAAAAATGAACTGATTCTAAAAATTCTCTGGTTTGTCACTATGCCACGCAGGTGATGATAACGGAGACTGGGAACTGGGAAGCTTTATAATCTTCAATCTTTCTTCATAAGACTTGCCCTTTAATCCTGGGATTATCCTTTTTGCATGTCTTTGAACACTCTCAACTAAATTTTTGTCCTTTTCAAGTCTCGGTGACCACACATTTCCAAACTCTATGTTCGGGTACACGACAGAGGTGAACAACAACTTCATCATTTCTATATCTAGGTAGCTACTCGTAGGAGCGTCTGATCAGCCCAAGCAGTTTATTGGATGTATTAACTTGCATTTCAATATGCCTAATAGGGTAAACGTGGAACGTGGTATATTCAGTAAACTATAAAAAAATAACCATATCAGCGTATGCATTACTCAAGTTCTGTTTGCTTTATGTGACTCTAAAAACACCGCACTACGCGTCACTCGTCAGCAAAGACGAAACATCAAAATGTTGCCATATTTATTTAAAAGCCTTTAGAATGCAAACCTACCAAATCCCTATATTCCGTCACTGTGTGTGGCTATATTTGGCACGTGGTGAGGCGTATTCCATCCACGCTTCAAAGTTCAAATTCTACTGATACGTAATGCCGTCATCCACGTGTTCGAATTCCGTTCGCTGCGTGAGCTGTATTGGAATACAACACGGCTGTGAATTAGAACACTAATGAATATTGAACACTACTTAATTACGCTTTTAATTAACAACTATTAAGCTTTTAATTAAGCAAATTTTAATTTTTGTACACAGCTTGGAACGATCTGTGTGTGTCCAATTCATGTTGTGATGGAATTAGTTTTCATGTGTCTAAATCCATTTCTCAACTTAATCATCTATTAATTTATTTATCGCAAATGTATGACGTCACCATTTCAACCATCAACAAACGCATGGAACTAAAACAAAGCTTAATATAAAGGAAAAACTAGAGAGGTGACGGAATTACCCACGATGTCGGAATATACCGCGTTTACCCTAATTTATTGCCTATAAAATTTTAGCTCATTGTCGAGGTGTCCTCTCGGTATATGAATACTTTCCATGAAATTGATGGTTGAAGTTTTATTAGTATTGACCAAGTCTCTTAGGAGAAATAATTGTTCCGTACTGAATTCAATTATTGGGCGGCCGATGCGACGGCTTTGTATGCTTGCAGACATCAAGCGTGGAAAACATCTACCTTTACTTTAGGGCTGCGATTAAAGCTTTCCCACTGTTTCCAGAACTGCAAGATTTCCAAATTCCACCAAATGAATTACCTCCTATTTAATTGTTAACAAAAGTTCATGATCAGCTGGTAAGATTCCAAATGTATTAAAAATTCTTCATGTTTGAGCTGCATGATTTGAGAAACAACTCAAACAAGTAGGAAAATTCCATTCCTGATTGAACATGATGATGATTGCAGATTTGCAGTAGCCTACCTAGTTTCCTTATCATGTCTAAAGGAGGTGCCTGACCTGAGGCTGAGGCCTGAGGGCTGAGAGTACTCTCAGTAGGTAGGTAGCCTATGTTGTGTTTTGAGGCTTTTGCTGCCATGGTACTGTGCTGGGTGGTGAAAGTGAGCACTGAGCATGGTATTGATATCAAAGTTAAGCCAAGGATTTTTGGGTTGTGAATGTTGTGTTCTAGCAGGAAGAGCAAGAGCTGATTGTTGATCTTGACAATCTTGTTAATGGTAGTGGTAGTGCTGGGCTACCTACTGGCTACTGAGTAGTGAGTACTGGGCCATGTGCAGTGTAATGAGGACAGGGTTCAGAGGGTGGATGCAGCGTCGCCAATATATGGGTTTTTAAGCCCTAAGCGTCACCGGGTAATTTTATGATGCATCGCCGGGTAATTTTAAGATGCGTTGCCGGGTAATTATAAGATGCGTCGCCGGGTAATTTTTAATGAAAAGCCATCTACGCTGAGTAATGAAAAACTATTTACAAGCCACAAACTTATTTACAAGGTTTCATGCACGTGTTACCCCAAATAACAAATTTTACCCTAAAAACAGTCCGATTGTACGACAAGTGTCAACTGAACATGTGATAATGCAGTCTGACCGCTCTAATGTGACCGCAACTACGTAATCGTAAACTTGATGTTTACATTTTTTGCCGGGAACTCATTGCAACTGATTTCCGGACAAGCTTCACTGCATCTTGATCCATCCAACATACCGGAAACCTTACTTTTTTTTAAATAGTTAGCCGAAGACGGACAAATATATTGAATGCAACAATTTCAATCTAAATGTGTAGGCAAGATCTTCCGAAGGCATAAATTTTGCTACTGAAGCGTCGCCAAAGATCATGCAATATTCATCCACTCTCTGCACAGTGGTAATGAGGGTGACTGTAGGTTTCGTAATTTGTAGCAGAGATTTCCAGGTTGCACTGAGGGAAATAGTTGCAGAGCTGAGTTGAGGGAAGTAGTTGATGAATTGTTGGGTGAAAAGGTTGGTGTTGGGACCAGTGCCATAGATTAAGAAATCGTCAGCATAGGAGATGATCTTGATGTTGGGTGGTGGCTGCTGGTTGGGGTGCCTTGGAGACATATTTGTAATTAAAGAAGGCAGGAGTCAGAATGGAGCCCTGTAGAACACCCATGTGGATTATTCAGTGTTTAGAGTTTTGATGGTGGAATTCCGTTGAGGCTGAACAGCTGTTTAGGCATTTGAAGATCCAGCCGGTCAGTGGGTGATAGCTAGATCTGGTAGTGGGGAGGCAAGAAGGTCATTGATCAGAATCCGGTGGTTGATGGTGTCAAAGGCTTTGGTGAGGTACAGTGTGCGTGAGGCAATAATGGTTTGGTGAGCAGGTTTCTTTTGGTTCTGCCTGTAGATCATAGATGATGTGTGACTTTGAAGGTGGAGCAAAGTAGGGAGATTGGTTGGTACTTTGTAGGATTTAGCATCAGTGTCCAGTTTGCTGATTTTGAGCAGCGGTATGTCTTTGGCAGATTTATAGATGTTGGGAATTCAGCATATTTGGAGGGATTTGTTGAAGAGGCGTGTCAGGTAGGTAATTCCGAGTGGTCCAAGATATTTGAGGTGAAAGATCTATGGGCTGAACCAAAAGATATCAAAAGAAAAGAAAAATCAAATATATAGATATATATACCATAGAATAGATGTATATATATGGAATATAGATATATTCCATTTTTTCATGGAATATATCTATATAATCTATCTACCATAAAATGGGGTAACTTAGACCACTTTTTTTTATAAATGATGCCATTTTTTACTAGCTAAATTAAACTTGAATTGAAACATGCAAAATACAGGTCTATACTCTAGCTTCACTTACCATAAATTGCTGGCTCCTGCCTCTCATAGTTTTGATGTAATTTCAAAAAAAGTGATGGTCTTTGTTACCCCAGCTCTTGGGGTTACTTAAACCGGGTGGTAAAATCAATTATATTTTTTGGTAAAATAACTCAAAATAACTCCAGGTTTTGGTGCATTGTAGTAGAACTCTTCTAGTTACATATGCAAATGACAAACTTGAGGAAAGTGTCATAGTTTGCAAATGGGAGGCACCACCGCATAATGAGAGAAATGTGACTACCTAATGGCAGCCCTGATGGGGTAAATATTGACTGGCTTGGAAATTAAGTTAAAATTACCACATATAAGACTCTGTAGAGTCTGAAACATGAAGAAAAAACATAAATAGGCTGTCAAACATAAAATATGTTATATATGGTAATTTTATATTAACTTCCAAGCTGGTCTATGTTACCCCGTCACCGTCAGGGCTGACATTAGGTGGTCTAAGTTACCCCATTTGGGGGCGGTGCCCCCCATTCATAAACTATGACACTTTCCTAAAATTTGTCATTTGCATATGTAACTAGAATAGTTCTACTACAATGCATCAAAACCTGGAGTTATTTAACCAAAAAATAAAAAAATTGGAGGGGGTACTCTGACAGGCTTTAAATAATATCTTTTTTTTCGTGGGTCACATTTTTAATTTTTTAACCTATTAGATATGCAAACTTTTTAAATCTTTCTATTGTGTTATGTAGCCTCAGTATTAGGCCTTTAATGTCCATTGACAAAATTTTTCTATGTCAAATAGTTTTTGAGTTGTGGGGGTTTTTGTTAAAAAAACAAAAAGTGGTCTAAGTTACCCCGCCGGTCTAAGTTACCCCATTTTACGGTACCTTTTGAGCCACAACTAGAGCTTTCCAGCCATTTATTGGAGCTGCAAGATTACTGCTGGATTGCCTGGATGGAATACCTTCTATCAAATATTTGACGAAAGTGCAATCCGCAACAATTTCAAATTGAGTTAAAATGTGTATTTTAGGAACTTCAAGATTTTAGTAATAAATACATATTATGTAATTTTCTGATCTTGCTACTGAATAGTAAGTGTTAAGTTGTACTGTGCAGCATTATGCCATTTTAAAGTACCCTCAAATAGGGTAATAAGGGACAGTTTTGAGCGTTTTTTGTTGGAACTTCTTACCATGAAACATTTCATAAACAAATTCAGACTCATTTTATAGCTCTTTGCGAGGGCTATCAAATGGCTTTGTCAAAAAAGTTCCATATGCTTTTGGAAGGTGCCAGATGCAAAAAAAAAACCATCCCAAATTACCCCTGGGAATGGGGTAATTTGGCAAAAATGGGTAATTACCCACCTGAAATAAAACTCAATTTTAAAATGTTTGAAGCATGCAGATTGTACTCATCCATTACCAACAGTACTCTGAAGTCCTCCTCTTTCATTGTAGATGATGTAGATGTAGAATTAATGACATTTTTTGTGTTTTTCACTTATTTATCCTTTATTGATATGATAATTCATTCATTACTGTATTATTGATGTGATATTACTGTATCCATAAACATGCCATTGAGCATTTACAATGACCTTGTCTACTGCAAGCTTCATATCAGCAGCTCTATACATAGCATTTCTTCTGTATCTGTAAGCTTACTGGATGGCTTGTGATTTCACACCATTTTAATTGGGTTAAATGAATTCACTATAAAAAAATCTTAAAAAACATACCTGAAACAGAAAGGAATGTTTTAGTAATAACCATCATATGTTTTGGAGAAATAAATCATAGTTTAGGTTAATTACTTTTCATTCTATGATGCCCGGTGCACAATTCTATATGACATTCTATGCAAAATTTTGTAATGACCGATGATGCATAAATTTTTCGATAAGTGAATTTTTTTTTGCTGAGCAAGGTAAATGTAATCAAAAATTTTTTGTTGTTAATCAATTTTTTGTTAACTGGAGCCTTTGCTACTGAGGTTCCTTCTACTGTAAATGCGTTGTTAGGGGTGTCCCTTATTACCCCGAGGGGTATCCCTTATTTCCCCTTCGTGCGGAAATGGCTGCCATTTTTTTGGAATGAGATAGGCAAATTCCGTCAATAGCACTTTCAAGCCACACCTGTGTGCAACTGACCTGTTATGTGAGTAAAATTTTTTAATGTGGCAAATATTTTTTTTTTTGCTCCAGACCTTGGTAAAGGTACTTTTCCAAAATCTCACTTTTCACACTAATTTTCAGCAATGTTTTAGAGATAGTAAATGTATGATTTCTTAGCTAGTTTTATACATAATAGATAGTAAAAACGTTGAAGTTTATGCCACTATTTTTAGTTTTGCAATATTTTCATCAATTTAGCTACTACAACATTTCTACAAAATATGGGCCGCGTGTCCCAATTTACCCCGCCCATCCCTTATTACCATGTTTGATGGTATGTTTTCTAATTTTGTATCCTAAAAATATTGTTACTCATGCAAAAGGAATATTTTCAGAAATCTCCTTTTGACCTGAAATACGTAGTAAGATGGATAAAACTGTTGAGCTACCTGCAGCTCCTACTGTTTCACTTGCTTCATCAAGGGTCTTCACCTTTGACAAATATGCACCTCTTCCGGATACCTGTAATTCAGCCCCCGTCATTGGATATCATAGTGCATCATCGAAAAAAAATAATAAGAACACAGGTAAGTTGTATTATTTTTCATTTCATTGACAGCCATTATGTTAAAAGTTTTACACCTACAGCATGACCCAATAAGCGATTGAGTTATGAAGCTAATGGTTGACTACCCTACTTGCTATTGTTAGTAGCTGGGTATTTAGTATTCCAGAAAGGATAATATTTTTTTGCTTCTTTTGACTTATTTTTCATAACTGTCAAAAGTGATGTGCCAAAATGTTTTGTTTGTGTATTAAAATTAAGTAACAGACATATTAGTTGGAATAGCTAGGTACTCTGCTAGCATAGTTATACAAACAGGAGAAGTAAAATGGGTACTTATTTTATTTAAAATTGTATTTTTTGGCATTTCAAATGCAGTTCCTCTTCAATTGATTATTGTATGACAAACATTCCTGTGATGACATTGTGCTGTGTTACACTGCATTATTATTGCATATTGAACTACTACAATGCCAGTGGAAGATGGGGCCCCGTGATAGCTCCTGATAGTGAAACAGTCATTGATGTATCATAATTATTTTCACTTTGGAGTGTGTTCAAAATGGACATTGGTGCATGAGAAAGTAATGGTGTTGCTGTAGTGGTGGCTGTGGCTCTGACTTGAGTCATTAGCTCATGACTTTGTTGAATGTACTGGTTAATGAACACTTCTGTTGCTGCTCCTACAGTTGTTAGTCAAGTTATTCTGTTTGAGTGGATAGGGACTAGCTTGTTGGAGGCAACAGTACAACTCTTGAGGCCACTTTACTGAGATACGTAGAATCACAGCTACAAGCCTACCATTCCTCTAGCTTGTTAGGTTAGTGATGTATAATGCCTTCCAAATAGAAGTTTTTAGCCTGCATATCATCCACTTCTTTTGTAACATCTGCAATCTAAGTAATCACTTCTATTGAATTTAATATTGTACATACTTCCATCAACATAAGGAACCCTCTGTATTGAGGCTCCATAAGGTTTGATTTCAAATTAATGCGTTCTGTTGAGAATAGGTAATCATCATTTGGTGTGGTTGATTTGAATGTCTATTCTGCACCCTCCATTGATTGGCTAATTCAGATATTTTGTATTGATCCTTCTTTGGTGCCTGATCTTGTTCCTCTACCACTTCTTTTGTCATCTGTTGTGGCGTCAGCAACAGCTTGCTAGAGTTGTATCAATCTTCTAACCTTATCACAGAAAACCTTTTCTGTGAATTTATATACTTCCTCTTTTGTGATAAATATTTTTATACACTTCCTCACCTCAGACCTTTCATATTTCTTTAATAATTGAACATAATAATGCAAGGGAACTAAAATGAGTTGCAAAAGGTAGCTTTAATTAGAAGTACCGTATTGGTAGTATGCCCTGGCTTTCTGTTATTCTTCTTTGTCTTCCTTGAATATAGAACAAAGTAATTTTTAATTATTTCTTTACATTTAGAGCATTGGGTTGCTGTGTTGATTACTTTCAGCAGATTTGATTTGGTTGAAATCTGTGGAGATAAGAAAAGCAAGCAGCCATAGGACCATAGGAATAAATGTGAGGAAATTCTAGTCTCGTAAATCCCATGTTTTCTCAACATGTGTGGCATTGTGTTGTATACTGAAGTCTATTGGCTCAACATTCACTAATGTTAGCCCTGTAAATATTAGATAGGACGTTTTCTATTGTTTCTATTGTTCATTAAGCTAAGCCTCGTCTTCACCGACGAGTCACTCTCGTGTAGACCTGCCTTGAATAAACTTGTGTTCCCTGCCCTGGTCTCTGCCCTCTACCACTGGTGTTGCACGGGATTTAGTCCCAGCTTCGTAATTAAGGATATTACACATTGTATGTGCAAATGGCAAGAATTTGTATTGGTCCAGCTTTTACCATTTATTCTATGATGTCAATCATTTACTCTCTTCTATGATTTGTGGTATCTGTAGAAATATTCTTCCTAATGATGGGCTTTGGCACAGTAGCCCCAAAATTCACATTTACAAGAGTTTTTTTTTACTAAGCACTTAATTTCTTGAGCTACAAGGCTTTCAAGAAACACATCACAAATTGTAAGAAGCTAAAACAAATGGATTTATCTGTGATCCTTGATTGCTCCTTTTGTGGCCAGAGCAAGAATTTTTTTGTCATTTGTTGTTTCCAAGCTTTGGGCATTACATTATTTATTGACTTGGAGTTAATGGTATTGAGATCCCATTTTATTTTGTTTCAGACGAGTTGCCGTTCGTGGTGACTCGCAAGCTTGCTGGTCCCTTGCCATGGCAGTCAGAGTATCCATGTTCATCTCCATGCTGCAGTGCTCTCATACCTAGAAGTTCATTGATGTATCCAAGCCGTACACGCTGCACTGAATCTCAGCTATATGCTGATAATCGCTCTTACCTGGGTAACTTGCTGCAGTGCGTGCCTTCCCAAAATGGTGATGTCAGGTTATTTCAAGCTGTGAATACCAATGAAGGATCTGTGGTGGTGCTTCATGAACTGCCATGTCTTCTTGAAGAGCAGACAAAGCTTATTGGGCCAAAACTTTCTTTTAGAAAAGACAATGCAATTCATGATATGCAGTGCGCTGAAGTAAGGAACGAAACTCTGCTGCTAACAAGAGCCCAAAAATTTGTTGACTTGCACAAAGTTTGTGATGACCAACTAGAATTCTGTAATATTAAAATAGAGTCGGATGTTAGTTTAACCAGCGCCTGTCTAAGCCAGAAATATGGAGATAAATGGTTACAAACCGACGTTAGTCAACGAATCAGCTTGTATGATAGTCAAAGAATGCAGCCATGCATATGGTCATCGATGATTCCTGACAACATTAATAGAGGTCTGGACGGTAAATGGTGTTCAGCGGTATTTGCATATGAAGATAACATTGCTATCGCCACTAACAAGACTAGCATTTATTCCTGTGACTTTAGGAAGCAGAAATGTGACCGTTTATTCGATTTGTACCGTAGTACAAACAAGAAGAACATTGACGAAATCTGCAACTTGAAACATTCGTCGAGTAGTCCATACATGTTTGTCGTCACGTGTGACGAACTCATTCTTTTGGACGAGAGAAATTCCCGTGTACCCGTGATGAAGTACAATCACATGCTCCTCGGGAGACCTGCTCGTTCCGTTCTGCAAACTATGCACAACATTGACATTATGATGTTGGCAAACAATCTCGAGAAGAGAGTTGCCTTTGCTTCGGTTGAAGGCCTAGATATTTTGAGGGAGACTCCTGACAATTATATTAAATCTCCTTCTTTAATATATCACAGTGATTTTGCAACTCCAGTTAAAAATTATGCACACAAGAAAGGGTTGTGGTTTGACCATAGGGTTTCAGATACTCTTCTTAACTTTGACAATGCTGGTCTTGGATCGGCTTGCTCAAGCGACGGCAAAAGCTTCACAGTCTTCCTGTCCAGCAAAGCAGGTGATGTTTTTTCACAAAAGTTCAGTCTTATTGACAGCGATTCTGCCACGGCAACTCTAACAAACACTAGTTCTCTAGTTCGCCGCCTGAAAGACTACGAGAAAACTACAATAAAGCTTGACGATTTGTTTGCCCCTAATAAATCAAGTCGTAAATTTGTCGGCAATGTCATTACCAGTACATCTGGTGGAAGCCAGCATTTAGATTCCGTTCCGGTGTGGGACGTAACTAATTTCGTTGAGAGCTACAGGAACAGCGACGCACCCAGAAAGACCTCAAATGAAGATCGTGTTTTTAAGTGGATTGATGAACTTACTTTTAACTACAAAATTGATACAGAATTTATGCGCTCATCATCTGAAAATCAAGCGGACGATAAAATATCGAAGTACTTCCATGCAAACACTGTAGAGCGTATGAGCCACAAATGGATTTCATCTCGCAAAGACATGGTTGCCTTGCGGGTATTGGAATATTGGCCTTTACCTGACCCCAATGAAGCCTCTGAATTAAATCTAGATGCATTTGCACCGGACAACAAAGTCCAATACTATCGCTCCGTTCCTTACAGCAAAAAATTTGGCGTGTCAGAATACACGAATAAAGTCAAATCTCGTTCATCAGATGGAGGTTCGAGTAGCCGAAGTTCTGGCACTAGTTTATCTAAAAATTCAGATCGACCATCTAAACGCACCGTTAAATCTGGTGTTAGCCAAGAGCTTCTAGACGCTACGGCTGCCTTGGAGGCTCCCAGAACTCCGTATCTTTCGACACTTCCCAGTCATCCAAGGACGCCGTTTACAACACATGTTCCTCAAAACTTCCAAGATCTGACAAATATTACTCAAAGTCAACTGGGTGCAAGACAAGATAGTCAGTCATGCACTCCTAGTATCGCGAATATGCCACAAATAATTCAATTGAGAACACCATATTCTGCAAGCGTTGCAGAGCGGAGTACGCAAAGTCAACAGAGTACGCACTCTGCTAGTCAACGGAGTACGCAAAGTTCAGCCGGTTTATCGACGCCATACGCTTCTATTTTGGGCGTGCGTCCTTCTGCTCCTTCTACAGGTCGGCTCAAGAAGAGACCAAGAAACGCAGGATTCTAGTGTCTGATATTTAATTTATTCTTTCAAAACATGATACTTTTTGATGACCTCTTGCCATGAAAAATAAGCTGCTAATCTGGTTAGATAATCAACGCTTTGAAAAGTTACCTTGCGATGAAGTTCATTAAATATTTGAACTGAAAGAAGGATGGCACACTATGAGATGCTGAAATTGTGACACTTCATGCTTTTTCGACACTACGTAAGCTTTTTGCGGAGGATTTTATTTATACTTATTCCAATTATTATTAGATGGCAGGATTTACTTGTTTACACACGTGCGATTGATGACCAGAGAATTCGTTGGTTTATATTATCAGGGAGTGGAACTTTTCTTCAGATGGCGGTAGATAAAAAGGCAAGTTTCAGGAAGTAGTTTTTCTTTATTAACGACGTTTCGAATGCAACAAACATTCATTTTCAAGTTAGAAGAAGCATTAAACATTGAAATTTTGGTGGAAATAACGAATTCTCTGGTCATCAATCGCACGTGTGTAAACTTATTCAAATATCCACGTTTTTACAATCATGTTGATCTATCGTCATTCGTATGACAAACACGGCTACAAACAATTGACAATAGCACTATGACATTGTATGTCGATTGTATTTCTAAAGCAACAAGCTGATAGTCCAAAGCCCGTTTTGATTGAATGCTATTTATACTTCCTTTATGTAATTTGCATAATAAATTCTGATGTGGATGTCATGGTTGGGTAGGATTTTATTCTAAATTCAGCGTTTATATATTCCTCTGCCTCCTTATGCTACTCTTTTATGATGTATATTAGGTAGAAAATTGTTTAACGTATGGAGTAATCATTTTTTTCGTATAAACGTTCTTCATTTGTATCTTGAATCTTTACCCAGCTAGATGTGAATAATTTGAAAGTTTATACCTATAGGTACCTTGGGACTACAGCTATGGTCGTTGACTTACTTAACTTTCATCCTTAATTGAACTTTATCTCGACTTGGCTTCAAACGTCGTGCAAAGCGTGCTGCATTGATTATATCACATGTTGAATTATATGAAGTTACAATAAAATCACGTGTTGACATAAAGAACATTTTAGTGTTGATATCATTAGGCAAAATAATTACATTCAGAGCTGAATCATAATTGTTTTTATTTTTGGTCCTGATTGATGCCATTGGCAGTAACTTTCATTAAACTGACCTTTCCTGACATCAAGTTGCAATGATTCTACTTTTTACAAAGTATTCAATATTTTGTGAACAGTCAACGACTTGTGTTGTGGACAGGCGGGTGACGCCCCTGGGTTTCCTTGTCGAAATAACTTGCGAAATTGTCTCGTAATTTCCACAGAAATTTCACCCCATTAAATGCTTAGGTAATTTACGGGGATATTTTTCCATTAGTCTAGGTTCACTATTCAGTGCGTCAAGCTTCACAATTCCATGCAAGCTTCACTATTCCGTGCAAAGGTATTTCTCTGTGTCACCGTGAATGGATTCTCGCGAATTTTGCATACTTGGATCCTCCGCTAACTTGGATAATGAACAAATATTTCTTCAAAGATTCAGGTTGGGCGAGTTACGACTAAAGCCATTTATGTTCAGTATCTTGAACGTGATTTTTGCTGACGCAGATTGTTTTACTGCGTTCTGAAGCAAAAAGGGACAATTTTTATTATTTAATTGAAAAGTTATAGAGTGCAGTGATCGTCGCACTTGACAAACGTGAGTAGTGCGCTCCTGAGCCATTTTCAGAACATACGTTTTTGCATCGCAGGTTTACTCGCATTTTCTCTTATGCCAAATTGTTTCGTCTATTCAAAATTGTTCTTGAATCTGTAAGTAATGGGTTCAAGATTATTGAGAGCTTCTTTGGAATAAACGGCAAGAAATCCGTTAAGACTGCTTAATAGTAGGCTTTTATTTTTCAAATTATTTAATTGTAATATTAATCGCAATTTTTTAATAAATAATATGAGTATAATGGATCCGCTATATCATTATAGCGGATCCTATCTTTATATCTTCTGAATTATGATTTAAAACATTACCTAATATATAACTTTAGTGTTGCATTCTAAGTTTAAGTGTTGGTTTTATTCCATTATCGATTTCTGTAAACAAATTTTAAACTGACAGGACAAATTTTAAGCGTCAAGACATAATTACCTCAACTCAACACCTCGGTAAATAAAAGTTCTGAGGTGGAATGATATATTGCCTAATCAATGCGACCTTAGACTTTGTACATTAGTCGTGTCATTTTCGGTCTTTACAAGCTCGCCCTATTAATAGTATTAATACCGATTAATACTTTTATAATCACCCATAATACTTGCATATTACTAAGAGTATAAGAAGTATTACCATACCCAGACATGAAGAATCACATTTGTTGACGCTATTGAAGAATCACATTTGTTGACGCTGTTGAAGAATCACATTTGTTGACGCTGTTGAAGAATCACATTTGTTGACGCTGTTGAATGATCACATTTGTTGCTCGTTCAAGTTGGAAGATGCGCATCAACTGCGAAGTGACATCGCTACATCGCGGCACGGCAGCCGTGTCGTGTCGGCAGCCTCGCGCCGTGCGATCGACTTTGAGTGTCGCGTGCGCCGTGCCTGGTAATGACCAGAGCGTGTGCCTGCATCTCTGTAACGCTGCTAACAAACTTGGCACCCAGTATAAGGTTGGTGATAATCATGGCTGTGGTATTACTTGTACAACTGTAACGCTGCTAACAAACTTGGTACTCAGTATAAGGTTGGTGATAATCATTGCTGTGGTATTACTTGTACAACTGTAACGCTGCTAACAAACTTGGTACCCAGTATAAGGTGTGTGACAATCATGGCTGCGGTATTACTCTTATACGACTGTAACGCTCATAACGTATACAATTTGATAACCTTACTCTACTGCAAGTAGAGTCTGTTTTAAGTATCGGTGTAGTGGATGAATTTATAAAATATGCTGTTGATTCTTTAGCCCTGACTAACACTAAGTTAGTGTTTTTTACATCATTTAAACTGTTCTTAAGTCCGTCCTCACAAATTTTTTTAATATACGAGTTCCAGTATGCTTTTTAATATTTCAATGAATTACTCTGACCATGCATACATATTTGGTAAACACTTGATATCCGATGCGCAAAATTTATGTTATTTGTACATTTTTGCTTCGGATTGTTCATGTATTCAAATGTGATTAATTAAACAAATTTTATTCAATGATGTATACATGAGCATTTACAATCAACCCGAATTTCTCACGGATTTAAAACTTCAGCATTCGTTGCTTGAGTTGAGCAATGAATGCGTTAAAACTTCACCATTCGGTGCTGGAGTTAAGTATAATGAATGCACTTTATCTTCGCGAATATTGTCAAGCGAATCTATTAACCGTATTATCTCGTGCAGATCTTGAACAACGTCAGTTACCTTTTTTCCAAGTTTATCGAAGAGGGCAAGTTCACAATACGGCTAATAAATCCTAACCTGGACCTTCTCGTCAAGACTGATGCCGAACAAGCCAAAAAATTCGTCAAAATTCGTAAGTTATATATAAATAGAGATATAATATAATATATAATATAATAGGTCATAGGACCGACGAAGGAGTCCTTAATTCAATTGTGCAAAATAGGTATTTAGTACCGTATATCTTCTCTTGACAACAATATGTAGGTACTGTTACCAAGGGAAGATTTGAAAACTTGAATTTGAAGAAAAAACATTCAATATGAGCTTCCTGAAGGATAACCAGTTAGTGTCCAGCATAAAATTAACTGAAATAAACCTTACATTAAATACTTGACTTAGCTTTTTCCTCTGCTCTGAAATGTGTTCTTGAAATTACTTAAGTTTAATGAGAGAAATTTGTTAACTCGTTTAAAGAACCATTTTTTTAACCATCCCAACATAATGAAAAAGTTTTATTCCTGATATTAAATTGCTTCAGAGAACTTGGATCTTTTTATCGTAATTTTAATGTACTCTTTACTTCAGTTTCTCTTTGTGTGAGAGGAAAAGTACCAAAGAATCTATCTTCTGTGGAGGCGATCAGAACCAGAGACCTCACGAAGCCCGAAGTATCCCTAAATATCACTTCACAGCAGGACTACCCAGTCAAGACTGCCTTCCCGGCCCATCTCCAGCAGTTAATCGTGAGTTATTTGGCTAACCGTTGTGTCAAAAATGCCTGCTTTCCCGGCCCATCTCCAGCAGTTAATCGTGAGTTATTTGGCTAACCTGTCTGTCCGTCCGTCCGTGACCTCAAGTTTTCGTCGACGAGAAAATGCGCTCTCTGTCACTCACTGCAGTGAGTACCTACTGAGTTATATTTTTTGTTTCATTCACTGTTAATCACATTACGAACAAAGTACACATGTAAATGTTTGTCGGTAATGGTAAAAGGGTACAAATTTCATGCCTTGACGTTCTATCTTGTGAATGAATTGTCGATCGTAGGTGCACACCAACAACAACAAGACTGCGCAGGTAATGTACAAATTTGACATTGTTTCCTTATTCATGACGAAAAATAAGCACAAGTGTGTCAGTTTTCGTGATGAGTGACACTGGTTAATGCTTGTTACCTGGCGAGTAGGTAATAGGTTGTATATACAGCGGGTGTAAAAAGTATCCGACACAAGGAAAAAGTTTATTTAATTAAAGCTTTTACAACAAAATAACACGAAGAAACAATATTCTTATGTAAATTTACATTGCTAATACAAATATATCAAAGCAACAATATAATTAAATGTTTACTTGGTGACTGCAGTTTCGTAAAATTTAAGGTTCAAAATAATAAAGTTTTTCCTTTGTGTCGGATACTTTTTGCACCCACTGTATATATTTGGTTTATGTTTGACAGTGTGCGTGCATAGTCACTTGAAGCAAGTAAAATAGTGCAGAACGATTGAAGTAAGAATTCAACTTTTCAGTCAATTTTTACCCATTACTAGGAATAATTTCAAATAATTAATATCCAAATAATAATTTTGCGTTTCAAGTACTTCGGTTTTCAAAATGAACTGTTATTTATTTATTAAAATGTTTGCAAAATGGAGCAAATACCATCGATGTTTTTGTGTGCAGGTGAAGAGTGCAAATTGAAGCAAAATGAAGCAAATACTATAGATATTTTTTTTTTGTGCAGGTGACAGAGTGCAAATCGAAGCAAAATGGAGCAAATACTATAGATATTTTTGTGCGCAGGTGACAGAGTGCAAATTGAATCGGGTGGAGGGACGGATTTTGCGCCTGCGTCGGCTGGAGATTCTGAATCTGAGTGACAACCTCATAGTCGAGGTGCCCAGGACTGTCGCAGATATGGCCGCCCTCACCGAGCTCGTGCTCTCCGGCAACAAGATCGCCTCGTTGCCAGCACATTTGTTCGATGGTAAAATCAACGCCACATTGAGGAAGCTCGACTTGGCGCGCAATCAAGTGAGTTATACGCAGCCAATCGTGATAAGAATGTTTTTATTGAAGGTTATTAAAAACATTCTTCAAATTCAAAAAACATTCTTCATTCAAAAGGTTGTTAAACTGTAGAAACCGTAGTGCTTACTCAGGAGTACTACGAGATTTTACGTATTGAAAACTGCGAGCAGAAAACGATCTAACCGAAATTGAATTATGATGAATTTACTTTATTAATATATCCTAAAATTACGCTCTACGCATGCAATAAACGACTCGCAAAAATCCGCGCTATAGCAAGTAACGCACGTTATGAATATTACTGAACACCTCATGAGGTAGATAGGGCATTCGCGATACTTGATTGTAAACTTTGAGAAGGGACACTATTGTATTCAATTACAGGGACACTGTTGTATTCAGTTAAAACATTTACATTGTTCTAGTTGGTGTTGCTGCCGGCCAGCTTGTGTTTGCTGAACAAGTTGTTCACGCTGGACGTGAGCAGTAACCAACTCATGGTCATCCCGCTCACCATCAAAAGACTAGCCAGCCTGCAGTACGTTTATGACAAATCTGATTTCTTTTTATGTTGTCTTTATATACCATTGAGGTTTTAGTGCGCCTGTTAACCTATCCAATTCTTTTTATACTTTAAAGAATTCTGCCCATGCGTGTTTGTAGATTGATCGTTTCAAGTTAATTTTCTGCGCTTTTGCATTTAAGATATTTAACCTTAAAATTACTCATTTATTATGGTAATACACAACTCTTATGCAGACATGTTCTTAATTAGATATACAGGCGAAAGCCCCATTAATTTTTTAGGTCCTTGTTTGATTTCTCTGCACTGAATCAATCTTTATACGTGTGTAAAATTTCCTACTTCTACTGATAGTTTCTATTGAGTTAATTTTTCATGAGTTGCTGAACTGGCATAAATATCAAGCGGTTAAATGACATTTTGTTCAGGTACCTCAACTTATCGGACAACCCGCTGACCTCACTACCTTTTGCGGTATCAGAGATGCCACTTACGAGCTTAAGTTTCGACTACATCTTGCCACACGAATATGTTCATGAGCCTTACTACAGCAACAGTCCTCCTGTGTTGCCGCTCACCGAGATGGCTGCAAGAACATTGTTGGGATGGTAAGCTCCTTGTCATTTGTTTGATTGCTTTGGCCTGAAGTTCTACGGTCATAACTGCTACCTCTGCAAGAACATTGTTGTGGGGATGGTAAGCTCCTTGTCATTTGTTTGATTGCTTTAGCCTGAAGTTCTTGGGTCACAACTGCTACCTTTGCAAGAACATAGTTGTGGGGAAGGTAAGCTCCTTGTCATTTGTTTGATTGCTTTAGCCTGAAGTTCTTGGGTCATAACTGCTACCTTTGCAAGAACATTGTTGTGGGGATGGTAAGCTCCTTGTCATTTGTTTGATTGCTTTAGCCTGAAGTTCTAGCGTCAAAACTGCTACCTTGAAGCTGCCGAGCATCTAAATTTGATTTATATTCAGTTCATAGATTCCCTGTCATTCCATGGGTTGGACCCGATTTAATGTAATTCTGTTCTAATTTTCTTTGCGTATTGTTTTCTTTGTTATGAATGTTTGAATGTTGGAAAAAGGAGATTGCTAGAATTTGAAATGTATACATGTAGAATTAATTTATAAATTTTTTAGCGTTTTGAATGACATCGCAAATTATAGTCCTAGATGTAGAGGTCTTCCAAAAGAAGCCATATTAAATAATTGCGAAGCAAAAGAGCGTAATGCTGTAATAAATTTGTTAATTTTTCAGAGATGGACTTGGCCATATAAAAAAATTGCATTTTCAAGTACTCCTGAATTGATTTTTTTAGTAAAACTATAAATTTAGTGTAGTGCAAGACGTTTGTGATACAGAAAATACATCATTATATTGTTGTGAAAAATATCGCCTATGTTGTATAAAAAAAAAGATTTCACATTATTTTTTTTAGAATTGATATCACACATTTTTTTAATCACAATTTCAGCAAGCACAGAGATCCGGAATACCTGCACCACTTGACGAAGGATTTGCCCAGCACTCTGCGGAGACGTCTTATGTACTTTATTGGATGCGACTTTTGTTCCGGAGTTTGTGTGAGCTATGGCACCATTTATTACAAAGACTTACGTATGGGGTGAGTAGCTCTAACTATCTATACATGCTGGAATTCTTATTTATAATCTCTTCAACTCGAGTTATTACGATATTAACGTGTAATTCGAAATTATTATATTATATTGTTTCCAATGTCAAATGTCAAAGTAATATTTTTGGCACTATCGTGCTGAATAAATCTACGCTTCTCATGAAAACTATCTAAAAATTTACACACCAATTTACAATACACAAATTATTGAAGTAATGACAAACTGTTAAGCACGGTTTTTCTATCATTAACCTGGACGTCTAAGATATTTTCAAACGTCTTACTGGCAATCTCCAGCGCCCGATTCAGTCATTCTCTACCCTGTGGATCAATCAATTTTTTCCAACGCGAATTATTTCTCGATTTAGGGCCCGCGGTCTAGCCTCTCCCACAGTATTTTAACTTTAATAAAGCTCTTGTTTTTGTTACGCAAGTTCTTATTTGAATTAATTACCGAAATGTTTGTTATTTAGACTCTTCTGACGTTTCTTCGTCCTCAGAAATTTCAAGGCGATGCTCATAGAAAAGCGAAGAGGAATGCCAGTTTTCCCCGGTTCCCATATGTCCTGCTGTAGCCAACGCAGAGCTGAGCGCTTACCTCGGGGCCCGAGCCACATTCTGGCCGAGAGATGATACACTAAGATATACCGCACATTGGTTATTCAGCGAGGTGATTGTAAAATTATTTAGTTGGTGATTGAAATTTACTAGGTACTGTAACTTATCATTGCTGAGAAGGCGAATGTGTCAATGATACACTAAGATATACCGCACATCTGTTATTCAGCGGGGTGATTATAAAATTATTTAGTTGGTGATTGAAATTTACTAGGTACTGTAACTTATCATTGCTGAGAAGGCGAATGTGTCAATGATACCCTGTGATGTACGGCACATTTGTTATTCAGCGAGGTGATTATAAAATTATTTAGTTGCTGATTGAAATTTACTAGGTACTGTAACTTATCATTGCTGAGAAGGCGAATGTGTCCAATGACAGAGTAAAGAAGCAAGAGCAATGAGCCTTCTACAGTTTGAATTTCAGGTGTCTGTCTTCACTTTAGTTTGCGAATTGAGAGTCCTAAGCTTTTAATCTGTCTCGCGGATATTCTTCTTTCGTTCATTATATGAACCTGATGCAAAGAAGTGGGCGATGTTAGCGCTATTGTGTGCATTGTATTGTATAGCCGCTAGCATTTTTGTGAGGCTAATATTTCAAGTATTTAAGTCGACCTCTTCCTTGAACAATTCTGATTCTTGATCTCGACTTGTGACGCCTCTATGGATACATTTTCTTCCGTATTCCAATGCTCAAGGCTGGCTGTGACTATCAATAAATTGCACTTGCTTGTATTGTTGGTCAGGCTCATTGCCGATGCACGATGACCATTAACAGAGGTACGCCGTTACTCAAGGATATAGTTGACAGATATGCCTTTATTGTAAGCCTAGTTTTTAAATTTATAGGAGATTGCGAAGTTTACTGCTCGATTTGTTCTCAGTAAAATTAGTTAGTTTGTGCAAATGTTGAGTTGATGGATTGTTGCTCATTTAAACCGACAGTGTTTTTCTCCCTCTAGACTCCAGTTTTGTTATTCAGTTGATCGTGACTAAAGTTTTAACTCGTCAAATATTCACCGAGTAGTTAAAATAAACCTTAAAAAGCTTATCATTTGTTTAAAGCTTTACGCTGTTATCGCTGCCAGAAATTGTATGATAAAAAATAATCGAATCCAATAGATGCTTTTTACTTCTCAACTCACAAAAGAAAAACAACATTTAATAGATGCACATGACATCTGCCAGTCGTGCAAACCACGTGTATTTTGGGTCTTAGCTTGGGACAGTAGTAACTACGTTTTTTTTTTCAGATTCATAAACATTGAGAATTCACTCCATCTTCGAACACTTCAATATTCCATGAATCTGCTTTCTTTTTATCTATTTTCATGTTACGAAAGTCTTTTGCCACATTAATCTGAATTGTTAAAGATAACACATAATTGCTATCACATTGCTTATCAAATAGGACTCGTGCGCCAGCGTTAAAAATATGCATTATCAGAAGTGCTATAGAGTAAATAGGTTATACATTACATATACATAAATATTTTTAAGTTTCACGCTGCAAGTAGTTACTTAGTATCAGTGTAGTCGTAATAGTAATGATAAGCGTCATTGGGGTCAAAATTGAATGCATTCTTGAGGTCGTCATGACTGAAGTCGCCTCGCTCATAGATGGCCCTGAGACGATCTCTTACTTTGTTGTTGAATATGTCAGGAAAGTCTTCTTCGTTTGTCGGGGCTGCAAATGGGTTGGGGAAAGCACCGTCCCCGCCTCGTGGGGCACCAAATGGGTCTGGGAAATCATCTTTTTTCTCTTCATTTGGGGAGCTCGGAAGAGCCCCACTGCCTTCCGTGCCCGGGAGTGGGAGTATATCGACATCGTCTCCAGAGGGGGTGGATGTTAGGGGCTTCGTTGTGGTCTTGAGTGTTGTGATGACGGAAGGGGTAGTGGAGCGAGCTGTGGTAGAGGGAATTGTGGTGGTGGTGGAGGAAGTTGTGGTTGTGGTAGAGGAAGTTGTGGTGATAGAGGAAGTTGTGGTGGTAGAGGAAGTTGTGGTGGTTGGAGTTGTTGTGGTGGTTGGAGTTGTTGTGGTGGTTGGAGTTGTTGTGGTGGTTGAGGGAGTTGTGGTGGTCGAGGGAGTTGAGGTTGTGGTAGAGGGAGTTGCTGTGTTGGTGGTTGGAGTTGTGGTAGAGGGAGTTGTTGTGGTGGTAGAGAGAGTTGTTGTGGTGGTGGTTGGAGTTGTGGTAGAGGGAGTTGTTGTGGTGGTAGTTGGGCGTATTGTGGTGGACTGAGCTGATGGAGCTGTAGACGGCGTTACAATAACACTAGTTAATATTGTGGAATAATTTATTTCCGGATCCTTTTCTTCCTCCGATTCCTTCTTTTCTTCGGTACTGTTATCCTCCGCCGATTCCTTCTTTTCTTCGGTACTGTTATCCTCCGCCGATTCCTTCTTTTCTTCGGTACTGTTATCCTCCTCCGGTTCCTTCTTTTCTTCAGTACTGTTATCCTCCTCCGGTTCCTTCTTTTCTTCAGTACTGTTATCCTCCTCCGGTTCCTTCTTTTCTTCGGTACTGTTATCCTCCGCCGATTCCCTCTTTTCTTCGGTATTGTTATCCTCCTCCGGTTCCTTCTTCTCTTCGGTACTGTTATCCTCCGATTCCTTCTTTTCTTCGGTACTGTTATCCTCCGCTGATTCCTTCTTTTCTTCAGTACTGCCTTCCTCCGATTCCTTTTTTTCTTCGGTGCAGCCTTCCTCCGATTCCTCCGCACTCCGATTCCTCCCCTCGCCATTCTTCTCTGTCAGGTCAATTTCATTTCCGCTAGATGTTGTCTCTAAGGCCCTGTTTATCGAACTAATAAATGTAGAGGTTCCGATAGTTGCATGTGTGGGTGCGATATTATCCATAATGGCAGTTGACGAAGAATGTTCATCTGCGTCTGTGAAATTCAGGTTATGATTCTCGAGGGAAGTGTCCCCTTCTACTAACGGTGCTTCGATCGTACCGATCAATCCCGTGGATTCCACTGACTTAGGTGGACTGGTAACACGATCAGCTGGCGTCTCAGTTGCTGGACTTGTTATCACACCTGTAATTGTAACATTTGGGTTCAGCATCCCTTCTTTCTCGAGGATCTCATTTATTGTTGGGAGATCTCTTCTCACTGACGTCGACACACCGGAAGTATTGCTGTACGTTACGTTAATACCGAGTCTTTCCAGCATTGCGATCGCGTCCTTATCACCTCTCGTTACCCCGTCCCTTACTTTGTCAACGAAATATTCGTACTTCTGCTCGCCTGTGAGTTTTCTTCTTATTTTTCTGTATCCTGATCGCACAGCGTCGCTGACCCTCCTCCCAATGACGACTATTCCCTGCCTTGTTGCGTTCGTTCCTTGGCGAATTGCGCGGCCAATCGTTGAATTACGAATCGCTTGGCCCATTGTCGAATTTTTAAATTTGTCATAGCCTCTTCTGACTAAATTACTGATCCCTTGAACGGGATTGAACGAACTCCAAAATCCTCTCGGTGGTGTTTCTCGCTGCTTATCTGCCTCTAGTATCGGAGCCACCATTGTTGTCTCTCGGGATATGACGATGCTGCGTGCAGTCGTGGTCGTTGTACTTGTGCTAGTCGTTGTTGTTTGTGTGTTCCTCTGGAAAAAACGGAAAATACACATATAGACAACTACATTGATACTATGGAATATTATATTTATAATATAGATGTTTAAGACAAACTTTCAGAACATTGTTCATAAAGTTTCGGCTCCTGGAACACAATGGATAACCTTTGCTTGTTCATGCAGCATATTTCTAAGATGTTCATTTTTTTGTGTCCCAAAAATGTTTGATTTCACTTATCTGACACTTTGTTGAAATGTCAGAGACACCCCTAATGTTGCTTAAGAACTTCGTACCGAGAAAGGCCAGAAGCTCCATCGCTTGAGTCTGCTCAGGCGCAGGTCGTGAAGCTGTGCGTGGTCTTGAGGGCCCAAACGAGAGTTCAGCTCCCTCGCCAACGACAGGGAAACCAATAATGCTAAAACAATTGATATTTTCATGGTGTTCAATTATTCCTTCTTGTTTAACTTGTACAAAAATTCATTTGCTGTAAAGAACCTGTTTAGTTAAGGGCGTGATCAAATTTCGATATCTCGACATTATAAGTTCCCGGCTCCTGTGCACACTACTGAGTGCCCATCCCATTAGCTTGGAGTGTGTGAGACTATTGCTAGTATATTCTGCTAGTAATTAAGAATTGCACGCCATCGATCAAGTCATCTATACAAGACTTGTGTTTTTCATTTCTCATCCATGCTTTGTGAATGAGGTTTCCTTCCCTTGATTGGTTATAGAAATATTGTCGTAGAAAACTCAAAGAAATTGAGTGCGCACAAGACATGTCTCGGCAGCTCGACTGATTTATTGTCTATATTGGAGTGTCTTGTCGCTTGGTACATAAGCCAAGCTGAGAGGAATTTCTACCTGAAGTTGACGTATTATTGGATTTTTATGCTAAGTAGCAAGTAACATCAGTGAATAATCTAGTAGAAAAAAAAATACACTTCTTAAGATTTTTGCACGACTATTCTCTTATAGCAATTGGTATTCTGTTATCATTATTGATTTAAGAATTTGGCATGTGTTAAGAATGATTCGCAATGATTCGCATCGTTGCCCCTGACTGATGAATTGAACATCACTTTCCCAAATTGAAAATCATAAATTTAGCGGCGCATATTACGGTGGGAATTGCAAGATCTTTATTCGATTGCGTATTCATTAACAGTTGTCAATATTATTCGGATCTAATGGCATGATAGCTAGATTTACGGTCGGCGAATTGAGTTTTCAGCGATTTATTTTTAAATTTACATTTCTATATTCATTCATTTTCTGAAATAATTTAATTGCGTATTCATTAACAGTTGTCAATATTATTCGTATCTAATGGCATGATAGCTAGAGTTACGGTCGGCGAATTAAGTTTTCAGCGATTGATTTTTAAATTTATCAAATAGATTGATTGATTTTTAAATTTACGTTTCCATATTTATTCATTTTCTGAAATAATTTATTTTGATTTCTCAAGTTAGGCGCAAACACGTTTCACACACTCAAGTTGTCACGTCACCACACTGCGCAAGTCTCTGCGGTACAAAACCACGACTGCCCCCGCAGGCCCCAGAAGAACACTGAAGTCTTTGTGCTGCTGGCGTCTAGGAAGATTGCTTCCTAGAACACATCAATGGCCGACCTCAATTCTCTGCTTGCTCTGCGCGTCATAACTGACGACCGTGAATTCAGACATATGTTTGTACATTCTGACCCATATTTAATAATAACAACTAACCTTAGTTTCGTTCTTATATTCAACTACGTACCAAAGTCTTTCTAACATTTATAATATATTCCTAAGTTTAAGAATAAAGGCTAAAACCAAAAAAGTTGCATAAAACATTTTACTGAATAGAAGTCCTAGATAAATAAAACAGAACGTTTCGGGCTATGCCCGTTCTGTTTTATTTATCTAGGACTTCTATTCAGTAAAATGTTTTATGCAACTTTTTTGGTTTTAGCCTTTATTCTTAAACTGAGAAGAACTCCTCGAGATATTGTGAACTATATTCCTAAGTTATTACAGGTCAATGTTAAAATATTTATCAATGCGATGCGCCAATTCTTTGGCTCTTATATTTTCACAAGATTACATCGCTTTTTCTAACAGTCTCAAATTGTCTGTTGTATTTCGATGCGTACTTGAAGCAATTACTTAACTCGTATGACAGCATCTTATCGTAATATGGTCTTATCGTAATATGACAAGCGACTTAAGTAATGGTAATTTTGAACGTGTGGTAATTTTGAACGTGTTAACGCAATGGTAATTTTGAACGTGTTAACGCAAATCGCTTGGCCTACGTTTCTTAGGTAGATTTACTTCTTTGATCAACATAGAGTACATAGGAAATTCAAAATACGAAACCATATTATAGGAAATTTATACTCCGTTTATAAACGTATCAATGGAAACAATGAACAAGATTAAACCCACGTACAATTCCAGGCGAGTACTTTTCAAGCAGAAATATCGTCACAAATGACTGGCTGTTGGCTCCTAAATGTCAAATACGGACTCAATCGAGCAATCGATTCAAAACATCTCGTTTGATTGATAGCTTTACGTCGAAAACGCCATGTATATTTGAATGCTCACTCTCCAAGCTGACCTGGTATAAGTGCTGAAATACTGACGGTTACGTTACGGTAGTTTTTTTTTATTTCATCACTGTTTAAATAGTATTCTTCAATTAGTGATTAAGAAACAAGCTGAAGGTAAATTAACCCTCACAAAATACTGGATCACCAATCTAGTGAAGTTAGTTTTAAAAAGTGTTCAATACTAACAAACTTGAATTTGTGTATGACTTTATAAAAAATGATTTTCACATTAAATGATGTGACTCGTTGGAAAAATTCAAGCAATGACGTCTTATTTAACGAGTAATAGACACGTAATTCCCATATTGAAATACAGGTTCAGACCGGGCTATATAACCCTAATATATCGCTATTATCGACAGAAAACAAGATGAAGCAACAACATATGACAATGTAGGACGTCTGCATGTTACAAAAATGATCTATTGAAATAAGATAACTTGAACACCAGTAAATAAAAAGCTAAGACCGTTCGCTCGAAATGCAAGGAACAGTTCGCCTTGCGTTTGCAGACGTTGTGGCATCTCAGGACTGCGGCGTGTCTACCAAACCGACCGACACAGCGGGCAGCTTGACTGCGGGCTCGATAGGAACCATTGGTACTGGAGTGGAAAAGGGGTATTTTTTTAGTGTAAGGCTTAAGATAAAATAGTATATCTGTGTCCAGGAGATGAAAGTCCTCACCCTCCAACAGTCAAATTATAATATAAAATGAAACAACTACGTTGGCTTCGCTAGGAATATCAACACAATTTTCGATTATTTTCGACTCAGTGTGAATTGTACATTTGTTTTTGAACTTAATCACAAAGGCAATGGATAAAACCTAGTTAATCATCTCAATTAAAGGTCACACTTAACTGCTTAATTTATGATATGGGAATCAACCTATTCCATGAGGACAACAATCCTTTAAGACAATGCAATACTGTCTACCACAGATCGGTTGTGAGCGCTTTTCAACTTCCAGAGTAATAGGTACACGCGAGAATTTAAAATTTATTACTGCCGCAGATGCGTTTTCAAGTTATTTTAGAAGGAATCCATTCTGAAAAATTGTAAAATATCTCTGAACATCTGGTAGGTCAAATAAAATTTAGTCGTGCATGTCTCTCTCTTTCATTTGTCTATTACTCTAGGTGGAAGCCAGTCTGGTTACGAGAATAGCATAATAAGGGACTGAAACTGTTTTAAGTTGCCTAATATGGTTGAATGTGGAGTATTAAAGCGTTGCAGAACAAAACAAAATTTGAATAAGTGGCATACCAGACAAGCGGAGTGGAACTTCTTCTTGCAGGTGCGGCACTGGGAGCCCGGCAGCGTGTGGCTTGTGTTCTGCATGATACAGTAGCAAATGTAGCACGGCTCCACGCCTTGGTATTTCTGGTCAAGATTTTGCTTCCAGACCTTGAGTGAGGCGATCAGGGGGCTGTTGCGGTACGACAACACCGTCTTCAGCTGAAACGAGTTATTTTGTCAGTCTCAGAAGAACGCATATACATGTAGGTAACGCTAATAGATTGCAGTTTAGGGTGAGGCGCTGGGAAATTTAGGCTCACTGTTCAGCTTTCAAGCATTTTGTGGCTGGAAATACAAATCAATAATTATAATCGGTGAGATTTCGAATTCAAACGGTAAAATATCTCACGTGCGGCATATAATGGATCGTGAAATCTGAAAAATGGACCAGTCATGCACCCTGACGACAGCACTAAAATCTAACTGAAACATTATTTATTGCTATTATATATTGGCATTATTTATTGCTCGGCTTATCCTGTGCCTGTGCGATTGGTGGCGGGAATATGTACATTGTCAAAACAGACATGAAAAGTGGAACCACCACAAAAACTCCCCGAGACTCGCATTTTTTCGCATCTACACTGGGCAAATAAATTTTTATCACAAGCTAACGTAACGCATTCATATTAACCAATAATATTTCATACCAAACTTACTGCTCCATCTAAGCTGATGAGCAAGCTAGAGCTGCGGTATTGCAGTATTGAGAGAGTAGAGTTGCAGTATTGTCTCTCGCGCCCAGCGACCTCTGGGTTTGAGTCCTACACAAGACGAGTTCTTTCGAAAAGCTCAGCTCATTGACAACTCAGCCGTTCATCCGATTCTAGTTTCTAGCCTGGCTTGTCCACGGTGTTGTCTAATACAAATAAGAATTATTCTGGTGAGCCAGTGATGGTCGTACCTGTGGCCGTAGACCCCGGAAAAACAAACCTATCACCCTCTTTCCTAATCGCAACCACCAAGATAAGCAATTACAACAACATATGCAAACTCACCCCACTTTTCCAGCCTTCCCAGAGCTTTGAGGAGACACCGGAGTGTTCGGAGTGGACCATGGAGGCGGGAGCGAGGGGGAGGTTGGGAGGCAGCTGGAGTGTGAGCTCCAAGTCTGACTCATCGATGCGGTACACGGCGACCACTTCTCGCTGAGACCGAACACGCACCTACCATGCAAAAAAATAACAATGAATTCAAGTTCTGAATATAGATAAAAGATATTTATACCGATTATATATTGGAGCAGCAGATAAATGCTTTACTGCGCAGAAAAACGCCCAATTCATATAAGCGCCTTTAAATTAAAAATCATAAATAAAAAATGAAACATGACATTCACCAGATCTGATGTGTCCGGAAAACATAAATATCTGACAAAAACAGCTTGTTAAAACGAGAAATTAAAATTCTTCGAACTTATCGCAGCATCTCATAGCGTACCGTTACAATATCGTCAGCGCTCTTGAACTCTCGAATGGCAGCCAACTCTTCCGCGATGATCAGCGGCGATAAATGCTGCGTTGTGAACCTGCAGACGTGAACAAAATCAAAATATACTCCACGATCGTTAATTAGCGTAACTAGAAAGTCGTTCATCAAAATAAAAACTAATTTCTATCAAATTAGTTAAGGATTGGAAACTATCAAAATAGATACAATAGACCCGTATGTCCCGTAAACACACAGGATGACATCGCTAGTTGTGTTAAACTAAAGAACTAAAATCGAAATTTAGAGAACTAGCCTCAACCACTGGGAACATATATGTATTAATGATGAGCTCAATTAAATTCCACAGAACGATTTGGCATATTAACAATATCCAGCAGTGAATGATTTGGCATTCATAGGAAGAGTTAGTAAGAAAACTTTAGGAAGAGCACCTATCGAAAAAAGACAAATTTACACCACGTGTAATCACGCGTACAATTGACAAGTTGTTAATCTCAATGGATGCATCGATCAGAAGTTGTTGCTGCACTTGATCAAACAAATAAAGATTGCAACTGACACGTTGATAAGCCACACACAAGCAATAAAGATTGCAACTGACACGTTGATAAGCCACACACAAGCAATAAAGATTGCAACTGACACGTTGATAAGCCACACACAAGCAATAAAGATTACAACTGACACGTTGATAAGCAACACACAAGCAATAAAGATTACAACTGACACGTTGATGGTCTCGGAGTTCTTCTTGGACTGCGCGTGGTACCAGGTCCGTGCCCAGTAGGGGAAGAGCGACAGACTCTGGCGGTAGAGCTGACACGCCACCCACCACACTACGTAACTCGTGCCGCACTCTGCAGTTAAATAAATTAGTTACAGGAAAAATGATACAATGAAGGATGTGATAAATAAATACAGCCAAACAAGTTTGTTGCAGAATAAAGTATAAAATGAAGGATGTGATGAAGAAATGCCGATATGTGAGCCAATCAAATGGATTTAATCCCCATGGGATTAAATTGTGAGTTTCCAATGGTCAGTCATTCACATGTACGGCATTTGACAGTGCAATCCGCAAGTTCTTTCAAATCATTTAGGTGAAGTCATTTACAGAGGATTCTTAAAATTAACACAGTATGTATAAAATATCACATAAAGTACTACTAAAAATATGCTATCAACGCTATTTTCCTCAATAAATTCTAGCTTTTAACGATAATAATTACCATATTAACTGGTACACACATATATATATTAGCTTCTTGTTAGTTTTTTCAATAAGTCGTACTAAATTCTTCGTAGGTGTTGGAAGATTGAAAATCAAATTACCGATAGACATTTTTAATATTGAACGACGTTTCGAATGTACAACATTCATTTTCAAGTTAAAGACGCATAGAGTAACAAAATTTGGGTTGACATATGAACGAAATCAAGTAAATTGGATACCATTCAAATAATGCTAAAATTTCGTTAATGTGATACACACATTAACGAAATGTATCACATTAACGAAATTTTAGCATTATTTGAATGGTATCCAATTTACTTGATTTCGTTCATATGTCAACCCAAATTTTGTTACTCTATGCGTTCAAACTTGCATAAAAGAAAAGCTTCTGCCGAATTATACCGATATATATATATATATATATATATATATATATTCGATTGACATAAAGAAACTGCCTTGCACAATAAATAATTTTTGTCAACTTTTGATAAATACTGGAAACTTTACCAACCTTGAGGGTTAAGTAGGTCCAGCGAGGTGGTGAGCATGGACGGCGGAGGGTCGCGTGAAGCGAGACGACATCTGCGAGGGAAGTGATGCTGCGGGGGCATCAACTTCACCAGCATCGTCAGCAGCAGCGGCAGCAGGTCGCCATTCCTGCATAACGCGATGTCAGTTACAGAAATCCTTATAACATAAACTGTTTATGAATTTCAAGAATGGGGAATTCACTGCAGGTCGATCCATTGCGACGAGAGCCTCGATGTTCTACGTTGCAACTGTCCGATGTCAATCAGGCGTCTCAATCTATTCATTATAATTATATTCTAGGATTAGATCACCTGCAACTGAGATGTAATATTCGCTAAACGTTGTGTAGATTGATGAAAAATTACTAGACCTGAGTCAGGATGGACAACATCACACAATCAAGACCCCAGTAGTGGGCGGAAGTCACGGGTCTATAAAAAAAACTGGGAACCTTAGGAAGGCCCCCAGTAACTGACAAGTAAGCAGTCATGTAACTCGCGTTAGAGCCTCTCAAACCTAACGGTCGACGTATTAGCCTTATCTCTCTAATATAATTCTCATGTATTACCACCCCGTATCAAGATAAGTTCTAGACAGATATTGTCTTACTTATCCCTAACGCACCTTGTCAACGAATCCATGTCCTCGGGTACGAATATATATAATGTCAGGCGACGCTTAATATCGCCGCCTGACAAAACCGCTGGTCAAACTTCATTTCATCAAGGACTGACGAAAATCAGGCATTTATGCGATGAAGAAATGAGGCTGTTTGATACAGGTGTGATGCCTTTTTCCCCCTAAGTTAATATTCATGAAAGTATATATGTTGATTCGCAAATTTAATGCCGAATACTAATCTACACAAGAACAGGCATCGTGTTGGAACCTTATTCTTACTTTAACTCGGAGGCGTAGAGAGGCCTGACGTCGTCAGGACATGCGAGGAGAGCAGTAAAGCACGCGTGCCATGCCAGGCAGTAGGCGAGGACGTAGCTGTGGGAGTCCGTGTGTGGGAGCACCACAACTCGCTCCCCCAACACTGGCCGATCTTCCAACACCGCCGACACTATGCTCCCACACTGTATACATTATTGAGAAATACACGTTAAAAGGCGATCAGCTGAAATGTAAAATATAAGAAATTTTGATAACTCGCAATTCTCACAATAAAAGAGGTGCTGGACACACGTGCTGTCTGGTTGAGTCAATAAACTGAGAAAGAAAATGATCAGTAAGAATGAATTTATTCCGCAGTTTCGACGAAGGGTACAATTATCGAACTAAGGTTGTAACTCTAGAACTTGATAAAGGCAAACCTTGAACGAATAAGACATACATTCAATAACGCGCACGTTACTTTGATCAAAATTCTACCGAATACGCTAAAAGTTTCCTCATTATAGACTTTTTGCTGCGCCATTTAACCGAAAACGTAACCATTCCCCCGGAACCAAGAAGACGAAATCTTCTTACATCAGAATCATATAGCTGAATTTCACACGCATATTTAGAGTAACAATAGCATTTTCACTCAAGTAATTTTCACATTAGTATAGCAAATCTTTACCTGAACGATGAGTCGGATGAGCACGTTAGGCAATGCAAGCTCTTCCGTCAGTGCACCTTCTTTCTCTGAGATTTTAGGGGCGGCAGTTGAGTTGAGCTGCTGCATGACAGACGGCAAGCATCGCACCAGAAGAGCATGACTGGTGCCGCTCACCACAGGGTGGCATGACACGAGTCCCGCGCACAGATGGTTCAGCAGCACCTGACCAAACATAGTAGTGTTCACGTTTACGAAATAAGCGGGGCTAGAAATAAGAAAAATTAAAATTTTCAACACCATTTAACATTAATTTATTTTTCTGGAAAAAACGCATTTCCGTTCTACTTGAAATTGCATTATTTTTAAATAATCATGCTTTTAATAGTAAAAATATAGCACCTCTTATCACAATTTGCCACCCTTCTATGTTCGTTGTGAATTTTATTTGCACGCGGGTCACTTAGTTTACTCTAAACTGTCTTTAAATTAACCAGAAGAGTAGGATCTATACAGTTAATAAACTTTTTCCCCACTTGTAGGTTGTCAGGAAGCTTGAGAGTTCGTTCATCGTCCTTGGGATGATGGAGGGGAGGCAGGGCGTGCCGTGACAGCTCCCTCAGCGGGACAGCAGCAGCGTACTCACTCAGGGCTCGACACGTGCAGTAGAGCAGCACGCTGCGCCGCTCAGGACTGCAGTAGCGGTCTGCACACAGCATCATGCCAGGAGTTGCGCACGACTTTAAATTTAATTTACATGTAAACACAAGAAAATTTTATTATGACACTCCATCCACAAATGATATGTTTTATTGTACGACTCTTATAACCAAATGTATACAGATATGACCGGTGCTTTCAATGCCTATCATCGCGAGACGCCTGATTACAACAGTTACCTTAAGTAGGCGAAATGTCAAAAGAAACACCAACTCTGACAAAAATTTAATGGCAAGCGAGATTATTCCATAAAATTTACTGAAACTGCTCATTTACTATAAAAAATTATAACGCTACCGTTCAAATTTTATAACGTCCAAGCGTCGTGTTGGATGAGCCATTTTATGTACTGACGACTAAGACATGTTGCTCCTGCTACAAGTTTAGTAATGAAGTTTACAATTTTAATGATCAACCGAAGGTTAGGAAGAGCATCAACGTAAAATATTAACAAGAGCTTTGAATATTAAACCGGAACTCACCGGCAAGGTGACAGTGTAGCGGCAGCAGGACGGAGTGCAGGAAGCTGCTGAAGAACTCCTCCCATTCCTCTTGCAGCTTCTCAGGGAACTCGCTGCGCTCCTGAAATATTAACGCAGCTGCTGATGAAGTCTTTCAATATTCTTGTGCACTAATTGTTTTGATGCTAAATAATACTGCGTAATTCTACTCACATAAGAACTCTGAGTGACAGCACAAAACAAAATATTTATGGATGATTTACGATGAAATTGGAGATCATTTGCTGTGATGCAATCACCTATATGGTAGAGAATGTCAAAAAGTACTGAAAAGACAACAACATTCAACAGTGAGAAAAAATACATAGAAAGAAAGAAATACCAGGGAAGAATGGGAGAACAAAGCAACCAGAAGCAATGAGAATACGACAGATTTAGGGAAAATGAGACGACACAAGGGAAAAAGAAAATACGTTAAATTAAATAAAAACAAGAAAATACGTTAAAATTAAATAAAAAATGTAACTCAGTACTCACTGCAGTGAGTGACAGAGAGCGCATTTTCTCGTCGACGAAAACGTGAGGTCACAGACAGACGGATGGACATGACGAGCACAATAGGGCATTTTTTCCATAAATGAGAAAATGCGCTAAAAATGCTAACAGGAGGCAAAAGAGCGAAGTAAGAGGAGTACGGAGAGATAAATAATTTGCCAAAACCAGGAGATTTGAGAGGAATAAGAGAGGATATTATGACATGAAGAGCAAATCTGTTTGAGCAAAACAACTTAACGCGGCCAGCAACTGACGGCAGGACTGGCGGTGTCCAGGGCGGTCATGACGGCCTCGACGGCGGCGACGCATTCAGCGACGCAGCACAGCAGCGACATTAACGAGCTGCTTCTCTCTACGCTCTGCTGCTCAAAAACCATAAGTCTTAAGACCATCATATTTTGAGACAATCATATTTTACACCATCATATTTACACCATCATATTTTACACCATCATATTTTGCACGTAAAATATGAGCTAAATTATTTATAGCTAAAATTCGAAACAACTCTCCTGCTCAACTATAGAGAAAAATTTTCTTTGACAAAACGCCTAATTCCGTTGTTACAAAAAAAAACGATTAAAGAGAAAATATAATAATCGTTTTAGCCAAAGTATTTGTCAGAGATTGAGAAAATGAAAGAATTGTAAATCATTCGAGTCACGTTCACTAAAAAGATATAAGTTCATAATAATATAAACGAAACAGAAATTTCATGGAATAATGGACTAAACAGAACTCGTGCCATTGATGCCAACTTAGACTAAATTTCAGCTACTTTTCAAAGGAGTTATTTATATTAAAAATCAAATATAAATCACAGAATTACCCGAGTGGAGTCGCCCATTGATTGCACCCAGGACGTGAGGGCACACAATAGCCGCTCCCAGTGAAGTGGTGTCAAGTGACGAGCGTGCCGCTGCACCACAATCCTCACCACACGCACCACCTTCACCACCACACTGATGTCCTCATCACGCGTCGTGATGCAGTCCACGTCCCTAAGAACAGTTTGCAGGTTGCCATTTGTAATAACTCTTAAAAGATTCCAACACAACCTCATATCCTTAAAATAGAGTTAAAATAAATATACCTATAGCAATTAGGAATGTCTGCGACTAAAATGATAAGAGAAACATTATGAATATTAACTTAAAAACACAGGTGAAGGAGAACGAGCTATGTGCTTAGTACAAGCCATGTAAAGAGTTGCAATTCGGAGACAGGATGGAAAAAAAGGTTTGTAACAATTTAATGATAGGGATGTTTTTTCATGGAAATCTTTTGACGAACGTACTGTGCGAACAGGAAAATCGTGGGCGATTCTTTCCACCACTGCAGCAAGACGTCCATAACAGCTTGCACATGGTGGCGTGAGTGGTTTGCAGGGCAGCGCAGCAGCGCACCACCTATCACGGCGAGGACGTCCGCCCCACTGAACGGGTCTTCACTCAGCGACTGCAGGTTGACCACCTCCGTATCAAGGAGCGGTAGTAGCTCTGATGCCGGCACGAACTGGAGCAACACCTGCGACCAGAAAAAAATAACCTATACTTGGATTTATCCTAGTGAATCTGTAACCTACTTACAATCTCCAATCTAACAAATGAGTAATTTAAAAATTTCTTAGATTTGAGATTCGCATTGTATTGTGTATGTCATTCATGTTGCAAAGCATCGAACATAAAACAACTCCTGTTCGAAAAACACGGTTTCTGATGCATCGGGTAAATCTGCCAGTTTAACTTTCTTATACAAATCACAAATAATCTACCCCTCTGCAGAGTTAATTAGGTTTCTAGACATACCGTATTTCATACAACATTTTTCACTAAATGCTATATTTTCAAACCAAACTATCACTTTCAGTACTTGGAACAATTAACTAAACAATTAACAATTAAAACAAATCAATTAACAATTAACAATTATTCGCTTGCATAAACCTTTCTATCTCTTATGCTTCATTTAGTCGATTTATCCATTCTAAGCTAACACAAATTTTACTCAAGGCTACCGTACATGGCAAAATACTTGCTAAACTCACGAAATAATAGACAAAACAATAGGCAACAGGCCATGGGCCTATTTCTTCAGTGCCGATTCTATTCTAATATCCACATCTATCCAGTCGCGAAAAACCTTTGAATTTAGAGTATTCCAAGAAATATAATTCAATAGAAAAATTTGCCAAGCTACAGAATAACCAAAGTAATAAATCCATCTTACATTTTTCCCACGCGATAAAACTCTTAAATAATGAGTTGTTATTGTTAATTATTCATTATTTGATGCAGATCAATAATGAATTAATAACAATAAATCAATTTATGCTATTAATCTTATGTGCGACGTGCACCCGAAGTTCGTTTGAACCAGACGTCACGGTAAATGCTTCGTAGAATAATAATAATAATAATAATAATAATAATAATAATAATGAGTTAACACTATCTCAGTATTCGTTAGGATAATTTGCCTGTTTGACAGCAGTGGCATTGAATGCCGTGGCACTGAGCGTGTGCAGGAGTTTGGACGCGTTGACGCGGTGGTGCCAGAGTGCCATGAAGCGGCGTAGTGTGACACTCCACAGACCAGTGTCGCTCTCACCCGCCATGTCGCGCACGATCTGACTTATCTGCTGCACGTTGCCTGTGTTCAGCCGCCGCAACTGTAATGGCAATTACAAATTAAACCACAATACAAATGTGAGGACACAGGGGACAAGAATATAAAGAAGGGATAAACAATGAAATAACTCGTTTAAGCACATATAAAATTGAACAGTAGACAAGAAATACAGCTTAAAAATGAATGTCAGCAAAATTATTTACATCGTCAGAGCTTAATCTTCAAACAAAGTGGTTTATAGATGTAATCTTGCTCAGCGATATAGAGTGGACAATCACTACTGACGAGGGCGTTGGTGTTGACGTTGAGAGCGGCGGCGGTGGCGCGAAGGGCGGCAGGGACGTGACGGAGGTTGAGGGCGTCGTGCAGGGCGACGACGGTGTCCAGGTAGCAGGCAGCGTGCACGCACACGCACGCCAGACGGCAGAACGGACCCAGGGAAACCTGTTGGTATTTTCATTTATTATACATGCTCACTTCAATAAATTTTTTGTATTGAAATCTAACATATCTAACATTTCAGTCCAATGAAATTTAGTGTTGGTAATGGGTACTTACATTACTTACAAAACAACTTTTTGAGAGGGAGTATATTTGAGAATCCTCTGAAAATAATTCAGAGGATTTGAATTCAAAAAGTACGCTAGTAAAAAAGAGGCAGGACAGAAAGCGGGATCATTCTCTACGGAAGCTTCAAAATCTGCTATGAAAACAAATATTTTTTTCATGTATCGCTTTCCTCATGATGAGTTGGAAGAAAAATTTAAAATCAAACAATATTACAATTTCTAAGCATTGACATAACATTGACAAAAATGATGAACATCTCTACCATTGTGATCAGAAATGATATACTACATTTTAACAGGTCTTAAAGAATTCACGCCACTCGATTGGCTAGGTAAGCAGAACTTGATCATTTGAAACTCTACCTGTTCTTCCTCGTCACCAGCGTGGGCTTGTTGCTCACAAGCCACTGGTGATTTTTCACCCTCAAGCTCAAGGAGGAGCTGCTCGACCTCCCCCAGGGCCGCGTCTTCAGCAGGCACTCCGTCACTAGGCGCTGTGTCGTCATCGTGCTTTTGTTTGGCGTCGCCGCAGAGCTTGAGTAGCACGGAGCCCAAGAACACGGCCGTGCGGCAGTAGCTGTCGCCACCTATCGTCTTCTGATCAAAAAATATAAATTAAAAAAAAAAATTATAAATTTCAACAGAAGTACAAGACAAAGAATACATATATTTGTTAGTGTTTGTATGAATTTTGTTCAACACCAGTACACGACAAAGAATAAATTTACCGGTATTGTTTTCGTGATTTAGTGTTTTTTTTGTACAATACATAGATTTAGTATAACATGTACACAATATTCAGAAGTCAGATTAAATTAGAAGACATTAGCAAGAAGAATATAAAAAATTTAGTAGATAAAATTAACGTTGAGACATTAAGCATTATTACAAATAGAAATTAAGATAATTGCCAATAGAAAAATATCTTTGATTTTGACTTAGACATTACGAAAAAAATATATTGGTCATATGATGGTCCGATGCTGTAAATCTCGTTCATAACAACGAATATTAATTAATAAAGTGAAATAACCTGTTTCATGAATGATAGGAGTTTATTCGGGGAACAATACATTAAGAAGGAAAGATGACCAAACCTGGAGTGTTGTAGGGAGTTCACATTTGCGGAAGCTGCAGGAACCAACGAGTGCGGTAGGCACGAGGTAATCGTGGCTCATTTGCGTCTCCCACTCGACCAAGTCACCCTCGGAGGGCAGAAGAATCGTGAGTGCGTCTCTCACTTGCTGCTGGTCCAGAGGAATATCACAGTCCTGGTCCGCGGCCGCGGATGATACAATCAACAGGCACTCGCTGGTGAGGGTGGCCAAGTGAGAAGTTCCTCTGTAGCTGCAGTCGGGATTGTAGAGCGATGTCTTGATATGCCCTAACAGATTCTTGAGGAACACGTCCAGTTCGTCCTTAATGTTCACGTTCTCAGTACCAGAAATAGACACCGCTGTCAAAGCAAGCTGTTCAAAGGCACCGAAGGCTACTAATCGCAATCGCGTGATGAGTTTCTCAGGTAAAATGCTTCCGACTAGGACGTCAGTTGACTCGTCGTTATCTTCTGAATAAAATAGGAGAAAAATGTAATTGAGGAAGAAATAAAATGTTCAGTTGTAAGAAAAGCGCAATATAAATGAAAAATACCGTAAAATAGAACACCTAGAAAGAGAAATGTTTTGACAGACAATCTCAGGAATTGTTCTTGAACTTGTTGCTTCTTGAGCATTATGAATGTAGCCGTCAAATACGAAATATAGAAGTTATCAAATTATTGCTTTTATAATAAACATGAATGAAAAAGCCTTAACAGACAGATTTAAAAACAGTGTATAGGCACCCAAGACATTTGATCCCTGGAGAATATCTGTGAAGGCTGAAATTGCTGACAAGTAAATAGGACTTCACGTAAAATCTCAACTCACTGTCTGCTTCTGGCTGAGCGAGCAAAACATCGACAGGGCAGAGGAGCAAGAAAAGAGCGAGCAGCAAGTCCGTGGAGTGAGGCAGGAGCCAGCAGGAGCTACAGCTGAAGACGGTGCTGGCGAGCTGCACGACGAGCTCGACGTTGCTGACGATGCTCTGTGCCGTGTCTTGGTGGTTGTCGATGTGTAGCTCGCTGGGCAGCGACGAGTAAAGTACCATCAGCACCTGAGACACGTAGTTCGCGCTGAACTCCAGGCGACGAGCTGTCCCAAGGAATTTTGGTGCTTTCATTCAGGAGTTTAGCAATTAATGGAATACACACAAAAACATTTACTCCTGAGTTACTTAAGAGATACATTTAAGCAAATTTACGGCCAATGTACAAGATGATAAATATGAGTATATGGATTTTAAATTAAAAACACGGAGCAGAGGCGGAAATTTATGAATTTAGTCCGCAAACAATGTCTTACCAGCAGTTAAAGTCTTGTCAGCCGCCGTGACTTGAGAAGACAGGACCAATTGGAACAATGCAATGAGGTGTCCGCGCTGGGTCTTGGCGTTCACCATGGCTTCTCCGTCATCATTGCTCCCTCTTTCTTCTTCATCAATATTATCATTGCTTCTGCGACCAGTGTTATCCTTTTTGCCTTTTTTGCGTCTGAGTTGCTGTTCCTCTATTTGCATCTCTTGTTGCTCGTATGCCAAGGCGAAGTTGATTGCTAAAGCTTCCTTGAGCAGCGACACGAGCTTCGCTCCAAGAGGGGCTGATGACAGCCACTCCGTGAGAGGTGGTGATGGCGGGTGATGGTAAACTGAGATGTGCTCCAGCAGAGCACGCGTCGCCTCAACAGTAGAGCCTTTCTGTTAAATTAAAAAGTATGCGTTTAGATTCAAGTTTATAGAATAAAATGAATTAGTCTCTGACCGCAAAATTGATGCATATAAATCAAAATAAAGTTTGCCATTGAGTTATTATGAAATCTAACGAGCAGAGTTTAGTAATAGAATGATGGACACAAGATTTAGTACTAAGTACTAACGCATCAGCTATCAAAAAATCGCATACTACAGTCAGCACAGAATAAATATCTTCAACATATAAGAAAGGGCTTACATACATTACTTTAAATAAAAATCAATCAATCAATCAACCAAGATCGCAATCACATTAAAGCTGATGAAAAAATAGCAGCGTTAAAGACTTAGAGAGACGTAGGAGAGACAAGGAAATAGCAAAATAAACGCATACATTTCTACAAGTAGTCGCTTAAACGTGACGTCGATCACCCACACGAAAGAAACAAAGAAAGTAATTATGAGGGCAGAAACCTTCCTATATATCAACTTAACCCCACAACTGAGGCAGTTGGGCACCGCGTGCTCTGTGGTGCATGAGGTCCAAAAGAACTTTGTCCTTAAAAATTCGGAATTCGTAAGCCATCTAACGGGTAGAGACAAGCCTCAACTATTATTTGAATAGGCATTCGAATCTGGATTTAAAGCCATGATACAGGTACAGGTCCAAGGTAAAAAATCTTGATTACTTCCTGAATAACAATCAAATAACATAAATAAATAATTGAAAACCACGAAAATTGTCGAATGAATCGCGTTAACTCACGAGCACGACAGCGAGCACTTGAGTTTGCTGCTCATCGCTGAGCGTGAGCAGAAGTTCATGGAGCAGTCTGGTGAGCAGCTGCTGAGCGGCATAGTCAGGATACCCGAGCAGAGGAACCAACACATCCATCAGGAAATGACAACAAGAGCCGGCACCATCTTCGGGAAGAACTTGATCGTAAGGACGAACGTCTCGGAAAATAGAGACCAACTCAACGAAGATGTTCAGCAGTGAAAGTTTGCTGCTTAAATCCTCGTTTTCTTGATTGTATAAGCGGCAGCTTAATGTGACAAGTTCCCTTATAACCTCAGAGCTGTTGATGAACTGAGATATGAACATTTCTTTAGAGCTTGCCCCCATAGACTGTTTTCTGCGAAGCGGAGAACTTTCGTTATTCTCCTGATTTTTAAATAAATCAGCATCGGAGGGGTTAGGAATTACGGTAATAGTCCGTAAATCATTTTCTTGGTCTTTCATTTCGGAATGTTTATCAGTATCCTTTGGAGAGCCTTCTTCCTGGGAACTTGCTTGAACACCCGACTTCTCTTGAACAATTTTGTTCGAACTTTCGTCAATAACTTTACACTCCCTAAACTTGACACCACTTTTCTTGGACTTTGTATGACGCTGTGGGTTGCGTATTGTCTGCAATAGCAGCAAGATCTGCCTTAGTTGCAAAGGTTGCTTGATTGTCAATACACCAAGGCAGTGATGGAAGCAAGTGTTCCAAAGAGCGTCCAGAACGGTCTGGTCCAATTGGTTTCGTGCCCAGAAATTCGACAACGAGACCAGTTCTTCGTAAACAACCTCGCTGTCGAGCTGCTTGCCGGAGTTCAAGGAAAGCAGCATAGCGCTGCCTAGCTATAATAAAAAGTTTTGTTTTAATAATGAAATAAACAAACATTGTCCAGAAAATTTATAACACACAACAAGAATCTAGGAACGTCTATAACTATTGTGACAATCGCTTTAGAATGTCAAGAGAGTACAATATCAACAAATCAATTTCTCGAAGCAATACGTTATACAACGTCATTACAGCCAACAATTTTTTCAAGGGCAGATATAATTTATATTTTCCCTTACCAGCTCAGTCATAACTTGCTGCCAGAAGCCCTCTTCAAGTTCAGAATCTTTACTGAACAGGCGCACGCACTCGAAGAGCGTCTTGACCGCGACTGTCGCTTCCTGTCTGCTCTGCAGTTCCTCACTGCGCTCTATCCTGTAATGGTAAAAATATTTTTAAAAAATTTAAATCAGTACTCACTGCAGTGAGTGACAGAGAGCGCATTTTCTTGTCGACAAAAACGTGGAGTCACGGACGGACGGACGTACATGGCGAGCACAATAGCGCTTTTTTTCCATGAATGAGAAAATGCGATAAAAAGACATTCCTTTCTGTAATACCATTCATCCATCATCATTGCTTTGTTTATTTAATGAAACATTCAACAGCTTATTTACCATGTAGGCAGTATCTGAAATGAATAAATTGACATAAATAAGCTTTAATATATACTTTAGAATTTATTCCGAAAGCAGGCCAACGCAACGCAATGGCAAACAAATCTTTATTTCACACAAGCTACTTTAAGGAAGGAGCAAGCTACAATTTGCAATAAGTAATTACAATCAAAGTAAATCATAATGATTTCGTAACAACGCATCACTCACAAGCCATAGATCTGCTTCAACAACTTCATGTAGAAAGACTGAGGCTGAGCTAGTGCGGTGCGAGGCATGACTGCCAGGAGAGGCAGAAGCAGAGGCAGCACTTCTGCAGCGACGCCCCTGCACTTCTCCTGTAGGAGGCGAAGCAGGCGCTCGCTCAGAGGCTTGCGGCTGCTGTCACCAAGCTCCTCCCAACATTCCTGAGATATTCATTCCAATTAGAATGCAGCTGCATGAATTAGCATTCATATGCATGAAGAATTAGCCATTAGCATTCATATGCATGAAGAATTAGCCATTAGCATTCATATGCATGAAGAATGAATAAAATGTCAGTCTTCTTCAGTAATCGTCGTTCATTTTACACAGCTTTAAGATAATAAAAATATCTTATTTGAAACAACGATCATTTCTCTTTAGCAGTTGGAACAATGGAAATACATTAATATTTTGTCTATGAATCAATAATGACCATATAAAGGATAAACACAAGCTTAGCTACCTTATGAATGTAGGTACACAAAATAAGAATAAGAATATTTTCCTCGAAATACTTGTACCTGAGAGACAAGAGACAAATTAGAGACACAAATTGAGAGACAATAGACAAATGCACATATACAGCAGACAAAAATAAAACCGGATAGTTTTCATAACCTGAAATTAGGAATCAAAAAACAATATGCCTTACCGTCCATCGGTCACCATGCAGATGATGATATGCATCAATAAATACATGAAAACGACCAAAAAATAGCAACATTAAATCTGTAACGAATAGAGCAGCCGAGACCAACCTATGCCGCTATCGCAAATAATAAATTTTAAGTAAAATGTATTTCATATGAGAATTTTGTTAGTGACGGTAAAATTTAAGAACAACTAGGTAGTAATGCTTATGAAAATAATAAAAATAAACCATGATGGCCCATGAAATAGTGCGGCACATCAATGAACACCCGAGTGAAAAAATGACGGGCTTGTATTGCTGAACAATATTTTATCAGTAGCAATAATTAGACAAGACAATAAGTTGTAGAGGCTGACCTTGTGGGTGTCAGCGAGCTGCAGCAGGGCAGCGTTGAAGTTAAAGACAAGTGTGGTAATGACGGGCCTGTATTGCTGAACAATATTTTAGATATTATTTAGCAGTATAAATAATTAGACACAAGACAATAAGTGATAGAGCCTGACCTTGTGAGTGTCAGCAAGCTGGAGCAGGGCAGCGTATGCGTGCGGCACAACAGCAGCGTCGGCGTCACTGAGTCCAGCGCGGACCGCCAGACTCGCGGCGCGCACGTCGCACCCGCCGCTCCTGGTCACCTCGCACACGCACTCGAAGAAACTGCACCGCACCTGCTCACGCGGAGGTCCTTTATCTTCTAACAATAAATTAATCATTTATCTCCTAAAAATCAATCATTCATCTCCTAACAATCAATCATTTATCTCCTAACAATAAATTAATCATTTATCTCGTAACAATAAATTAATCATTTATCTCCTAACAATCAATCAATCATTTATCTCCAAACAATCAATCATTTATCTCCTAACAATAAATTAATCAATTATCTCGTAACAATAAATTAATCATTTATCTTTTAACAATCAACCAATCATTTATCTCCAAACAATCAATCATTTATTTCATAACAATCAATCATTTATCTCCTAACAATCACTCATTTATCTCCTAACAATCAATCATTTATCTTGTAACAATCAATCATTTATCTCCTAACAATCAATCATTTATCTCGTAACTATTGTACGTCCTGGGTGCAAACACATTGTCTGTGGACCCAAACCTCGGGACAATCAGGGGATTGGGTCCAGACACAATGTCTATGGGCCAAAGCTCAAGATTTTCGACCAGGACACCTAGTGTGAATGATGATATCTGCTCAAACATTGTGTGTGTAATGATACTGGCTCATTAGTCATGATACTCCTGAGGGCATGTATACTAGTGAAAATAATAATTATAAATAATTACTGCACCACTAAACCGATTAATAGTGAAACAAAACAATCAATTAGCGTTATTTCATTCACTTCATTAGAAATTTTTGTCAACCGCTAGCTAATACATTCACTGGGAGATTACATTAGTAGTTGACATTGAGGCGGCAACACTCATGGCAACTGTGACTGTAAGTCGTCTCATAGTTGATGTTTGGAACAGCTAAAACAATAAGCAATTAATTAAAATAAATTAATAAGCAATAAGTAACCTCATTCTATTCAAAATTAGGAAATGAGGGGGAAAAGTTTCACGCCACAAATACTGTAGTTCTTAACAACGTAGCCTGAAACAACATCAAATAGAGCCCAACATAACGCGCTATTTGTAATGAAATGTAGTGAGATCTATAAAATGAAGCTACAAAACTGAAGTATTCAAGTTATCTAATTTTACCCCTTCTACGTACAAAACCAAATTCTACGTTAAAAATAAATATGCTACACCTATCATTCTTCAAATAAGACGGACCCAATCCCTTATCACTTTAAATTTTCCAGCCCATTTGATCAATGTAATAAATCAAAAAAAGAAACTTTCACACACCAAAATGTTGTTTACCTTGAGGTTTGGATGCTTGTGTAGTTTCCAGAAATTTTCCTTGTGCAGGAGGGTGGACAGCACCGGCAGCATCTGAGTGGCAAAACTTGTGTGGTGTTTGGTGAGGCGCTGCACTAGAGCAATGCTTTCCAAACTGCAGCACAACACGCGAATGTATTTCTCTTCACGTTCCACGGAAGTGCTAGCTCTGTAATTAATAGAAATTGGGGTCTTCATCAAATCAACTTTAGTCTCTGACACAAGATCCGAACTTAGGAAAAAAGAAGTGTTTAGATTCATGATTTAGGTCATGAATATGGATGCTGGTAACACCCAGTTATAGTTTATAATTGACAAAAAGATTATAATTTTTTAATTGGAATGGGATTCATAAAAATTGTTTTACCATTCACAAAAACAGTGAATTTTGGCCCTTGAAAGGAGATAATTCACACAGTGTTCAATAAATCACCCTGAAATACAGATGAAATCGACAAATATTGGTGGTTCTATAAGATTGCAGAACTCACTTGGGATCGGAGAGACTGTCAGCAGTTTGTTGGAAGAGATTGTCTAGGATGAAATCAAATATTTCTTTGCTGCACAGAAACAATACCCCAGGCCGTTTGTCCTCAGCAAACACCTCCTGAAATACAATGCACATATACATATAAGCAATTTACATAACATCTAAGTATTGATTATAAAATGAATTTCAGCTAAAATACTTGTGAATTTTTCATTAATCATGATGCAATTTACAAATTAAACCTAAAAGGAATTAAGTCAAGAGTGCAGGAAATCATGAAGTAGGTAATCTACCTTGAAAGCTCTGTTAGCTGCCACAGCAGCGGCAGAGTAAGGATCATTCATGGCAAGCAGCCAAGTGGGCACAACACTCTTGAGGTGTGGAGCCATTGACTTGCCCACCTTGATGGCCAGGTGTCCATGGCATATCTGAGCACATTCTCGTACCTATGATACAATAAATAATAGTTGTAATTATCTCCAACATGAATCTTGGGACAAGAATGTGCAAAATTTTCTTTACAAAAAGGAAAATTTTATGTCTCCCAAGAAGCTAATCTGTGGGCTTATCACCAATGAAAAAAAAAACACAGAATTCATAAACTTTTCTTCAAACTTTTTGTTTGAAAGACAAATTGTGCTGTATATAAGGTATCTTACATAGAATTAATTTCAGGCATAAAATAAATTTCATTGAGTACAGACAAGTGGTTTAAAATTCTGACAAAGTGTGGAAACATACTTTTTTCTCAGTGTCCAGGGAAAGTTTGCAATACAGACGAGGCCAAAATGGCAGGGCAGTTTCTGCTGAGCTCAACTCTTCTGTTTTTATTAGTTCCTCAAATTCTTGGAGAGCCTAGGGAGGGAAGGTAGTTAGATAAAAAGAAATAAAAAAATACAAAAACATGAATGGAACAAAAGGAAGGATTTGCAATATTAATGTGGCACATTTGTAAAATTTGTAATTTATGGTGATTAATCATGGTTTACACTTTACAAGTTCAAAATTTTTACAATAAAATATTCAAACTATTAAATTGAACTGACAGGAGGCAGGTGATTTGGACTAAGTCTAATCCATTGGCAAGGAAGTTACCAAGAATGGTGACTCAAAATTTTCACACAAAAATGCCTATACATCCATGGCATTTAATTAAGGCTACATTATCTTAACTCTTCTAATTACCAATCATCTGTTCTATGTTCAATTGCAACATGGATCCCTGCCACTCTGAAGGATTGAAATATTAGCATTTAAAAATCTTGTGGCTCAGACATGGAATATATATTTTTCTGTATTTTATCTACGATAGAAGATGCAATATCACATCAGTCAATTGAAGTACTAAGAGTTAAAAAATGTTTAGAAAATTTTTTAAGCTAGAAAAATTAACAGCATCTTTGAATTCTTGATTCTTTTAAAGTTTTACTTTAACTTTTGTGATGGAATCTTTTTTAGCCATCTTCCTGAAGGCAAGCCTGAAGCCATCTGTAATGGTGAGATCAGATTCACGATGTCCATCAGAAACTGAAGAGAAGCCTCCAGCAGCACCAAACCCCAGAAATGCACCGTTGCTCTTCAAGCCTCCAAGAAGCTCAGCAGAACGCACACTACTGGAAGGCTGAAAAAATTTGTAAAAATTATTCTAACTCTATAAAAATATAATAAAATTCTATTTGTAAACAAACTTTAAAATATTTAGTAGTGAAGTAAATTATGACATTTATAAAAAAGAGCCTGAGAAAGATCCAATCTGGAATTTCATGCAGAATTAAAAAAAATCATTGGTATAAACTATTCTTTTATGCCAGTATGAAAAGATCCCACAGTCGTATTCCTATATTGTATGGCAGATATACGTACACCACTGTTGGTATGTACCTACCGGTATATGATGGTATTCTGATTCACTGATGATATTCTAGACATTTAATTGTTCTGAAATTTTTACAGCTGCTTGCCTACAAAAATGTACATATTTTTGTCCCAGCTGTTGCAGTCCCTTCAGCATTAATTTCATTCTATGCAGTTGATTTGATATATAAAATATATACATTTTACAGATACATTTGCATGATGTCTTGGCTTTGTTGTTGAAAGTATATTTGCTCGTAAGAATTTATAAGAATACTAAACAAAATTTTTAAACATCTGTTAATCAGTAATTAGAATGATGAAAAACTGATTTATGGTGTAAGATAATGGTGCTGGTGATTTATGGTGTAATCAACTGATGGTGAACTGATTTATGGTGTAAGATAATTGATTAGTATTATCTCAGTTACAAGATAGGTATGAATAATAACAGTAGCTTGTAAATATTTTCCATCACAATGTACCTATTGTGTTAAAAAGTTTCAAAGAATTCTTAGATTGTATTATTTGTATAGGATGTATTTAGAAAATAATTGAAAATATGAAAGACTGCAAGTGCAAACAGGTTTCTGGTATGTTGGATGTATCAGGATGCCCTGCTGCTTATCCAGAAAACAGTTGCAATGCAAATGAGTGCTGCAGTACAAGTAGAGTAAAATATATAATATCAAAGTTGTTGGCAGCATTTTCTTTTAAAAAATTACTGGGTAACACATCTTGAATAATGCTGGTGACTAATTCCAAATAGAGCTGGCAACATTTTGGGCTTAAAGTTTGTATCTTGGCAATGCTGCTTGCAAACTATGAACCCTGGAATGACAACACGGATGAACTCACAATCCCATCAATCATCCACTGAATCACGGCTGGATAGGGGATGACATTACAATTCCATCAAACAATTAGAGCTGTAAAGGGGATAACATCACAATCCCATCGTTTGATGGGATTATGGACTGCAAACAAGAATACAGCAATCCCGTGATTAGCACGGTTTTGAATACCGTGGTTTTGATTAACGTGGAAAAAAAATTTGCGACCTACCCTTAGTCTACGCAGTGCCAGTTTTGATTAGCGCAACTTTTTTTTCACAACGCATCATTTTCCCGCCTCTAGCCAGAGGTGTTATGTTCGTAACAAAAGTGTTACTTATTGCTTATTAGATCTTATGTTGTTACTTTTGTTACGACTTTTGGAAAAATTCGCCAAATGTTGTTACTTTATGAATTTCAGCCAATAATTCTTTAAATAAGGTCCCGTTCCGTAGGCACTCGTGCTGACTACAGTCGGTTTAACCGCGCCTTGTCTCGTTCATAACTCAAATGGTCGAGTTCGGCAATGTTCGCCAGTAAGTGCGCCATGCCGGTGCTCTAGTTACTCGTTAGTCTTCAACTGGTCAAGATCGCTGCCATATCTACTGCTCATTTTTATCCAACTACATAATTTTCCTTGATAAATTACCGTCATAGTTATGGACAAAAAGGGAACGCTTAAACGTAAAAATATCACTTTGGAGACTAAGCTTGAAATTTAGAAAAAAAGATTATTTATTATTTAGAAAAAAATATGATGAATTTTAGTGGAAAAAAAAATTATTATGTAACTTTGCTATTTTTGAGGATTCATTATAATTATGCCCATATATTCTTAAGTTTGATTAGCGCGGTTTTGCTTAACACGGTAAAATTCAGGGATTTATTAACCGCGTTAATCAAGGGATTGCTGTAATCACAATCAAAGCTGGAAAGGGATAGGATTTGTATATAATTGACTGAAAGTGGAAAGTTCCTGGCCTTTCCAAGCTTTCAGGTCCTGCTTTCCAACCAGGGTGCAGCATTTGCAAGGAGCATCACCAAGATATGTATTTTTAGCCCAAAAGGTCACCAGCCATTTTCAAATGCGTTGCTGGGTAATTTTTTAATAAGAAAATACTGTAAGCAATTTTGATAGTATACCATCAAACAGGGTAAAAAGGGATGGTTTTGAGCATTTTTTGTTAATAACTTCTTACCATGAAACATTTCAGAAACATGTTTAGGTTCATTTTATAGCTCTTTGCGTTAGCTATCGAATGGCATCTTCAAAAAATTCCATATGCTATTTGTAAGGCGCTGAACGCAATGTAAAAGGCTCCTGAATTAATCTTGAAATGGGGTAAAAAGGGACACTTGAAATCAAACTCAATTTCAAACATTTAAAGCATGCAGAGTGTACTCATCTATTACTAACAGTAATTTGAAGTCTTCCTCTTTCATTGTAGATGATGTAGATGTAAAATAAATGCCATTTTCTGCAATTTTTACTTGTTTTTCCTTTATTGATATGATATTACCATATTCATTAATTACCATAAAATGGGGTATTAGACCGGCGGGGTAACTTAGACCACTTTTTGTTTTTTTAACAAAAACCCCCAAAAATCAAAAACTATTTGACATAGAAAAATTTTGTCAGTGGGCATTAAAGGTCTAATACTGAGGCTACATAACACAATAGAAAGATTTAAAAAGTTTGCATATCTAATAGGTTAAAAAATTAAAAATGTGACCCATGAAAAATTGCTATTATTTAAAGCCTGTCAGAGTACCCCCTCCAATTTTTTTTATTTTTTTGGTTAAATAACTCCAAGTTTTGATGCATTGTAGTAGAACTCTCCTAGTTACATATGCAAATGGCAAATTTTAGGAAAGTGTCATAGTTTGCAAAAGGGGGCATCGCCCCCAAATGGGGGAACTTAGACCACCTGATGTCAGCCCTGATGGGGTAACATAGACCGGCTTGGAAGTTAATATAAAATTACCATATTTAACATATTTTATGTTTGACAGCCTATTTATGTTTTTTTCTTTATGTTTCAGACTCTACAGAGTCTTATATATATATAGTAATTTTAACTTAATTTCCAAGCCAGTCAATATTACTCCATCAGGGCTGCCATTAGGTCATCACATTTCTCTCATTATGGGGTGGCGCCCCCCACCTGCAAACTATGCCACTTTCCTCAAGTTTGTCATTTGCATATGTAACTAGAAGAGTTCTACTACAATGCACCAAAACCTGGAGTTATTTGGAGTTATTTTACCAAAAAATATAATTGATTTTACCACCCAGTCTAAGATACCCCGAGAGCTGGGGTAACAAAGACCATCACTTTTTTTGAAATTACATCCTGCGTGCCCATGTTCCACACCTGGGGGCTCCTAGTGCCAATTCCAATTCCAATTCCTGGTGGTAGGGTTGGTAATTTTATTAGGGAGACCCCCAAAAACGCATTTACATTAGAACCTTGGTAAGCAAAGGCTCCAGTTAAGAAATAAAATGTATAAAAAAATTTTTAAAGACCACGTTTTTCATGTGGACTCAAAAGTAGGAAATGTTTTTTCGGCAGCTACTGATCTCTGTTTGCTTTCATTCTCTTGGTCTTTTGTATTTCAGTTAAAATATTTTACAACATCTAAAACGAAACACGTGGGGCGCATTTAGAACACAATAGATCACGTCAGAACACAATAGATCACGTTAGAACACAATAGATCGCATTAGAACACAATAGATCACGTTAGAACACAATAGATTGACAAGTTCTTTCAGCAGTAGCATTGGGCTTGCCAGACGTATGCACATTGTGATCAGGTGACAGATACAAGCAATCAAACAAGCTGAAAATGGGCGCGGTGACAGCGGGGCTGATCGAGCAATCTATAGTTTATGATCAGTCATGGCTCATGATGGCTGCCTGAGTCATAGTTTATGATCGGCCATGGACGCCGATTTAAGGTCGATGTGGCTGATGGAGAGCTTGAAAAGACGCCGATATCTCGAGCTGAAAGGCCCTACTCTACAGCCTGGTCTAAACACAAATATCCTCTCGAGGATGACGTGCATTAAAGGTTCCAACCCCTGCTTGTGAGTTCCTTTAGAGTTTATACGCCTAGAAACGTGCAACAAATTATTGATTATTGATTGTATTGTTATCGGGAGCTGAGCTTCCCTAAAAGTTTCAGAATTCAGAGCGCTAGCTAATGGGAAAGTTGGTGAAATATCGATTGCAAGATTTGATCATCACAGACACGAAAGCGAGCTAAGAAAAACGTGGTAAAATATTGATTAAAAACAAAGAATATTGATTACATTTACCTTGTTAGGCGAAAAAATTTTCACTTAGGCCTATCGAAAAATTAGTGGATCATCGGTCATCACAAAATTGTGCATAGAATGTCATATAGAGAATTGTGCACCAGGCATCATAGAATGAAAAATAATTGACCTAAACTATGATTTATTTCTGCAAAACTTATGATGGCTGTGAACTTGAGTAGCTAGCTATGAAGTAATTATGATTTTATACAGAAAGGTTATCATTTAAGCAGCACTGAATCCGAAGTCATAGAGCATACCTTCTGGTTTCCCTTAGTTCTTGGAGCATTTTTATCTTTACCCATTCTGATAACATCCAAGTTTTATTGATTTAAATTAATAATCTGTAGAAGACACACTGACATGAATATTATCTTCATGTGGATTAAATTATGTACAGTTCCGAAATCCGGAGCTGCTGAAATTTTTCGTGCGAATACTTTTGTAGCTTATGGTAGAGTCATTTAGCGAGAACATTATAATGATATGTAATGATTCAGTCAACAGCTCGTGAAATATACTTGATCACCATAAGCATGAATTAACACATTAAAATTCATATGACTACGCTTACGCAACGAGCTGGAATGTAAGTTCTCTTGAAAACTGACAATACCGCACAAGTTAATATTTTTATTCATAAATTATGCATTCACTTCGGAAGTGTGTGTTAGCGCTTTCACTTCGGAATTAGGAAGCTTATCCATTCTGAAGCAAATTCGATCACTTTCACATATTGTAAAAGGCTTTATTAGGATTCCCTTGTTCAGCACGCGCGTCCGTGCTTCAAGTGTTCATCAGCTCAATTACGGTGTTTGTACGCGGGGTCGGCTGGATAGCTAGAGGTCAGCATAGCCCAAGTCCACAGTACGATTCATAGACCTTCCCGAGCGTAACGCAGCCGGGCATATTCACGGCTTTTGACACAAAGCGCCCACCACAGCAGCGCCGTTCAGTCACAGGCCGCAGCGCATACAGGCCAGAGCTTAACTGGCCGGAGCGCAACAGCTACTCCTAACGTAACTTAACCTAACCTAACCTAACCTGCGCCGCCTGTTGCGGTAGGGCCTGTTGCGCTCCGGCCAGTTGGGCTCCGGCGCAGTAAAGCAGTGGCTGTGTTGTGCACAGCGGATTTACTGTTAGCCGGAGTTACCCACAGCTCATTGATCTGAGGCTATGTGTAGATATTGCATGCTGATGGTTGGCGTCAGGCCCAGGGCCTGTTTACGAGTCAATTTTGTTACCCACGGCTGCGATCCCCGCGGGAACAGTGCAGGCGGCAAGCAGATCTGGCAAATACCGGCCTATACAAGAAAGCTTGTACGCGAAGACAGTATAACTGTATAAGGTGCCGATATCTTCTCGTTCGCACCCGCCAGTGCGTCGTTAGAAGCCGCCAAGTGAGGTCTGTGAAAATGGATAGTGGAATCACCATCAACAACTTGAGTCTGTACGTTGTTTTTATACTCTTTATTCTAGCCTTTGATAATGCGGCGGGAACAACTAAATAATAATTCAACCCTCTAATAAGGTCTTCTTTCAGTTTCAAAGTACTTGTTTCTCTCTTCATTTTGTTGAAGTTGCCAACAAGGCGAAAATTTTTGCATTAATTCAGATTTTTGGAATATCTCAAAGAACAATTGAATATCGTCTGGACTTCTCTTTGTTGGGTTCTTCTTAGACCAATTATCGTTCACACATGCCATGATTCACTTGACCCAAGATACTTCACTAGAACAGCACAAATGCTCTCACCATGACTGAATAAGGGCTACTGTGCCATTGGCCGCTTCTACAGCGAAGAAAGCAACACATCGTTGTCCAACTATGTGTAGGTGCTTGTGCGCGGGGACAGTGCAGGCGGAAAGTAGATCCAGCAAATGTCGGCCGCTTGGTGACTATCCGACAAGTAAGCCTGTACAGGCTGTACACTAGGACAGGGGAGCGCAGCCGTGCACCAACAAGCTCTGAATCGAACGCCTTGGATCTCTCAGGACATCTACCAATCAGCCGTGAACCACTCGGCTTTGTCCTCCTACGGCCTTGCATAGAATCTGCCGTGCACCACCAGGCCGCGGATCGAATATGACTTCCGGGCATCGTTAAATTACGTAATATTACGTTCACCGCATATGAGGTTAGGTTTCAGATAGCATAGTTCTGTTCCAAAATTTATCGTCCTTCGACAAGTGGCCGTTCGACCGAGGGCTGGTTCGACGCACGGCCTAGATATGATTGCCCAGAAGTGTTGAGGCTACGTTCGGAAGGCAGGAATTATGATGGTCCATTACATCCAGGGCAGTGGTGATCTTCGGCAGGCGACCCCACTGTAATGCCGTTGTCCTCGACTTTTCGCCCACAGGTCATGAACCTGCCGATAATTATTGAACTAAATGATTAGGTATTTTAAAGGACAGAGCTCAGGTTACTTCGTGTGTAAAAGGGACGAAATTAGGTGACCAAGCGAAAAGTTTTCTCTTCACTCCATTCCATTTAAGATTCCTTCACCCCATTCAATATCCCTTGCTTGAAAAGGGCCAGGCATTTCTTTCACTAATTGTAGTGCGACTGATTAATAAAAAAGTTTTTAAGTTAAGTTGGTTTTGAAATTATTCTCTTTTATTATTACTTTTATTTTATCGGCAATCGCTTTAATTTCGTCAGATTTGTCCGCAGTGGTTAAAAAAGGCGCATGAACACATCCATGCGACAACATTTCTTCTCGCTTCGAGTCACCGACATGTGGAACAGCCTACCTGATAGCATCGTTGACGCTCCGAGTATGAACATCTTCAAAAACAGACTAGACGAAGCTATGCAGGAGCATATGTTCAGTCTTAAAATGCCTAGCAAATTACGGACCAGGCAACAAGTCCAGCAGCTATCTCAATCAATCGTCAGTTATGGAAAGATCGGGTTCCAAGGGCCGGATCCCTTGTGAATCAAGTCACGAAAAATATAAGAATCGGCAACAGGCCATGGGCCTATTTCTTCAGTGCCGACCCTTCATCTCTATTCTATTCTATAAACTCCCAAGTCACTTTTCGTTGTCGAATTCTCATTCACCACATTCTCATTGCAACCATTTCTTCTCATAATTTATCCTGTTATTTTTACCCTCTAAATGCTTGCTTATTCACGAGGTAAGTATTAGCTAAACAGTATTTTTTCCTCAGTCTGTGCCTATTTAGAAGCCGTTGAGTGAAGTAGCGCTAGGAGGAAGCATTTGGAGCGCTGGTATATGCTAGAAGGCTTTTGCTGAAGCAGTAGGTGGAATAGTTGCGACTCTAGCTGAAGAGATGAAAAACTTTTGTCGAGCGACCAGTGAAAGACTGTGTGGGACGGAGAGATAACTTGAAGATTAACAGACTTTTTTCGGATGTGAACTTGTGCAGCGGCAGCTGCTACAGCCCAACTGGTGTAGCTTTCAGACGAAAAAAAAAACATTCTTGATAACTACGAGTTCCCGCTCTTAGCGACTTTACTCTGAATAAGAAATTAATCCAATATTTGAAGTGGAAAGTACTTGCCGCTAATACTATTGGCTTATATTCTCCCCGTCTATATGCATCATTAGCATTGCCCTCAACATAAGAGAACCCTTCGTTGATATACTTTTAAGTCTGAAATGCCAAGCTTTATCTTAGAAACACATGCATCAAACGTGGACATAACCGTGTCCATGACAAATGACCATGACACAGCCATATTCATGCCCTTGATACAGTCCGAAATATTAGCTGCACTCACTGCTTCACCGAGTCGCCTTTTTCAAAGTTCAAACGCTTGCGCTTCCGACGAGACTTTTCTGTATTTCGCTTATTACTGAAAAACAACGTATGAGGTGGCTTTTGCTCAACAGAGCCTCGTGGCGAAGATCATCTACCAATGATTATTCACTTGTAAAAATTAGGCTGAATATATTGGGAGTCTGTTCAGTGTTCACCACTGTAATGGGTTGCTAGGTCACGTGCTCGTACAGGGATGCTGGGTGATTCCCATACCTTGGAGAGGATCGATCTGTATAGTGTCTACCTCTGCTCCAGCGTCAAAGTTAAACTACCTAATGATCTTTCAGTAGGTCTCTGCGACCTACTGAAAGTCATGATCGGTAAAATGATGTTTAGTATCATATCGTTATCAGAAGAGCTGTTCATATCACACTGATTCTCTGGCTGAATGAAGTTCTGCAAACACTTAACTTGCTTAGCCTTATAAAGGGTTCAGAACCACACCACTACAGCTCTCTTGCATTGTTCTACGCCTCAATTGTGAAAACAATTCCAACCTGTCAGTTGAAACTCAACTGGTACGATCTTCCTCCATGATTCTTGGATGTGTTTCTGTATTACCACTAATGTCTGGCAACTCGCTGCTCTTCACGAATAAATGCTTACCATTTAAACTCAGAATAAAATCTTAGTATAGAACAGGAAACCTACTTGCACATCTTCCTCATTCATCTGTACGTGTTTATATAGCGTAGTGCAACGTCCCGGTATTTGATAGTGATTTATAGTTTTAGCTTCCACAACCGGGGTTCCTGACCAGCGAATTTCATAATTCTGTATATTTTTAAGCAGAAACCTAGTTTGAATGCCACCTCCAATTCCTATCCTCTTAAAATTTTGAATAAATAGACTTTTCTGCTCCTGTCCATTTTATGTATTTTTTATTCATTAGTCAATTTATAATTTAAAATCTGCAATGAGAATGTCAGTTTATTGATTGTAGAACATTGTGTTCAATGATTTTGAACCGACGATGGAACTGGACTCCGAAACATTTTCTCATATAAAAATTTGGTTAGTTTTTGGGTGGTTTTCATATATTTTCAATTTTTGGTAAACTGTCTATGTAAGCAATAAAGTAATAATACTTATAACGTTGTTCTTGTCATTTACACCATCATCATTCACTTCCATAAAAAATGCGACGGCGTCGAAATTACTTTACATGAACTCAAATTAGTGAATTTAGTATTTATTAATTAACCACCGATGATGTACAAGTATTGGGAAGAAATACGTTTTTTGAAAAGTGATCACGCTCTTGTCAAGCGGCATTCCTATACCAGGCAAGCAGCATATGCTGCTTCTCTTGGATTTCAGGTGGGAGAACAATTTTTTCCGCATTTTAATTGAAGACGACTAATAATTTTCTTGAACTCTTATTAATTAATCAATTTACAATTAACTGATAATTCCCATTTACTATCATCAGCGTTGATGGTTGAGGCATCCCAGGCCTGCTGATACTATTCCAGTAACTTTTCAAGGTTAGCAGTAGTTCCTTACATCAATAAAGATTGTTAATCAATATTTATCATTCATCTATCTACTACAATGTGTAGCCAGCTCGCTTGGCAAGATTACTGCAAGTTCTAAAGATGTTTTTATTATATCACTAATTTTCAGGTAAATAATGGTGTTAGGAATGAAAAGCGAAAGAGAGTCACTAAATATTTTTTATTGAGATTGAAGAATGATGCCGCTGACCAAAACTAGCAAGACTTCGATCGCAAGACAGACATATAAATCACTACACGGTTTCAGAGTAGACTTGGAACATAGTGCAAAGTATGAACGTAAACTGAGACATTAATCGAATAGAAAATATCAGGGGCTACCTCAAATTACAATGCCAGATTTGATCTATAGTAAGAAAGTTCGAACATAAAGTTTAATATACTCGTACGTGAAATTTTACAATAATATCCGACTCATTATTTAGAAATGGTTCATTTACAGAAGCACAGGAGTTTAGAAGTGACATAATCTTATTCAAATACAATCTTAATCTAAGCTCATCCCCTTAAGCTTAATACCCTAAGCTTAATCAAACGAGAAAAAAACCTTGAAAAATAATTGGACTGGCTAAAGAATGCAACCTAGCGTTTCCCCTATATAAATTAAAGTGAATTTTCAATTTTAGCGGAGCGTTCACAGGCATTACAGAGTACTTTCTACTTTTACTCGACTTTCTCCTGTTAAACCATTAGAAGAGTATTATTCACATTCATTAATTGAGTACAGAAAATTTTTTGATGTAAAATTTGAATAATAAGACAATTGCTAACATATGTTGGGTGAATAGTTAAATTTTCGCGTAACGACGAAGTTAAAAGTAGTTACATAAATTTTGAAACAAACGAAGTTAGATTGTTAACAAAGAAAAGTAATCATATGAAATTGTCGATGGTCCATTACCTAAATTTTGTGCTTGGCTTACGTGCCGTTCGAGCACGTGCAGCACATAAGTTCTACGCTGTCCACAAAATGATAATGCAACATCTAATGGCGCTGAAGGTACGGCGTCAATGACGGTTAACGCAAGGCGCTATTTTGTCCTCAGCAGGTATCAATTTTTACTGTAATAAGACTGGCAAAAAGCCGATCTCGCATGAGAACAGATTTGCCAATAGCCGGTGTGATCAATTTGGCGTGAGCAATATAGAGATTCTGTTGTGAATTTAATCACAAGGCTATTTTTGACGTAGAATTTTGTACAGGCAATGTAATGCAGTTTGGGCTACACATATTGGGAGGCTATAGTGGATGGCTATTCGCCACAGCGCATGAAGTTCACGGACTTCAAAGCCAGTAAAGCTCTGCGGGCACGACTTGACCCTGCGTCTGCTGACAGTAAATTAGGTTCGCTTGCCTTTGGACATGACACACAAGCGACAGTAAAGTGTACAGAGGTTAATATAGAGAGGCTGTCCTCGTCGCAAGGTACTGGCCTGTGTTGGGGCTTAAAGCAAGTCTGTACACTTAAGAGCGTGAGTACAAGAGAGTGCTGGAAACTTGCGTAAAATGTTTACTTAATTTGCTCCAACGAACCATTGAATTCATGAGCGTTTGTTTACGGAACAAGTTTCTCGAGTATATAATTTGAGGGCATTGTTAATTGTTGCCTGAAAGAAGACACTGAGATAAAATGTCCTAGATAATTTTCTGGAATTGAATTTTGGAAAAAATAATTGGATTAGAACCTAGAGCGTCAAATCATTTCCTATATAATTAAGAAGTTGCTATGAACTTACGCTGAAAAGACATTGGTGTGACAATTTTGTCACTGAGCTACCAACTCCGAGCATCGAAGAGGCTTCTTTTCTGAATGAAGCTAGAGAAAATATTTTGTTGATTTACTTCATTTACTTAGGGGATTTAATTTACACGATCGGGAGTGATGATTCCTGTTCTCCGGAATGTTTTACTTGACTGTGTCGAATTAGGCTTCGCTTACTGACGCAAGTATATTTGCATTCCGAGCAGCTAAAGGGTTTCACCAATGAATGCTTGGATATTAAATGCCTTTTGAGATCAGATCTATTCACACAAGTATATTCACATTGAGAGCACCGATTAGGTTTCTCCATGGAATGCTTGCAAAGAATATGACTCAACATCCGGCTCTTGGCCACGCAAGAGTATTCACATTCGGAGCACTTGAGAGGTTTTTCAGAGGTATGTTTATGAAAAACATGACTCTCCATCTGGCTCGCAGTCACACATGAAAATTCACAGTGAGAGCATCTTCGAGGTTTCGTGGATGAATGCTTATGAAAAAAATGACTATCTAGCTGGCCCTTGGTCACACAAGAATATTCACATTCTGAGCAGCTTCTAGGTTTCTCGGCTGTATGTTTATGGAGAACATGAGTTTGCAGGTTGGCCTTCGTCACACATGAATATTCACATTCAGAGCAATTAAGCGGTTTCTTGGATGTATGCTTGTGAAGAACGTGCGTCTCAAGTCTGTTTTTAATGGCAGTAGTATATTCGCACTCTGAGCAGCGTAGAGGCTGCTCTGCTGAATGTTTGGCTATCACATGATATCTCATACAGCTTATAGTGATACAAGAATAGTCACACTGTGAGCAGTTGAGAGGTTTTTTACGCGAATGCTTTCTTTGTGTATGTTGTTTCATATTGTTTCTAGTGACACAGGAATATTTACACTCTGAGCATTGTAGAGGTTTCTGCAATGAATGCTTTGAAAGTATGTGCAATCTAAGCTTGTGTTTAGTAACAGTCGAATATTCGCACTCGGCGCATTGAAATGGCTTCAACAACGAATGCCTATAAAGTATATGGCTCTTTAGCAGTGCTTTATTCGAACACGAATATTCACATTCCAAACATAGAAAAAGTTTCTTCGGTGTTTGTGTTTGATTATGCGTTATGCGAATATGATGCTTGAGATTTTGTTCATTGGAGCAAGCTAATTTGCATTCAGGGCACCGATAAGGCATTTCGCGGGAATGTTTAGAACGAATGTGTTGCTCAAGCTTACGTTTTTTTGTGCAACGAAATTCGCAATCAGAGCAAATGTGTCGCAGCCACTTGTTGCTCGGCTTGGAACTAGAGGCTTTGGAGACGACGTCGCCGGGGCCAACGACGTCTTCTGGAGCTAATGCAGGCGAGGGTTGCCCGCTTCCCACGCACTGAGAGGGCAGTGGCGACAATAAGTTAGATGTACGAAATGCATTCATGGCAATCATTATTGCATAGGCACAAACCCAAAACACTTGCCAGAATTGATATCGGCAGATTGCTTGCATAAAAAAATTCAATGATAACAGTTTCATTATACTGAATGATTTTTGCGCTTTCACTCCACGTTTTCAGTGAAATTGAAGATTCTATATTGAATAAGCTCTTACGGTTTGCAGGTCATGTTATAGAGTTTGTTATGAGAGTATTCCATTGTTACTTAATCATGCCTCATACAGGAAAAGAAGATAAGAGTGTCCATTGCTTTTAAGGAGGAACGGGAATAGAGAAACGGACATTCACGCAGCCCTGAAAAATTTACGCATAGGGAAATTTCAACTGAGCAGGAGGAGTTTATGTAACTTAGTTTGATTCTTAATTAATCTGTCTCAAAAATTTCTTTCAAAAATGTTAATGCCTTTTTGACTTCTTGTCGCAAAATTAAAACTAGAAGCCAAACACAAGAATTTAGCATCACACAAACAAATGCCATCTTCACCAACTCACTGTAGCCTCTAGCGAGCAGCTAACCTTTCCTTCACCAGTAAACTCTGATAGGATTTTAGTGGAAATGTATAGACACTTCATAAGAATTTGCAAGCAACAAGCTGTTGAGAAATATCAACTTATGATCGATCAAAGTTTGAAATGAGTATATTAGGCAGAGGATGATCTATTTGATATCAGCCTTATTCGTTTTCGTGACTCATCTTTTTAGCAGGAATGCAATGTGCTAAATATGTAAAGTGGGAAACTTCTGATCGAACATTTGAATTTTTCTTCATCCGAGTTTCAATTCCGATACAACCGTAGACGTTTTTAAATCAGTTGATTAATCAAGGACATGAAATTGATAACTGATTTATAATTGACATCATAAAATAATTAGCATCGGCCATGAAATTTTTCGAAACAATCTCATCGCAATCAGATTGAAAGTTTTCCTCAGTTCAACGTGAGTTTACGATGCACCCCAAAATGCTAAGCTCTTTGAATGCGTCAAGAAAATAAATTCAAGCTTTGAATGAATGAATTTGAAATAAATTCAAGCTTTTAAATTCAAACTTTGATCATTACATCACCACCCACCGCTACTGTTCCAGGCACGGCAGAGTTGGGCGAGGCGGGTTGGTTGACTGGGTGTGCATCACGAGCTTCAATTTGAGCTTCCCCCTTGCAGGGTCCAGAGGCTGGGGGAGGTCGAGCTGGTCGACCACCACACCCATGACTGGCAGGTGCATCGGGACAAGCCTGTCACGACAGCAATATATTCTGTAAAATGTTCTCAATAAATCAATGCATGGCTATCAAATTCTCTACTGTTATAAAGATATTTCTTCGCAATACAACAGGAAGTCTTTATGCGTTCATGAGTGGACCGTATTTAGCGGCGGACATAATCACATAACTTAGAATGAACGAGTAATCATAAACGATGGTTATGAATGAGTGGTTTTGCAGAGGATGCGTATTAACTGAGCCAATCTGAGGACATGCATCGTAGCAGAATGTACGTTGGGATATCTAATTCGTTTTACATAATTTCGATTGAGAGACATGCACAAATTTCAAATTAAATAACCCACCCTAATCTCTAGCATCCTGTTCCTGAGACATAACAATCATGTCCTGTGATGTACGTTACTGATCATCTAAGCTTGAGTTTCTTACACGTTCAGGGAGGTGGAGTTTGCTGCTAATTCATGAAAATTTATGTCTTAACATAACATAACATAACATATTGATCTCGGCGCTGAAGTGTAGGCCTGATGTGGCCTGTCGCCGATTCTTTTCCTTTTCGTGCCTTGTTCACAGAAGATCTAAAATCGTGTCATTTGACCGGATCTTTTCACGACTGACGATAGTTTGAAGTAGCTACTAGACTTCCACCGAGTTCGATAAGGTGCTAGGCATTTCAAATCTGAACATATATCTTAGGCAAAATGGTACAGTTGTGTGGAATGAAAAGTTTTTTTCGTAAATCAATTCCCCAAATAAGAATTTTTATTTGCACGCATGTCGACTGCATTCTCGTAAAGGATTTTACAATCACTGAATTTTGAGAGGTTTCATGATGAATAATAATAACCAAAATACGTGATTTTCAATGGAAAATTGATCGCGGTGTAGTTTCTTTATAAAATTCGACTTGATTACGGGGTTTTATTTCCGAATTGACATAAATTATACAAATACGAGGTAGTAATCGAAGAATGGCGGAGAGCGATTAATGTGTAGGGGTTAGCAGCACCAGAATTTTATATCAATGATTTGAGTAACAACTCTACTACACATGGCGGGAAAAGAGCATATGTAGTGATCGTGTGTGGGTGTATTTGTTGACACGTTTTTCATATTAATTGCTTCATAGCATATTTTATTATAATTATGCGTTCGACATTGTCAAAATTTGTTTCATTTCAAGTATAGGGATGGTATCGCACTTTACTTATGGAATTTAAACCTATAAAGACTGCACGTTTCTATTAGATCAACGAGAAGAACAGTTTATGTTATCGAGAGTCGGTTGTTTGGTGAACCTTAAATTATTAGTATAGGAGGTGGTTGCCAACCTATAAGATAAATTTTTTGCCTAATTTTCCTCATGCGAACATGATATTTTACACGAAAAATTGATTGCCAATTCAAATCTTTTTGACATCATCAACATGCTCAACAACTTTTCTCAAAAGGATAACCTGTTTTCCTGAAGATATGCTAGATACAAAAACCAATCAAGGATACATATGTAATTTGGCATTCACAAAAAATAGTGAAGCATATTGAATCATATAGCTCTAAATAACTATAGTAAGCCTACGATAAACTTCTGAACAACGCAAGCCTAATTATATGACATTTACGCGCAAATATTTTGAAAACATTTAACTGTTATCAATATATGATCCAACAGACAATTGGAAACACAGCTATAAAACAATAGAGTTTACTGGGATGAAATTTTTTGAGCCCCCAAACTGGGGACTTATATAAATTAGCGAATTAAATTATTGATATTAAATGAGTGTTGTGATGATTTTACCCCGTATTCTTCCGTCTCAATCGGTTCATTCTTGATAGTTATTGCCTCCTCCTCGCAGCCAGCCTCTTCTTTGACGTAAATTGCCGAAAATGGTCGGGTAGAAGATGAGCCACTGGCGCCTGTTGCTGGAGAGAAGAGACACGAAATAAAGTCATTAAAAACTAACATAATATTTTAATAACATGAGAGAAGCCAACTTCTCATTAATTGTATCTTAATTATGGAGATCATAATAAATACGGTAATAAAATGAGAAAGTTCAGTTTTATAGCATCAGTATATAATTTTTAGCTATATTGCGCAAGGTAATTAGCGCATAAATGTCCAGCTCACCATCGGACTCGGGTTGGCCAAGAATCAGAAGCTTCTGCATGCGGTTGAGCTCAGCATGCCAGCCCCTGCTGACGGCATCTTCAGAGAGCTTGTGCATCACAACACGACACTCTTTCATATTAATCTTCATCATATCCATTGGATTTTGCTGGTCCAAGTTAACAAAAACTTTCTAACCATAAAAAAATACCTATACGGTGAAGAAACAATCAATAGAGCAATAACAGCAGTACGTTGAAGTGTTCTGAGCATCAAACTCTGTTGGGGTTTTGACAATGTCATTAGTATCTAATATGCACATAGCATGTTTACCCGGCTTTGCAGGGATATGTAATCCATGAGAATTTAAATTTGAACCCAAAAATCTCATAACCACAAATCAAATTATTCAGAATACCCTCATATTAAATCCTGTTATTCATGGCCGAACTTTTGCCGCAACTTGTTCGTCATTTGTGCAACATGGGTACGACATATAAACATTATAAACAAAAAATTATCAAATTTTTTTCGAGACATGTCCAAAACCGGTTAGTTCAATTTTTTTAATCCCATAATTACGAAGTCTGTCTTCCCGCTTCTTATCATCGCATTTTTTTCCTCCTATCACACCGAAGCTGGTTATATCATATCCAGTCATCCTGAATTCTGCCGTCATTCCAGACTAATAATATATACATAAATCCTTTATTATTGGAGGAAACTATAATATTTATAGGCCTACCACGGATCTAGAATTGATGTTGTACCCAATAATTGATAACTCGCAGATACATGCAAGCATTAACTGCTAGCTGGCACATGCAATCATCAACAACACGCTGCGTGGTCCCTTCGAGTCTAGCGTGACTACCAAATATTCGTGGAACTGCCGTGCTGGACTTGCTTGTAGGACTGGCCCTATAGGACTGTCGGGCTGGACTGGCTTATAGGACTGTCGGCTGGACTGGCTTATAGGACTGTCGGGCTGGACTGGCTTATAGGACTGTCGGGCTGGACTGGCTTATAGGACTGTCGGGCTGGACTGGCTTATAGGACTGTCGGGCTGGACTGGCTTATAGGACTGTCGGGCTGGACTGGCTTATAGGACTGTCGGGCTGGACTGGCTTATAGGACTGTCGGGCTGGACTGGCTTATAGGACTGTCGGGCTGGACTGGCTTATAGGACTGTCGGGCTGGACTGGCTTATAGGACTGTCGGGCTGGACTGGCTTATAGGACTGTCGGGCTGGACTGGCTTATAGGACTGTCGGGCTGGACTGGCTTATAGGACTGTCGGGCTGGACTGGCTTATAGGACTGTCGGGCTGGACTGGCTTATAGGACTGTCGGGCTGGACTGGCTTATAGGACTGTCGGGCTGGACTGGCTTATAGGACTGTCGGGCTGGACTGGCTTATAGGACTGTCGGGCTGGACTGGCTTATAGGACTGTCGGGCTGGACTGGCTTATAGGACTGTCGGGCTGGACTGGCTTATAGGACTGTCGGGCTGGACTGGCTTATAGGACTGTCGGGCTGGACTGGCTTATAGGACTGTCGGGCTGGACTGGCTTATAGGACTGTCGGGCTGGACTGGCTTATAGGACTGTCGGGCTGGACTGGCTTATAGGACTGTCGGGCTGGACTGGCTTATAGGACTGTCGGGCTGGACTGGCTTATAGGACTGTCGGGCTGGACTGGCTTATAGGACTGTCGGGCTGGACTGGCTTATAGGACTGTCGGGCTGGACTGGCTTATAGGACTGTCGGGCTGGACTGGCTTATAGGACTGTCGGGCTGGACTGGCTTATAGGACTGTCGGGCTGGACTGGCTTATAGGACTGTCGGGNGCATATGTTCAGTCTTAAAATGCCTAGCAAATTACGGACCAGGCAATAAGTCCAGCAGCTATCTCAATCAATCGTCAGCTATGGAAAGATCGGGTTCCAAAGGCCGGATCCCTTGTGAATCAAGTCACGAAAAGTTCAAGAATCGGCAACAGGCCATGGGCCTATTTCTTCAGCGCCGACACTTCTATTCTATTCTATAGTTTATAGTTTGATAGTGACTTAGAGTTTTAGCTTCCACAACCGGGGTTCCTGAACAGCGAATTTCATAATGCTGTAAATTTTCAAGCAGAAACGTAGTTTGAATGCCACCTTCAATTCCTATCCTCTTAAAATTTTGAATAGATAGACCTTTCTGCTCCTGTCTATTATACATATTTTTCTCTATTTGTCAATTTATATTTTATAATCTGCAATATGAATATCAGTTTATTGATTGTAGAACATTGTGTTCTATGATTTTTAACTGACGATGGAGCTGAACTCCAAAACATTTTCTCATATAAAAATTTGGTTAATTTTTGGGTGGTTTTGTGTATTTTCAATTTTTAGTAAATTGTCTATGTAAGCAATCGAGGTAATCTTAATACTTATAACGTTGTTCTTGTCATTTACACCATCATCTTTCACTTGCGTAAAAAATGCGACGGCGTCGAAATTCCTTTACATAAACACAAGTTAGTGAATCAGAATTTAGTATTTTTTAATTAACCACCGATGATGTACAAGTATTGGGAAGAAATAAGTTTTTTGAAAAGTGATCACGCTCTTGTCAAGCGGCATTCCTATACCAGGCAAGCAGCATATGCTGCTTCTCTTTGATTTCAAATGGGAGAACAATTTCTTCCGCATTTTAATTGAAGACGACTAATAATTCCCTTGAACTCTTATAATTAATCAATTTACAATTAACTCATAATTCACATTTACTATGATCAGCGTTGATGGTTGAGGCATTCCAGGCCTGCTGATACTAGTCCAGTAACTTTTCAAGGTTAGCAGTAGTTCCTTACATCAATAAATATTGTTAATCAATATTTATCATTCATCTATCTACTACAATGTGTAGTCAACTCGCTTGACAAGATTACTGAGCAAATTCTAAAGATGTTTTCATTATATCACTAATTTTCAGGTAAATAATGGTGTTCGGAATGAAAAGCGAATGAGAGTCAATAAACATTTTTTATTGAGATTAGAGAATGATATCGCCGACCAAACTAGCAAGACTTCGATCGCTAAAATACAGACATATAAATCACTACACGGTATCAGGGTAGACTTGGAACATTGTACTAAGTATGAACGTAAACTGAGGCATCAATCGAATAGGAAATATCAGGTGCTACTTCAAATTACAATGCCAGATTTGATCTATGGTAAGTAAGTTCTAACATAGAGTTTAATATACTCGTACAAGCAATAATTTTACATTAAAATCCAACTCATTATTCGGAAACACAGTTCATTTACAGAAGCACAGGAGTTGAGAAATGACATAATCTTATTCAAAAGAAGTTTTCCCCTTAATCCTAATCCCCTGAGCTCAATCAAACGAGAAATAAGCCTGAAAAAATATCGGACTGGCTGACGATTGCAACCTAGTGCTTTCCCTAAAGTGGATTCTTAATTTAAACGCAGTTTCACAGGCATCAGAGAGTGCTTTCTACTTGTACTCAACTTTCTACTACTAAACCATTAGAAGAATATTATTCGCATTCAATAATTGATTCAAGAGAATTTCTTGATGGGAAATATAAATAAGAACATAATTGCTAACATGTGTGGGGTGAATAGTTAAATTTTGGATTAACGAAGTTAAAAGTAGTTACAGAAATTTTGGAACAAACGAAATTAGAGAGTTAACAAAGAAAAGTATTCATATGAAATTGTTGTTGGTCAATTACCTAAATTTTGTGCTTGGCTTACGTGCCGTTCGAGCAGGTGCAGCACATAAGTTCTACGCTGTCCACAAAATGATAATGCAACACCTAATGGCGCTGGATATACGGCGTCAACGACGGTTAACGTGAGATGCTATTTGTCCTTAGCAGGTATCAATTTTTACTGTAATAAGATTGGCGAAAAGCCGATCTCGCATGAGAACAGATTTGCCAATAGCCGGTGCGATCAAATTGGCGTGAGCAATATAGATTCACACTTAAGAGCGTGAGTACCAGAGAGTGATGAAAACTTGCACTTAATTTTGACTTAATTTGCTCCAACGAACCGTTGAATTCGTGTGCCTTTGTTTACGGAACCAGTTTCTAGAGTATATAAGTTGAGGGCATAGTTGTTGACTGAAAGAAGACACTGAGGTAAAATGTCCCAGATCATTTTCTGGAATAGAATTTTTGAAAAAATAATTGGATTAGAACCTAGAGCGTCAAATCATTTCCTATATAATTAAGAAGTTGCTATGAACTTACGCTGAAAAAACATTGGGGTGACAATTTTGTCACTGAGCTACCAACTCCGAGCATCGAAGAGGCTTACTTTTTGAAAGAAGTGAGAGAAAATATTTTGTTTACGTACTTCGTTTCCTTAGGGGATTTAATTTACACGATCGGGAGTGATGATTCCTGTTCTCCGGAATGTTTTACTTGACTGTGTCGAGTTAGGCTCCGCTTACTGACGCAAGTATATTTGCATTCCGAGCAGCTAAAGGGTTTCACCAAGGAATGCTTGGATATTATATGCCTTTTGAGATCAGATCTATTCACACAAGTATATTCACATTGAGAGCAGCGATTAGGTTTCTCCATGGAATGCTTGCAAAGTATATGACTCAACATCCGGCTCTTAGCCACGCAAGAATATTCACACTCAGAGCACTTGAGAGGTTTCTCAGAGGTATGCTTATGAAAAACATGACTCTCCATCTGGCTCGCAGTCACACAGGAAAATTCACATTTAGAGCAGCTGCGAGGTTTCGTGGATGAATGCTTATGAAAAAAATGACTATCTAGCTGGCCCTTGGTCACACAAGAATATTCACATTCTGAGCAGCTTCTAGGTTTCTCAGCTGTATGTTTATGAAGAACATGAGTCTGCAGCTGGGACTTCGTCACACATGAATATTCACAGTCAGAGCAATTAAGCGGTTTCTTGGATGTATGCTTGTAAAGAACATGCAGCTCAAGCCTGTTTTTAAAAGCAGTAGAATATTCGCACTCCGAGCAGCGTAGAGGCGGCTCTGCTGAATGTTGGGCTATCACATGATATCTCATACAGCTTCTAGTGATACAAGAATATTCACACTCTGAGCAGTTCAGAGGTTTTTCACGCGAATGCTTTCTTTGTGTATGTTGTTTCATATGGTTTCTAGTGACACAGGAATATTTACATTCTGAGCATTGTAGAGGTTTCTGCAATGAATGCTTTGAAAGTATGTGCAATCTAAGCTTGTGTTTAGTAACAGTCGAATATTCGCACTCGGCGCATTGAAATGGCTTCAACAACGAATGCCTATAAAGTATATGGCTCTTTAGCAGTGTTTTATTTGAACACGAATATTCACATTCCAAACATAGAAAAAGTTTCTTCGGTGTTTGTGTTTGATTATGCGTTAAGCGAATATGATGCTTGAGATTTTGTTCATTGGAGCAAGCTAATTTACATTCAGGGCACCGATAAGGCATTTCGCGGGAATGTTTAGAACGAATGTGTTGCTGAAGCTTACGTTTTTTTGTGCAACGAAATTCGCAATCAGAGCAAATGTGTCGCAGCCACTTGTTGCTCGGCTTGGAACTAGAGGCTTTGGAGACGACGTCGCCGGGGCCAACGGCGCCTTCTGGAGCTAATGCAGGCGCGGGTTGCCCGCTTCCCACGCACTGAAAGGGCAGTGGCGACAATAAGTTAGATGTACGAAATGCATTCATGGCAATCATTATTGCATAGACACAAACCCAAAACAGTTGCCAGAATTTATATCGGCAGATTGTTTGCATAAAAAATAATTCAATGATAACAATTTCATTATACTGAATGATTTTTGCGCTTTCACTCCACGTTTTCAGTGAAATTGTTGATTCTATATTGAATAAGCTCTTACGGTTTGCAGGTCATGTTATAGAGTTTGTTATGAGAGTGTTCCATTGTTACTTAATCATGCTTCATACAGGAAAAGAAGATAAGAGTGTCGATTGTTTTAAGGAGGAACGGGAATAGAGAAACAGACATTCACGCAGCCCAGAAAAATTTATGCATATAGGGAAATTTCAACTGAGCAGGAGGAGTTTATGTAACTTAGTTTGATTCTTAATTAATCTGTCTCAAAATTTTTTTTCAAAAATGTTAATGCCTTTTCGACTTCTTGTCGCTAAATTAAAACTGGAAGCCAAACACAAGAATTTAGTATCACACAAACAAATGCAAACTTCACCAACTCAATGTAGCCTCTAGCGAGCAGCTTACCTCCCTTCTTTCACCAGTAAACTCTGATAGGATTATAGTGAAAATGTATAGACACTTCATAAGAATTTGCAAGCAACAAGCTGTTGAGAAATATAAAATTGTGATCAATCAAAGTTTGAAATGAGTAGATTAGGCAGAGGATGATCTATTTGATATCAGCCTTATTCGTTTTCGTGACTCATGCATCTTTTTAGCGGGAAGGCAATGTGCTAAATATCTAAAGAGGGAAACTTCTGATCGAACATTTGAATTTTTCTTCATCCGAGATTCAATTCCGATACAACCGTACACGTTTTCAAATCAGTTAATTAATTAATCAAGGACATGAAATCGATGACTGATTTATAATTGACATCATAGAATAATTAGCATCGGCCTAGAAAATTTTCGAAATAAGCTCATCACAAACAGATTGAAAGTTTTCCTCAGTTCAACGTGAGTTTACGTTACACCCTAAAATGCTAAGCTCTTTGAACGCGTCAAGAATATAAATTTGAGGGGATAAAAAAGACATTACAGCAGTTCTTTGATCATTACAGCACCACCCACCGCAACTGTTGCAGGCACGGCAGAGTTGGGCGAGGCGGGTTGGTGGACTGGGTGTGCATCACGAGCTTCAATTTGAGCTTCCGCCTTGCAGGGTCCAGAGGCTGGGGGAGGTCGAGCTGGTCGACCACCACACCCATGGCTGGCAGGTGCATCGGGACAAGCCTGTCATAGCAGGAATATATTCTGTAAAATGTTCTCAAAAAATCAATGTATGGCTATCAAATTCTCCACTATTATACAAATATTTCTTCGTAATACAACAGAAAATCGTTATGCATTCATGAGTGGACCGTGTGTATAGCGGCGGACATAATTACATAACTTAGAATGAACGAGTAATTATAAGCGATGGTTATGAATGAGTGATTTTACAGAGGATGCGTATTAACTGTGCCAATCGGAGGAAATGCATCGTAGCCGAATGTACGTTCTGTTTTTTTAATTCGTTCTACATAATTACAATTGAGACGCATGCAGACGTTTCAAATTGAATAACCCACCCCAATCTCCAGCATCGCTGTTATCCTTATCCAATCTCCTTAGACATAACAATCATGTCCTGTGAGGTACGTTAATTACTGATCATCTAAGCTTGAGCTTCTTTCGTGTTGACTGAGGTGGAGTTTGCGGCCAATTCATGAAAATTTATGTCTTAGGCAAAATGGTGCAGTTGTGTGGAATGAAAAGCTTTTTCGTAAATTAATTCCCCGAATAAGAATTTTTATTTGCACGCATGTCGACTGCATTCTCGCAAAGGATTTTACAATCACTGAATTTTGAGAGGTTTCATAATGAATAATAATAACTAAAATACGTGATTTTCAACGGAAAATTGATCGCGGTGTAGTTTCTTTATAAAATTCGACTTGATTACGGGGTTTTATTTCTGAATTGACATAAATTATACAATTACGAGGTAGTAATCAAGGAATGGCGGAGAGCGATTGATGTGTAGGGGTTAGCAGCAGCAGAATTTTGCATCAATAAGTGAGTAACAACTCTTCTACACATGGCGGGAAAAGAGCATATGTTGTGATCGTGTATGGGTATATTTGTTGACACGTTTTTCATATTTAATTGTTCCATAGCGCATTTTATTTCATTATGCGTTCGACATTGTCAAAATTTGTTTCATTTCAAGTAGGGATGGTATAGCACTTTACTTATGGAATTAAAACCTATAAAGACTGCACGTTTCTATTATATCAACGAGAAGAACAGTTCATGTTATCGAGAGTCGGTTGTTTGGTGAACCTTAAATTATTAGTTGGATGTGGTTGCCAACCTATAAGATAAAATTTTCTGCCTAATTTTCTTCATGCGAACATGATATTTTCCACGTAAAATTTATTGCCAATTCAAATCTTTTTGACATCATCAACATGCTCAAAAACTTTTCTCAAAAGGATGCTCTGTTTTCCTGAAGATATGCTAGATACAAAAAACATACAAAAACAATCATGAATACATAAGTAATTTGGCATTCATAAAAATTAGTGAAGCATATTGAATCGTATAGCTATAAATAACTATAGGCAAGCCTACGATAAACTTCTAAACACGCAAGCCTAATTATATGACATATACGCAGAAATATTTTGAAAACATTCAACTATTTTCAATATATGATCCAACAGACAATTGGAAACACATCTATGAAACAAAAGCGTTTACTGAGGTGAAATTTGAGACCCCAAACTGGGGACTCGTATAAATTAGCGAATTAAATTATTGATATTAAATGAGTGTTGTGATGATTTTACCCCGTTTTCTTCCGTCTCAATCGGTTCATTCTTGATAGTTATTGCCTCCTCCTCACAGCCGGGCTCTTCTTTGACGTAAATTGCCGCAAATGGTCGGGTAGAAGATGAGCCACTGGCGCCTGTTGCTGGAGAGAAGAGACACGAAATAAAGTCATTAAAAACTAACATAATATTTTAATAACATGAGAGAAGCCAACTTCTCATTAATTGTATCTTAATTATGGAGATCATTATAAATACGGTAATAGAATGAGAAACTTCAGTTTTATAGCATCAGTATATATTTTTTAGTTTTTAGCTTTATTGTGCAAGGTAATTAGCGCATAAATGTCCAGCTCACCATCGGACTCGGGTTGGCCAAGACTTAGAAGCTTCTGCATGCGGTTGAGCTCAGCGTGCCAGCCCCTCCTGACGGCATCTTCAGAGAGCTTGCGCATCACAACACGGCACTCTTTCATATTAATCTTCATGATATCCATTGTATTTTGCTGTGACCAAGTTAACAAAAACTTTCTAACCATAAAAGATATCTATACGGTGAAGAAACAATCAATATAGAGCAATGACAGCAATACGTTTAAGTATTCTGAGCACCAAGCTCTGTTGGGGTTTTGACAATGTCATTTTTTATCTTAGATGCGCATAGCATGTTCACCCGGCTTAGCCAGGGATATGTAATCCATGAGATTTTAATTTTGCTCCCAGAATTTCACAACCGCAAATCAAGTTATTCTGAATCCCATCATATTAAATCCCGTTATCCATGGCCAAAATTTTGCCGCAACTTGTTCGACATTTGTCAAAAGTTTGTCGGAGATTTATCCGAGTTTTTTTTCAACATTTGTCCGAATTTTTAGACATTCTTGCGACATAGGTGCTACATACTAACATTGTCTGAACTATGTCTCAACTTTTTTTCGAGACATGTCCAAAACCGGGTAGTTCATTTTTATTATTTTTGAAATTCCATGATAACGGAGCCTGTCATCCCGAACCTCATCATCCCATTTTCTTCCTCCTATCATACCGATGCTCGTTATATCATATCCCGTCATCCTAAATTCTGCCGTCATTCCAGACTATTCTCTCATGCACTAAGAATAAATTTCAGATCCATATAATATCCCGCCAAGAAAAGTAGCCTGGTTTTACGTCCGAAGATCCCCTAAATGTTTGAGGTTCCAAGCTTCAAACGTTAACAAAAATATATATAGATACGATTAAGATAGGTAAAATTCACAGTATTATTATTATTTTCAAATTAAAATCTAAAATAACTTGAAATTCCTCTCTCATTACTGGAATTTCAGTGGCAAAGTTCAGGTTGAAATGGAAAAGTAATACTTATTATTTTGAAATTATTAGTGTCGATAAATTGTTATCATGCTTCAAATCTATGCTCAACATTCTACTGAACAAATCACAAGTGTGGCTTNCGCACATGTGTGGACCACGGCTGTGGTCTTCGCTGCTGTGTGGTTATTGGGCGCAGCTCGTATGCTAGCTATAGCACTACGCACATGTGTGGACCACGGCTGTGGTCTTCGCTGCTGTGTGGTTATTGGGCGCAGCTCGTATGCTAGCTATAGCACTACGCACATGTGTGGACCACGGCTGTGGTCTTCGCTGCTGTGTGGTTATTGGGCGCAGCTCGTATGCTAGCTATAGCACTACGCACATGTGTGGACCACGGCTGTGGTCTTCGCTGCTGTGTGGTTATTGGGCGCAGCTCGTATGCTAGCTATAGCACCACGCACATGTGTGGACCACGGCTGTGGTCTTCGCTGCTGTGTGGTTATTGGGCGCAGCTCGTATGCTAGCTATAGCACTACGCACATGTGTGGACCACGGCTGTGGTCTTCGCTGCTGTGCGGTTATTGGGCGCAGCTCGTATGCGGGCTACGCGCACTGCACAGGATGATGGAGGCGTCAGCACGCAACTGCAAGTTACCGCTGCTGCTGCGTGGTGCGTGTCGGCAGTAACTTACAGCTGCTGCAGCGCCATACAGCAGCAACTTACAGCTGCTGCAGCGCCGTACAGCAGTAACTTACAGCTGCTGCAGCGCCGTACAGCAGTAACTTACAGCTGCTGCAGCGCCGTACAGCAGAAGAAAAGCAGCTGCTGCAGTGCTGTACAGCAGTAACTTACAGCTGCTGCAACGCCATACAGCAGTAACTTACAGCTGCTGCAGCGCCGCACAGCAGTAACTTACAGCTGCTGCAGCGCCGTACAGCAGTAACTTACAGCTGATGCAGCGCCGTACAGCAGAAGAAAAGCAGCTGCTGCAGTGCTGTGTCTACTGACGATGACATACAGCGGCTGCTCCAATGCGATACAAGTTGAAGCAGTTCTAAGCACTGCGCGTGCAGTTAAAAGCTCTGCTCGTGCAGTTAAAAGCACTGTCAGTGAGCAGGTCTTAGCACTTTGGGCGAGCAGTTTATAGCAATAGTTCTAAGCGAGCAGTTCAGAGCACTGCGAATTTGCAGTGATATAGAATAGAATAGAATAGAAGTGTCGGCGCTGAAGAAATAGGCCCATGGCCTGTTGCCGATTCTTGAACTTTTCGTGACTTGATTCACAAGGGATCCGGCCTTTGGAACCCGATCTTTCCATAGCTGACGATTGATTGAGATAGCTGCTGGACTTATTGCCTGGTCCATGCATTGCAAACAAGCAGTTCTGAGTACTGCAAGTGAGCAGTTTCAAGCACTGTATGCATGCAGTTCTATTCACTGTAAGCAAGCAGTTCTAAAACTGTAAGTATGCCAGTAAGAGCAATTGACCTGTAGTTTTTCCAGCTCCTTCTTGCTCTTGTGGTCTCAATCACTTCCTACTTTTCTGTCTCAATCACTTCATACATTAATTAACAAATGAATGGAACTAAAAACTAGGCCACATTTAAATATACGCAAATCAGGAGTTCAACAAAAACGACCGATCTCGCTGCGTCGCATTCACCTCAACTAGCACGGAATGAAGGACGTGTAGGGCGGAGTAGCGTCGTATTTCCCTTACAATTCCTTCATTGCAAAGCACCGCACGCATTCCTGCCTGCTATCACAAATAAACCAAGATGATAGTCATGGTACTATAGTTTCTTAGTGCTAATATTGTCGGGGAGAATGGAGCTGGAGGAGGACAACATTAGGCACCGTTCCATGGCGCCCGAACGTTACTGGCCGGCATCCTCAACTACGCAACCACACGCCAACATGCCACCAGGCGCACTGAATGTCTTTCCTGTTAAATCCTGTCCGAAGTCCGAACTCCGAAGTCCGAGCCTCCGCCACTAACCTTTTCTCCAATGGTGAATCTCCCGCAATAATTGCAGGCTGAGTGTTGACTCCAATTAAACATTATCATGAGTATAAATATCACCCCAGTTGTTGGATAGACATTCTTCGACGTAACAATAGCTTTAGCTATAACAATCGTTAAAATAATTTCCATTGTACATGATTCGAGTCAAACAAATAACCACCAAAGCTAAAACATTAGTTGACGAAACTGCAGCAGCATTGAAGTCACTTTCAATTAAGCTTTCTGGGACCGTCGCTGTATCAGTAATTGACGGTAACTCGTCACCTACCGATGATCTCATATGATATTACACTAAAATTAACAGATTTCGTTATATCTTTCGGCGTATGCGCAACCGAATCGCTTTTTTCAACGTAATTCTGAAAATTACATCATATCCGAAACACTTTTCTTACCTGCTGCATTCAAGGTTATTCTTTACTCAGTTTTGAAGCGGTGCTATAGTGCTGTGTACAAATTACCTATTATAATTTATTTTGTTGTTTGTGTGTTCATGGTCTTAATGCCAAGCTTCGTAAAAACGAGCATTCGTTTTTCAGGCACGTATCCACGATACCTCTCGTATCGTGATCTTATATTAAAATTAAAGTCCATTTTTTTCTTGGGAAAGTAGTAAGGTAAGGCTAGACGATGAATCAAAATCGCTCAGCCTTAGGTTTGTTCAAACAGTAAAATTAATTTTTTTTAATTGGTTTAAAAAAAGGGAGTCAGGTGGAACTTCTCTATTTTTCATAAAACGTTGGTTTACACAGATCCTCCTTCGATTAGCACAAGTTAGTTAGTCTTTAAGCAGGTTAACGTTATTTGAGTACGGGATTATTGATAACTAGATTTTTGTAGTTTTTTTTATGATCCAGGGACTCCGTCGGGCTAACGAGCTAGTTTCTGTATATCTAAGAACCTGTTTAACCTAGAGAATTGATAATAGTTATAGAATTGAAAATTATTCAGTGAATTATATGATTTATATATCAACTTGCTATTATTATATTATATTAGCAAGTATTATTATTATTATATAATTATTATATTATATTATTGCTAACTTTGCAACACTTGAACAGTATAGACGCTCATGAACGTCGCTACTTCGACTAAATGAAATCGTCGTTTAATAAGAAAAAACTCTCGCTGTAACATTAATATAATCTTGTGTGAATTAGAACATAACGTTCACGCTGCAGCACTAATTTGATCCTGTAAGAATTGGAACATAATACTCACGTTTGAAAAACCGTACGATTTACTGCGTATTGAGTCATAGCATGCAGCCATATTTAATATTGAAGTGATCCGTATTTTAATCCAATTAAAACTAACTTGATATTGGGACGAGTTACAAAACATTCACTTTAGGTTCTGAACTAGTATTTAATAAATAATTTCTGCTAGTTACAATCTGCTCCTTTATTTTGCGGTACTAACTCAAGCCATTAAAGTTCCGCCAAAATTATTATTAGATTACATTAAATATATAAAGAAAGATAACGAAATCTCCCGTCACCCTTCTTCTGTGTAACCCATTGAAATGTGTGTCGCTATTATTTACTTATTAAAACATTAGCGCCAGCAGGATTAAAAAATTGCAGCGATTATCGATCCCGCGCAACGCCGGGGTAACGTGCTAACACGCTAACATAATGTAAAATATTATTATTCCACGTTTTTTAAGAGCTTTTTTGTATGTGTTTTTGAAGCCTTGAAGTGAGAATATATTGAGGTTATTTGTGCGCGTATGCATGATGCATCGCATGTCAAGATATTACATTAATATAAAATTTCATTTTGAGGGGTTAGATTACGCATGTAGCATTGTAGAGCGGTATTTGACTCTTAACTTGAATGCTAATTGAATTAATACCTTTTTTAAAATTAAACAAATTCATAAACAATCGGGTTCTCCCTAAAATTTAAAATTAATTTTCCGTCAATTCGGTAGGTTGCCCTCACCGTCACGGGTGAAGCCGCTTGAAGCTTGAATTGGTTGGTCATGTTTTCTTTACTCAAGTAGGAAGCAAACGAAGATGTAATTTTTCATTTTGAATGTTTAATGACAATTCTTTAACTCGGCATTACATTGGGTGGTTTCCGAAATCAAATTCAACCGTACATTTTTTAACAGAAATATTACCAAACTAAATGGAAGAGTGAATATGTTGCTCTTTTTCACTCGTGCACTTCTGCTATATCCAATATAAACAAACATGGGCAGTGAGATGGCTTAGGAGTGCGAGGCTCCTGCATACCATCTTGAGTGACGCTGAGAGAATAAGCTGCAGAACCTGCGAACAGACTAAGCTGCAAAATCCGCTGACAGACTGAGCTACAGATCCAGCTGACAGACGGAGCTGCAGAACCCGCTGACAGACTGAGCAGCAAAACCTGCTGACAGACTGAGCTGCAGAATCCGCTGACAGACGGAGCTGCAGACCCACTGACAGACTGAGCTGCAGAATCTTCTGACAAACTAAGCTACCGCTTAAACAGCAAGGATCGCTTCACGTTTCCACACCGCGTAAAAGGCAGGGATCCCTTCACATTTCCACACCATGTTTCCTAATTTGTTAATCAAGAGAATGAAGAGGTGGTTGTTATAACAATGGTGGCGATTCATTTACTAGTTCAAAGTCTGATGCCATAAACTTGCCACATTAGTTTGATCTACTTAATTAATTTTAAATCATATCTAACATTACAAAATTCTTGATATTGAACATTGGATGTTCCAAAACAGATATTGAACATTGGAACATTTAAGTTCCTATATTACCTCCATGTTATATTCTCATATTCACCTAATCTTGTACCATAGGTCAATAGTTAATTAATTTGCTGAGTTTGGAACCATTCCCGGTAAGTTTGTGAGATTTAATTGAGTAAGTATTTTTACTTTCACTACTATGTATGGCGCTGCATGTTGACTTCATATATAAGGGATGATATCACATTGCTCCGAGGAAATTTGATCTAAGTTCTTTGCTCGAATCTGGTAAATTATTTAGTGTATTTATAGTGGATTTAATCCACTATAAATATGATATTTATTTCACTAAAATAATGCATTGTTGTGCTCCAATAAACAGGTCTTTTTTTAAACTTGATAATTTGTTAACCTGTTGAGAGGAGGCTATCGTTTCCGTGATCCTACTGCTAGGAACACTACCAGTGACTTCCGTATATTAACTGACCACTGAGTATTAACTGACTTCACGTTGCGGGTCAGTAAAGTGTCTTAAGATCTTGTGTTAGATTGTTGGTAGCGGCGCGGTCGTGAGTAAAATATGTAGTAATGAATTTTTATCATACTCATATAAGTGGGTTAAAGGGCTGGTATTCAATTGGAAAGTTCACAACGGTTTACAGGATCGCTATAGTGCCAGCAAAAATTCACACTAGATTCAGGACTAAGTTTAAAAAAAAATTCTCTTTATTTTACTTTTGAAATAATTGTGCCGCAGTTAATTGAATAGTTAAGAATTATATGTTGTGTAAATTAAAAAATAGCATATGATAGGCATGAGGGAGATGGTCCTCTTTGCACGCTAGGTACCTGGAGAAATAAATCTTATTTACGATCAACTATGCAATGTGTAAGGTGATTCATTCACCCTATGATTATTGTCAATCTATCTGCACTATCATTGAAATAGGAGAAATAAAATACTGGATTCCTTTCGAGCGTGACCGCGAGCCCACTTAGGCCATGAGAGCAGATATCAAGTCTGAACTAATGTGCGCACTTTCGTACTTGGGGCAAGACACCAAACCATCACAATGGCAGCAGACTGTACCTACCATCAAGATTGCAAAATAAAATTCGGTGATACGAAGAGCAAAATTACGTGCATGCAATCCATTATTAGGAATATGTCATTTATATTCTATGCAATGAATTGCCCACGAGACGAATTCTGTTTAATGCTGGCAAACCTTTTATAAGAATATATAAATACTTAAAATAATTGCGACGAGATTTAATTACATTTGTCAAAAACAGATAATTTTTTCACGTACGAAATAGAAAATTCAAAGAAAATAGAAACGTCAATGTAATTCTTTAAAATCGCACTTATGCACGTAAACAATTATATAATTGGAAGAATTTTATTGCGATTATAGATTCGTGAGTATTTATTTCCGAAATTGTAACCACGTTATGTTTGATTATACTTCTGTAATATCGAACTCTAATTTTTTCAGTCATGCAATGAAGAAAGCATTAAAAATAGAGGGGGAAAGGTAAGCTGGCAAGGTAAGACACGCGAAAGATGATCAAATACAGATCTTAACATTACTCAAACTGTATATCGATCAAGAGTATAATGTCAAAGATAAGGGTACTCGTATGAAAATACCGACGCGATATGTAAGACACCAGCGAGCTATTCGTGAATTCAATTCATGTCGTTTACTTTAAGTTTAAAAGTCTTCACGCACAAATAAAGTGATCCATTTGCACTTCTACGTCTTCTAGAATGTTTTGAAGCCCTGCATCTTTTTACTGAATCAGCGGTCTATGTACCGCCTCAATATTTCTCATGTTCCACTTGAGCCTTTCCTCGTATAAGATCTTTCGTACAGTTCTAATTTTCTTCGTCAGTCAACCGACCAGAGCGCTCAAGTTAGGTTAGGTTCGGTTAGGTTTTAACCGAGCATCTGACGCACACATTTTAGAGGTGTGTAACGTTCCTTGTGACGAACATTTCACCGTCTTCCACGTCGCTTGTGTCAATGACGTAAGCCACGACGCTGCTGTATTGTCCCTTAGGAGAAGTCGCTGTGATCACAAGAGAGTTGGACACAGACTTGATGCTCGAGATGTCGTAAGTTCTGTGTTCCGTATGATTGACCAACTGCTGGAAGGCGTTCACCCTAGTAGGTAAGTGGACGAACAACACCAAGTTGACTGACTTCTTGCTCACCACTCGAACGCTGTACCGAAAAAGAGACGTTAATGCACATCAAAGCCGTAAATTGTTGCTGCCCGCTACTTTGAGATTATGATCCATGTTTTAGAACGTGGATTTAATTCAAGAATAACCTGGATGACGTGCTGTTTGATTTTTCATCAAGTAATATGTTTGGATTTTCATGCGGACACGAACATGCATTCAGTGGGAGACATCGTAAAAAATGTATGTGACATCAAAACCTTGATCACATTTGGCAGCATGCCCATCTTTCTTAAGGCCCTTTTCCACTACGGGATTGATTCGGAAGGATTGAGACTGGCCTGAGACCACTAAGCCACACGGCAGGGCCTCAAAACTGGCGTGCGAGTCTCCACTACGCGCATTTGCTGAGATCGAGACTGAGTTCCATCTGGGCTACCGCTCCGCCGCGCTCGACATTTCAGTACGTATATTGGAGCGACAGCAACACATAACCTACTTGACGGAAGTCACGACGGCATACAACCTACTTACTTAGACGGAAGTCACAGTGACACTCCCGCGAGTGCCGCGACCCGCATGCATGCCGCAGCATGCGGCTCATAGTGTGTCTAGTCAAAGATTGAACAGCGTTTGACTCCCCGTTGCGCACGTCTCGATGGTCCGAACTACCTCAGTATGGACTGAAACAGTTTTTCAGGCGTCAGTCGCGCAGAGTCAGTCATAGTGGAAAAGGGCCTTGCATGCACTTGTATGGAAATATGTAGTAAAAACTTGACCTTTTTCGTGACAATACAATGGGGTATCCTAAAGAGTCGGCAGCGTTGATGGTAAAAGTTTCATCCGTTTCAGCAGTGTTGGTGAGACTGAAGTGAACCGAAAGTTTCGTTCCACGACTCCCCCACACCTCACGGCCGCTGCCAAGGCAAACTCGAAACTCGCAAGGCAGCTGAATCTGCTGGCTCATGCGTACGAGGTCACGACCTGATCGAGAACGTTCGACGATAGTTCCAAATTTTAGCATGTCCCCTTAGAAATAGGATGCCCAGTGAGCACCAAGGGCGTTGACGCATCAAATAGTTGCTAACATACTTCACTCCCAGAGTCACGAAACTATACAGCGTAAGGCGTAATCAAACATTTCTGAACGAGCATCTTAAAATCATGAAATCTACTTGTATATTTCCGGCACTGCCTGCATATTATATGAAGTTAAGATGAATTTTGGTGCTATGGAAAAATTCAATTCCCATTAAATTATTGATGAGTCATCAAAATTATTTTCAGCAAATTTCTGCCCCTCTACACTTCAGTACCAGTCAAATCATCGTGTCACAGAGTTTTATTATTCACCTTCAGAGTCCTGTGCCTTGTAGACGACGCTGAATGGCAACAGTGGTAGCGTGCTGGAATCGTTTAGTCTAGCATAAGTGATGAATCGAGGTGAGGTTGTTGGCAACTTCAGAGAGCGGGAGTCAGGGCTAGCGAGCGGCGTCAATTCGACGGATATCACTCTCTGCAAGCTGGCCGTGTCGATGCCAGGCACTGATACTCCTAGGTATTCGTGCATGCCTGTTGTAAAGAGAGTTTTGTTTTAGTGGTGCAGTTGTTGCGGTTGCGGTGCTACTAGGAACTAGTGGAAGAGAACAAGAGGTGGCGTAGAGTGGACAGACAGAGAAAGGAAAAATGAAAAAGTCAGTTGGAAATGAAGGCAGGCGCATAGCGCATAATTTTTTTGTTTCGTTGTGTGGCTTTAGGTTTACGTTGGGTGCGGGAAGATAGGGAAACAGTCAGGGCTTTGATTGACTGTGGTGGAGTGTTGTGATTGTTGTGGAGTGCCCAAACTATCTAACAGTAATCAAATTTGAGTACTTTTAGATGTAAAATTCTTTTTACATGGGCTTTCGCTTTTTTCCATCCCGTCTTTTCCCTATTTTTTCTGTTTCTTATTACTTTAAGTGTACATATTTTAAATAATACTTAGATGGAATGGAAATACTTATAATATGATAAATAATACAATGATGGAATGATAATGGTTATGATGATGAAGTTGATGGGTTGAGCCGCTCGAGACTCGGAGAGAAGTTAGATGGTTTGGTAGCACAAGAAGATTCGGTTATGTCTTAGCTGTGCGTCACTCGGTGGGTCGCGGCAGTCCGTCAGCATCGTTTATTGAGCCCCGCGCCTTGTCGTGGTCTGAACACTTGCCCTAGGCCCCCAACCCGTGCTCGCCCGCTGGGGCAAGCCCGGCGGGTTCGAGACAGAAGGAGATGGTACGAGGGATGAGGGAGGTAGGGGGAGGCATAACGCAGGTATATGTCTGTAGTGCAGTCAAATATACAGAAGAATCGTAGGAACAGAGGCACAATAAAAATAAGAAGTTACAATTCATGCCGGTGACTCGCACTTTCTTCAGGGAGGCTGAAATAAATTCGAAAGATTAGTCGAAAGTTCAGAGCACTGGACACCAGAATCACTTGGTAGTACTCACGAGGGGCCACTTGTGTTTTTCGTGTGAGAAGTCCGTAAATATCTATTCGTATCATGAAAAGTTGAAGTTTCATTTATCTCTCTATATTAAACTTTTCATACTTTTCCCGGTCGCCTGAATAACCAACACACCTCCATCGTCGGATGAAAACCTAAAACACAGGTACAAACATTTAGCAAACTAAATTCACATTGGAGATCTTATAACATAAATTGCCAAATGAAAACAAATAAGAATGAAGTAAATATTAGCAGATCAGCCTATCTATTTTCAATTTCGAGGGGATTTGAACTGTAGGCGGCATTTAAAATAGGCTTTTGTTTAAAAATATACAGGGACTCTAAAATTCGCGGATCAGAAACACCAGTTGTGGAGGTTAAAATTCTAAAATTACTATCTGAACCCGGGACGTTGCTTTACTCGGCATGAAAGCGTACTGCTGAATGAGGGGGGATGCGCACGCAGGTTTCCTGTTCAAAAACTCCTCCCTTTGTGCTCCGCCAGCCTAGTATAAAAATTGCGAGATATCATACCGACATACGCAGATGCGCACCGCGCAAAAATATATTAACAAACTAGGGACGATCGCATAGGAACCAGGAGTGTATTTAATACTTGAAAAATATACTGATTTTAAAGTTATGCACCAGCAATACATGAAGATTTACATTTGGGAGGTATAAAGAGAACAAACTTTTCAATTTCTTAGACATAGACTCCGAATCTGTAGCAAAGTAAGAAAATGAACAATAAACAGCATTCCTAGTGTCACATTCGGAAGCAACCTTAGAATATTTCTTAGACAAAAATTTCTTAGAGTATTTACCAATTGCGACGGAAACCCATTGAGTGAAAACGTACTGCGTAAAATCTCAAATTCGGAGAGTATGGAAAGTACAGCAAATACGAAAGCTACGGTTTATCAACGTTTGAATCCCATGTAATTTAAAACGAAATTAAAAAAGCTAAAAAAAAAGCTGGTGCTTAAGCCTGTAAATGTCGATTTTCGGTTAACAGATGTCCGAAAATGGCCATTTGATTTTGTGACATTGCAATCAAGAAAAGATAAACTATTTTGAATTCAAGCTCCATGTAAATTTGATAGACTTGTGTTGGAGATCAAGATAAGTAAATAAAAAGCCTACAGGAGAGGGATGCTTGCAAATTAAAAAAGTGTCATCGACTTATAGTTGCTATTCGGTTATAGAATAGTGGCCCAAAATCAAGAGGATCGTGATGTAGCCTCGTGAAAACACATGAAAATGTTAGCAAAAGTAGGGCCGAGAAAATGACCAATGCCCAAACCATCAATTTGCCAATAAAATTTGCTAGCAAATACAATAAATGAGTTCAAAACAGATAATTCAAGAAGAGATATTTAAAAATTGCGGTTCAAACCCATTACACAGTCATTGACACTTTTAAACGAAGATCTCAGGCAGATATCAATAGATTCATGACATATTGGTAAACAAATTTTCGACTTCAAAGAAGCCATGATTAAGTTCTGAACATTAGTAAAATTCTTTAAACGTTATTAGAGCGTCGGTAATTCTGATTTAAATTATATTATACTGGATTGAACGTAGTTATGGGTGAATTAATAACTTGAGTTATGAAAGTTATTGGAAGTTAGAGACTTAGAGTGAAGATTGAGCAGGCTATACAGGAATTTGGGGTGAAACTGTGAAGCTTGTATAAGGTGCAGGGTGCTACTGTTCTCGAGACCGTGAGACCGAGGGTTGTTTACAGTTGAGAATGGCGAGAGCATCAAACGGCTGACCATTGCGGATTTCATAACTGTCACGGCGTCACTTCGAGGGATAGATAGGCTTAAAGTGTGGGCGAGACGAGCGTATATAAGGAACATAGAATTGGCGCCAAGAATTGGTTCTACAGTGGTGACCGTCTCGTCAGTACGGTCTGTACTCTGTAGCTATCTCCGCGACAGCATCGGCCGTTGGGCGGCGGGTCGCGAAAAACTGGCCGTGCGAAACGTCGCGTTATTTGACCACACGATTCCGATATAACAACGCCAAAAATTATCAAGCATCGGCCACGACTTCGTCATATATGTACGGTCAACATCATTGCTACGGCTGTGACTCAGCCGTGAGACAACGCGAGAAGCCACGATTTGTCCAACGATTATAACACCGGCAATCATGGAGACTCAGTACAGACCACTGCGCGGCATTTTTCATTGGTACGGTCATCAGCACAGCACGATCACAGTTCTCATCAGAAAAAACTATACGGTCACGACCATCGACCGCAGTAAACATACAAAGAAACCTACGGCCAGACTGACCGCAAGGCATCGATATTGGCGAGACACAACGGTTAGGTGGAAAAGCAACCGAGCTACGCGTGACTACAGCTGAGGTACGGCTGCAAACGTGCGCGTTTACAGTTACGGTCGTTTACTGTCTTCTCATGGGAACTGCAACTGATCAACGTTTTTCTGGTAAAAAGTTATTTTAGCGATGTAAACTAATAGGTTCTCAATTTTGATTGTGTTCAGATTACCGTTTTTCATCTACTAGAGATTTTTGGTTAACGTAGCATGTGAAATTAAATTTTCCAATTTAATATGAATTGTACCAGTGTTTCATTAGAACCCTCTCTCTGTACTATTTTTACCGTAAACATATTCATAAGAGAATCTACATACGCGCTATTTAAACCACTGCGGACCCAGCCTTACCGAAATTAAAGCGATTGCCGATATAATATAAGTATAATAATAGTAAAATCTCAAAACTACTCAACTTAAAAACGCATTTCTTAATCAAACGATCCCCGAACAAGTAAGTATTGCCAACCGTATATTAATTGGTGGTGAGACAGTTCAAAACCGGAACTAAAAATTTAACAAGTTTGAAGTTCGGAGTATTATACGCAGGAAAGATTGGGCGGAATTGAAATTTCAAAGCGAAATCTAGTTTACGAATTTTGGGCAAGCCTTACAAAATCCGAGGGCAAGAGCCAGAGGCATAAAGTTTGAAGTAAGTTTCAAATGAAAGTGCAGCGGAATCTTTAAGTTTTCGCAGGAAATTATTAATTTTGTTCTCAATCTTCAAAATATTTTTTAGCAATTGGATCTGTAATTTCGATAAATTACAGATCCAAATTACAGATCTTTCGGTCCTACTTTTACTAGAAATTTCATGTGGTGTTCAAGAAGCTATATGGCTGGCCAATTAACATTTTGATTTTAAGCCACTATTCCATAACCGATATGTCGTAACTTTCTTAATTTTCAAGCATCCATCTCATGTAGGCCCTTTCTTTGATTATATTAATCTTCAACACAAGTCTATCAAATTTACCACGGAAATTGAAACCAACAATAGTTTATCTTTTCTTGAATGCAATACCACAAAATCAAATGGCCGTTTTCAGACATCAGTTTACCGAAAATCAACGTTTACCGGCTCAAGCACCAGCTTTTGTTCTTTCAGTCTCAAATTAAATGGGATTCAATAAACCGTGGCTTTCGTATTTGCACTATTTTCCATACTATGCACTATGAATTTTACCGTTGACGCAGTACGTTTTCACTCAATGGGTTTCCGTCCCAATTGGTAGATACACAAATTATGGAAATTTCAATTCTACGCAATATTCTGATGTTGTTCCCGAACGTGGCAATAGGAATGCTGTTCATTGTTCATTTCCTTACCTTGGGCCCGCTTCGGAGTCTATCTCTAAGCAGCTGAAAGGTTTTTCTCTAAATACCTGCAAAATGAAAATCTTTATTTATTGCTGGTTTTAAATTAAATTTTAAATTCAGTTCTTTGTTTCAAGTATAAAGATGCACTACCTGTTCCTATGCGATTGTCCTTAGTTTATCAATATAGTTGTGCACTGTGCGCATCTGCGTATGCCGGTATGGCATCTCGCAATTTTTATACTAGGCTGGCGGACTACAAAGGAAGGAATTTTTGAACAGGAAACCTGCTTGTGCATCTCCTTCATCCAGCAGTACGCGTTCATGCCGAGCAGTGCAACGTCCCGGAGTCCGATAGTGATTTTAGAATTTTAGCATCCACAACCATTTTAGAGTAGCTGTATATTTTTAAACAAAAACCTAGTTTAAATGCCGCCTACAGTTCATATGCCCTCGAAATTGTGAATAGATAAGTTTGTCTGCTAATATTTACTTCATTCTTATTTGTTTTCATTTGACGATTTATGTTTTAAGATCTTCATTGTGAATTTAGTTTGCTAATTGTTTGTACTTGGGTTTTAGGTTGTGAACTGACGATGGAGCTGGACTCCGAAACGTTTTCATTCATAGGAAATGGTGATTTTTTGGCTGTTTTTTTTTAATTATTGATGGACTTGCGATTTAAGCAATCAAGTGATCTTAGTACAAACACACATATAGCTCACCTGAAGAAGAGGGGTGTGATAAACGTTGCAAAGACGGGTAGCTGCTGTTGACATCAGCGTGGTAGAACGAAGGGATGATATCCGCCGCTGAAGATGCCGTAACTATGACTGACGCGACGCCAGATGGAAGGTACGTCAATGTCAGATATTTGATTTTTTTCGCCAATGCCGACCTGACAAGCATGAACGTGCGCCCCACTTTGTACTGTAAACAAAGACATGCAGGATATTCTGAAAAAGTTACTGAATTTTTCCATAGTATAATGCATTGTCAAGCACAACACACATGCATGCTGAACAGTCTGTCGCACGCGTGCAACCTTTCATTCTGATTTCTTAGCGCGCTTTGAAAACCAGCATCGCCATTTTTTGGCAGAATCATTTGCCGGGAGCTATTATTTCTGAATTGTCTACTTGAGAATTTAAGATACACTAGGTAAAACGTACCCTGAATTCGACCCCACCCACATTCCAAAACCCAAATTCCAAAAGACTGCTCAACACCCTTACCCAAACATGCAAAGAATTAAACGTTGTTTCATCGAAATTGACTTATAATCATCATGGTACCGAATACGCGCGCCCCACGATCGCCCCAAGCTCGACGGGTATTTCACAAGATTCTCCTTCGGCGCTTATTTCGCTCCGGCAACCGGAACCTAAAGCGGACATAGAGCTTCTAAATTACAACACAAAAAGAACTTGGGGCGACCCTGAGCCAGCGGCTGACAGGCATCCAAATTTTGATAGGGTTGCAACCTTGTTTCAAAATAGTACAAAAAGATGAAATAATAGTACCATAAAGCAATCGGAGTCAACGTGGCAAAGCATGCCCAAATTACGCATGGTCAACTGCATCTGGCGTGAGAAGTTAGATCTTACAGCTGCTGGTAGAAATGTCGTCTAATAACAAATGAAGACAAGAGAAAAAAATGCTCGTTAGATAAAGTTTATTTTAAGAAATGTCGTCTAATAACAAATGAAGACAAGAGAAAAAATGCTCCTTAGATAAAGTTTATTTTAAAGTCAAGTTTAATCTTTACCTTCATAATGTCTGGAGTGACTGGAACCTGGTTGACCCGATAAGGATTTCTGGTTGTCGTTGGAGGAGCACCAAGAAGATCAGTAATCGATCCTGAAAAATTTAGAGAAGTAAAATGATCTCAGTCGAGTGATAAGATGTGAAAATTCAAACGAAATAGCGGGAATTACAAAGTAACCAACCTAAAATTGGCATTATTTTCTCTAAAACTTTGAGCTTAAATAATGTGGGTTTTGGCCATTTTGCGTGTTAAAAATATTAAAAGCAACTTATTTATCAGTAAGCGTATCAATAAAACACCTTATTTTTAATACTACTATTATTATTATATTGTGACTAGTGTCGGAAGATTTCTCTCTGCATTTGCTTTTCCAATCCATTCTCTGCATCTGCTCTTCCAATTATGTCCTTTTTCATCTCTAACAACCATTTCATAATTTTACATTGTGGCGTGATTGGTTACTCAAGATTATTTGCCTTAATTTATTGCTTTCCAATGGAACGCGAGGGATTCAATACTAGTTCAAGATTGTAAGGTGTCAAAAATCCAGCGATTAATAGATCCAAATTATAGACAAATTAAATAGGCGAATACGATGGAATAGAGCTCTATCCGACGAATATGAGTGGTTCTCGTCTATAAAATCTAGATTTGTTTAAGAAGACACAGTTCGTCACATAATTCAAAATTTTCCGTCTCATACGAAATTTTATCGTACTAATGAATTTCTAATACCCACCACCATCAGCCGTCATAGTTGCTGAGACAAAAGTGCCGTAGAGCGATATGCCGACTGCCTGCACGCGATTATCCACTGTGATGTTGATGATCTTGGCACTCGACCCCGAAATATCGCGATACAACACAACCTGTGCAGGACATGATCAGAACAGAATACAACCTGCCCAGAATACGATCTGAACAGAAAACAATATGTACGAAACACAATCTATGGATATCATTTATGCGTAATGGAAACTGCACTAAAACCTTCGCATTAAATATTCGGCATTCATGCGAAGCCGAAGTAAAACCCAAACCATCAGTTAGAATAAAAGAAAAAACAATGCGTTTATCATAATCATATGTAAATAATTACCTAATAGCAAAATCTCATATGCGGAGTACATCATATAAATAAGTTTGTCTCAAATCACAAGCCACTGATTTTTGACCTCATGTTACTCTGCAATGAATGCCTATAATTTTGAACAATTGGCCCTTTTTACCACAGATTCAATAGCCGTCAGTAAACGATCCCATGCCATGATTCTATTTTAAATATTTAAATTCATACCCCACAACCCAACTATAAACGAGAATAGCCGTGTATAATTAATGTGCTTTTATACATCTCTTGATATTCTTCCCTGTGCTTGAAAGTTTGTCGCCTATGTCGCATTGTAACCAATAGACTGAGCTCACGACCAGGTCCGCGTACAAATAATTATTCCTTGCAAAAGAATTGGACGTTCAGTAATGCTCCAGACATTGGGAAATTAAGACGCAATTGATCATTCGTTAGTGAAAAATTACCTAAAATCTTAAATTTTTTAGGTAAAATGCTTACTTTTTAAATTAATTTGCAATTAGCCATTAGAATTTAGATTGCGGACCTCAAGGTTGCTTCACACTAGATGGGCCATTATGTCTCCAAATCAACCGCGGATTGATTGTGCTATCCATAACCGAATAAAAATAACCGTAGATCAGGATCATGATGCATTATATCATTCATGCAAACTCCACCAACTACAAAAGCATATCGACCCCGGAACAATAACTTTGCGGGCACAATTGAACCGTAAATAAGCCTCTATTCCATCACTGCCGTGCTCTCTCCGCACTTACCTTAATTATAGCTGTTATAATGGAATGAGTCTTACCAGGATCCAGATAACTTTGTCTTTCTGTGTCTTTGTTCCCACCATAATATTGTATATCTAACCGTACTCCATGCCTGCATTTTCACTCCCTGCCCTCCTCTCATCCTCACGCCCCATTCTGTAAAAGGGCACCTCCGACCCAAACCTAACAGGATCGCCCCAAAGGGCTGGGGTCACAAACTCCCAACAAAGCCTTCGATCACCCTTATCCTCATCACCCTGACAGCCGACTGAATGCTAACTATCTCTCAAAATAACTCAACAGCTCTTTTCCTTATTTGATTGTTCGAGGTTCAGACAAACCGTCTCCAATTTACCAAGTCTTTAATTAATGCAAGTTTAACGATAGTAGGCGCAGCACACAATGAACCCATGTTATTAGATGCATGCACTGCACTAAGCACATGACCGACTCATCCTTAGGTACATTTTGAAAGTGTCATTAGCCGAAAGTGAACGAAACATACCTCGCCCTGAAAATACTGTTGCTTGACAGCGGCAAGAGCGCTCCTCAGATCAGTAGCAGTTGGCACGTCGATGACGTGACCTCCTGTCACTAAGGCGAATTCTGCCAGGATCTGGTAGACGCGACTTGCTGAAAGCAGCTCTTGCTCTCCTTCAGCAGGCTCCGGCTCAAGGGGAATGGCACTAACGTTTCCCCAAATCCATGTGTCATATGATGAATTAGTTTTGCTTGATTGGTTCTGTGCGGTCTCATCTTTTTGTAAAATGTGTCCAACCACCAACGGCATTACCTGGAAGATGTTAAGCAATTGAAATGCCGAGAGCGCCCAATGTGCGAGGCATAGAGACGTGGCAAATGGAGTGAGGTAAGCCAGATTATTTTCGAAATTTGTTGTCTTTATTTGATCGGAATTAATTTTTTAATTCTAGGTAATGTCGGAAGTCTTGATACGACAACAAGCGTTCAATCTATGAAGGAAACACAGCTTTGGCCGGAACGTTGGTATGAGTATGATTCAACTTAAGAAAATATACCCAACATTATCTACTAACGGGCCCGCTATATTCTATACGACCGAGAACTAAACGAACATCAACTACATCGACTTTCACACACTACTGGATAACCCCAACCCGTTCAACTTCTTGCAGATTTAGACGCCAGACACAAAACACTAGAAAACTGTATCTTCTACCACATAGGCAGAAATTTACACTCTACCACATCGGCCCCTAGTTTTCAACTCTAATCACCCACAACAGCAAGACATCAATCACCAGACAGAGTCATGCACAACAATAAGGCATTCCACAACATCCAGTTAATCATTCAATTTAGACTTGAAACACCACACAATCCTATCAGCTTTCCATAATAGCCACAATCTATGCAAACTCTGTACAAATACCATCTGTCCCCGTAGATCCTTCAATCGAGAAAATTGGGCACTATGCAAGTAAACCCTATCACAGTACAAAAGATTCGCACAACCCGACTATATATCAGCTAAAATCTGCACTGAGAAAAATAATAATGGACAAAACACGTAAAGAACGCCACCGAAACTTCAATCCTCAGTATAGAACACCGCATCATTCCTGAAATTAAACCCATTCACGAAACATTACATTAAACACGATATCAGGCCACTTTTCAATATATCTACACCCACGCTCCTACGACAGCACTCAGCAGACAATTCATCGCCTTACGCCAACAACTGCAAACAGACAGCTGCAACAGACATGGCAGAAACTCATCAGCCCCTGAAAAACACAAATAGATCCTAAAAATTCTGGTCATCGCTAAAACGCATGATAGGCTCTAGCACGAAAACATTAAATACACAACATTATACATCAGAACAAAAATAAACCATTTGTGGAAAACAATGTCAGGAAATTTTTACACAGAAAGACATTGACAATGAAGAATTTGACATTGAACATATCATCATAATATAAGACCACGTAAACAACGAGACACACCTCATTCAACCATAAAATCTTGGTAACTTTGCCAGACGTACTTTCCGCCTTCTCCCATGCAGTTGACTCCACCCATCAATGTTAGATTATTTCATCGCTCATTTAAAACATTAAATCCGAACGCAACGGGCCCAACTGGCATCACAACTGTCTAGCTTAAACGTCCCCACAAAACACGATACAGTACTTGTTATACATATAAAACCATCGGACGGATGTTCCCCAGACTCGCTCATGCACGCAATAATGATCTTTCTCCCCAAACCCAACAGTTCACAACACCAAGTTCAAACAATAGTCACCTAGCTTTCACTATTAGGCAGACACGATATGATCCTGGACAAAATTTTAAACAGATCATACGAACACATCACATTTCAGAACACACACAACACGGTTTTAGAAAACACAGATGGACACACACACAGCTGGGCACCAAGAAGGGCGTATATTTTGTATGTGCCCAGTTTTCGAATAGTGGGTACTCGTTGCTTTTAATTGAGACTCTCCTACTGTTAGCCGTCACCGTGTAGGGTCAAAACCCGGACGACGAATTTTTACAGCTTTTTAGGCCAGAGTATGATATATATTCATTGATAGTTGCCAATAAATAATCATCCTATTCGAAGGCATGCTGCATTCTCGGGAGTTGTTTGCGTTCGTTGTCGTCCTTCTTAATTTTTGATGCAGATCGTAAGCCATGCAGCGATTAATATATTTTCTGATGCTATATTTGCGGTTACTGATGCTGATACTAATGTACATAAAGAAAATGTTGAGTTAATTACATGTTTGTAGCAAAACTTAGGATGTTATATGCAGCGTTGGAGCATGTTCGAACGCGACTAGTGTGCACGCGCTTTCTGAATGAATAAGTTCAGATCTGGTTCTATGTTAGTTTAGTTAGTTTTGTGGCCAAATGTTTACTAGCGCTTCAGTTATTTCGCTATCTCGCAATGAAAGTTAAGATGAACATCACCAAAGAGGTGGAAGGTCTCAGTTATCGAAAGTTTCTTAAATCGAAATTCATTCATCACCCACAAGAGGCGGAAGGTCTCAATTGTCCAGCCCGCTGAAGCTGGCTCGAAAGAAGCAGTGTTAGCATCTCAAAAAGAAGTGACAAGAAAGGACAGGTGGAAAGTGACAGAAACTAAGGCACTCGAACAAGAGATCGCTTACACGGGACGTCGGCCGCCCGCACGAGAGAGACAGAAGGGAAATGTAAGGAATCCTGCCAACATAATAACTTAACCCCACAACTGAGACCTGTAGTCAGACACTGCGAGCTCAGCGGTGGGGCGCTCAGGAACAATCCCCCTATAAGAGCGCGAGATCCCATATGACTTCTGACGAGCACAGACACGCGTCAGAAGTCCTTCCTGAGAGGTTGGTTCTATGCGATTCTATCTGCAGTACATGCTGATTTCTACATAAAAGAAAAATGAAAATTTCCAGAGATTATATCTGACGGCACCATGTGGCTGAGGTTAACAGCCCATACATTGAATGAATTCTACATTGGAGAGAACAGGGATGTTTGTTTGCACACTCGTGTATGGGATGTATACAGGGACGTATGAACAGTCTTACTCGTCATCAATGATTTCATTGTCGTATTCCATCTGCTTTTCTGGGAAACAGATATCGCCGCAATTTATTCAGAGTTTATGTTTTGGAAAGGTATATGTAATTTTCATACATTTACGCTGCAATTTTTTTACATTCTACGCATCGTATTCGAATCGTATACATTCGACGCATCGTATTCGAATATTGGACACATTTTTTTCAATGTTGATGTATAATAATTCCCAGGCAGGATATAAAAGTGACCTGTTCGCTGTTCCTATAACGTCTGGTTACCTAACCGTCCTTCTGATCAACCTAACCTAACCAGCTACTCCATTCGCTAACTTCAAGCCACGCACAACCAAACATTTGCAGCCATTCCATTGTAGAAATAGATGCCTGTTGACATATTTTAGCAGCGTCGAAAATATGATGAATAGGAATCACCTTGATTCTCTTGCGCAACAGCAGTTCTCGTGTATGCAGGGGCATGTTGGCCCCCGTGTTCCCTCCCAAGGGAGCGCTCTCCGTTAGCATGAAGACCTCCGTGTCAGGCAGTGCTGCGTGGGCAGCCGTGTGCAGACCAGCCAGAGGGTCCTGAGTGGAGGAAAGTTTAGGGTACTAGAGTGGATGATGAGTAAAGATGCAGAATATATGGATGAGTTTATTTGATGAATATAGAAATCATGAGGTGCTGGATTGGGTTATGCCTGGCAAGGGACAAGGGTCAGAATGAGTTGTTATGCGGTCAGAAAGATACAAGTTTACACTTTAGTTCACATCTCCTATTAGTGGTCGAGCAAGTTAGCGGGCTTGGTAGCTCACGATGTTAAGTACTTTAAGCCAGTCTCGTCTTCATGGATGTGTAAATTTGCGGCCCACGGCTGCGCGCCTATCACCCTCATATAGTCACAATAGATACAGAAACCTCTTCATATTTACAGATTTTAAGGAAAATATCATGCTCGACCAGAGACCACAGGAAAAGAACTATCATCGATCTCTACGGCATTGCGTGGGCAATATTCTTACAATAACTGACCCGTAGTGCAGCTGCTGAGTCATCGACTAGGGAGGATTTTAGGGCTTGTACAAGAGCAGTAGCAGAACCTGACCGAAACACTCCTCCCCCTCCTCTTACTGCCCACAGAAAACTCATATAATGATTAATAGTTATGCATATTTCACTCTTTTAATCCAATTAATACATATTATTTGTATATAATTTACTGCAGTAAATATTATTCGTCGTAATGTTGTTGGAGGTAAATTAGCGCCGCACAATTGGCAGGCGATAATTGAGCGCCCTATTTTCTTTCCAGAAACGACGATAAAATTGAGCGCGTGTCCAATTATTCAAACAAAAGAGACGCCCTCCCCTGAATCATCCTTCAATCTTGGAAACCATGAGTTCAATTTTCGAGCTTCCTACTAACATTAAAATGCCTTAAAAATCGTTATCCCTGTGCAAGCATCTTTTGCAATCACTGCAGTGAGCTGCGTCGGGTACTCAAGTGAATTTTGTGTAAGGTCCCGGACATCAGTTTCGTTAGGAAAAAGTATTGGATGAGCGGCTCAATAATAATTACTAACGGGCTCAGTAGGTACAAGGTTATCAACACACAATTAAAGAGTTAAAGGCTTACGAGTATTCGAGTAAAAAACTAATAGGTATTCTTCAGGTTCTGACAGCCCTAATGTTCCGAAAGGCAAAGAGTTCAACAGGGTTTCGGTGAAATCCTTCCTGCCGTCGGTGACGATGGCTACAGCTGGTCTTGGGTGCAGTGACAGCAGGTGATGGAATAGCTCGTTGCCCACGGCCTGTCTGAGCGCCGTGAGGTAATGTGCCGTTGCCTGCAGCCATTAAAAATTTTGATGAAAGAGAAAATGATTTTTTACTTTCGCATTTATATTCAAATGATAGAACTCAAAATAATGATCAAAGATTCTTCACTTAAGAAGCATGGTATAATTCACCTGAAACATTCTTCACCCTTCTTTGCGTTTCTTGACGAAACGGTTTTTAGTCCACTGGTTATTTTAATATATTTTTAGGGAAGTTTTGCATGATCTCACTTCGATATCGCGTATCGTACTACATTGAACTGAAGTATATATTTTCAAAAACTGCTTTTTTGGACAAATGGTAAAGTTAAAGCATACTTGAAATGATGAAATCTGCCATAACTTAAGAACTCATATTTCACAGTTGCACAGACCTGGATTTTATTCGTGATGAATTTTCATAAAATTTTTCACTAAATCTTTGTTCAGCGAAGAATTAAGCGTTGTTCTTTCTGAAGAATGAAGCGATCTTTGTTCAGCATTAATCGTAATATTTCGACGCTCAATCTTTCATGAAAGATGGACCGCAAATCTGGTAGAATAATTGAATCGCAATGCATATTTTGTAGAAAATTTTCCCTCTATACCTATCGAGAAATGACTACCCTAGAAATTTGTCATACACAAATGTGTCTCAACCTCGTTCATATACATTTTCTATGGAAAATTTTATCCTAAACGTTTTTGTGAAATCAGAAGGACGACTAATCTTTATTGATGTCCCCATCGCTCGATTTTTGTCTAGATTACTAACGGGCTCTACTAGACTAAAAGGGGACATACGCACCCTTCTCGTAGGACATACGCACCTATGAGAACACTGTCCTTACATTTCTCTCAGCACTTTCACGTCAAATGTCTCATCTTGAGGACTCCTCATGAAGAGTCTCCTGTCATTCATAATATCACGAGTTCTAACCTGCGCAGCGAGTAGCGCCGCTCGATTGTGCAGGTCAGGCCGAGGGCTGAAGCAGGCTGAGGGTAGGTCCTTGCTAATGCCCCCCACCACCTTGCGACCACGTCTTGCCTGACGGGGAGGAAGCTGACACTTGCCTGGGGCAGCGTCATTCTCATGATTAATTCATGACTTTCAAAAATATTTATAACAGTAGAGGTACTGAAAACAACTGAATAGATCTATGAAATACGTACATTCAACACGCTTTTTTGAGTCATTTATTCTATTTTTACACACCTTAGACAGGCACACAACCCAGAATTATGTCAAATACTGAAAGTTAATTAGCTCCAAGACGCAGCTCAGAGTAACGTCCTATCTAATTAATTTCAAGTAGACTCTCGGTCGGACAACCTGCCTGGCAGAGGCGTGTATCCCATGTTGGTGACGTACTCAGAAGTCAGCAAGCCAGACGCCAGAATAGAATCTGTCAGGTGACTCTTGCAGTCAACTCCATTCTGACAGTGTCAAAGAAGAAAACACGCAATATTTCACTAATAAAATGAATAAAGGAATGAATTTGAATAGAAAGAAGTGACTATATAAGCCGTGAGAAGACACAGGGTTTATGCAATGTTCTTGAGTTCCAGTCTATATACAGAACTTTGGCGCGGTGGCTTTAGCATGAACTAATGAAACATGTGATGCTGGGGATTTCTCGCATTGCGGAGATTATGCATTAAACTCAAATTGAGGAATCTTTTCCTCTTTTGTAACTTTGGGTACCACTAAGCGAAAATTTTAATGTAGTCTAAGAATGCCGGAGAAAAACTTAACAAGTAACAAGAATTGACATAATCCAGGAACAGGCCTACTCACATTGAGGCATGTGACGCAAGTCTCCTCATCAAAGCGAGCGACGTCCGGCAGCGTCCCGCTTGGCAGCCCTGTATAACAGCGATTTTAATTACATTATTATAAATCATGGAATTCGATTATATTTGCGTGAAATTAGTTAAAATCTGGCTACGTATGTTGTGTTGTCTTTGGTTTAGCTAGCTCGAGCTGTGATTGCTGTTTAAACTGTCTTACTTGTTCGCGATTTGAGTACTCAGTGTTCAATGGTAACCATGATAGTTGTCATATTCGATCATTGTGAACGTTTTGACGGCATTGAGGCGTGATCAGGTTGTCTTGATTATGTTGAAGACGGAGGAAGGCGACGCGATGAAGAATGTTGTAAACGATTTCACAAGGTGTGATGAAGGCCTTTAGCTTAAAGACAAGTTCATCGAGTTCGGGGCGTGGGTGATTCGTGCAGGAGACATGAAGTACTGGTTGAAGCGAAAGTGATACAAGTGAGTATTGTAGCGGGAGAAATAGCTACATCTAAACTCTTTAGTGACTCTTAACAGCGGGCCCTACGTTACGTGGAAGATTAAAACAATTGAAGAAGCATTTGAGGCCGGAAAATATATTCTACACTTGCAGAGATTTACAACACTTGATTGAATCCAGATAAATTAGGACGTCAATAGAACGAGACAGTTGAAATACTGAAAAGATTGACACGATAATGGTATGGATGAATTATTGGCTTTCTACTATAGTGAGACTACTTCCGAAGACAGGTCTGTTTGTAAATTTTTATAAATAGTCGTGTTTATAGGAGTACGGCGGCTTGAAATCTAGAATGGACCGCTTCCAAAGCGAGGCAAATATCAGTCCTGCATGCTACAGTATGGGATTTGACAGTTTCATACAAAACCTAGTTAATACCAGAAGTAAACGTACGCGCAATAAAATCTACTCGATTCTATTGACACGCACTCGTAGTTCTAAACTGTTAATCTGGATTGGAAATGAGAGACCAAACAAAACTGATTGAGTTAAACCACAATCATTCGCCACTGGTGGCCTTAACAATTCCGACCGCTAATAGGACATTTGTTTCCAAAACAAAATATAAACCAAGACTCTAAAACATGACCCCCATGACCGTACAATTCTAGGCTACCCTCAGAAACATTGACATGCCTATTGCCCATTAAACCTCTTAGGCTCGATACAAAATATCGGCACACCTTGAATTCCAAAATTTATAGGTGGCGTATCTGGCCGCGAATATTAATTTACGCTCCATCTCCGTACACTGTTGCGTGATTATGATCTTCGAGTTGCGTGCAGTAATCTTCGTAAGTTATTTAATCTGTTGCTAAGAGTTTATTTTATTTATTTGATCCACCATTCAGAGTATTTCATTCAATTGTTTACTCTAAAAATTTTCACGAATCTAAAAACTAACTGACTGATTTGTTATTAATAAAATCTATTATTGAAAAGGCCGCATTCTAAATTATTTCTTAAAAATTTTGCAGGTTAAGTTTATGTTCGTGATAGATTCTTTTAAGGGGAGCGTATGGGTCCAAAACCGACAATTTCGGCTTTTCCGGTTTTTAGTCTCATCTTAAAGCTGACACTCTGACCTATCCAACGGTATCAAAACCATCTCTGTACGTTGATTTATGCGTTCACTACAGATTCCGCAAGGGAGGGAGGTGGGGCAGTTTTTTCACATTTAACATAGGAAATAATTCCCGTATTGCACTATATATAGCTGGTCTACAGACACTCAGCTCCAGTAACCTTGCGGCAGTCGTACGGGGTGGTTCCCGCACCGTCGCCCTCACCATCCTTGACAGAAATTGAGCTCCAGTATCGTCTAGTCGCATTCATTGCAGTCTCGAATGCCGATTTCGAGGCGCCCGAGACTTTGTCGGGCTCTACTGAACATTCACACTTATTGTCACTTGAAACCTATCTCCTCCTAGCGTTCTGTAGCTACATCAATGAGAAATATACCGTTCGATTCGCAAATAAAAGATCTACAAACGTAACTAGGGTTTTTTTCAAGTTCGTTATAGTTCGAATTTTATTTTGCAAAAAGGGGGAAGGCGGAGGTAAAATCGAAAAATTTCGAAACATTTCGGAAAAAGTGCTCCCACACTCACAAAAATGAGAAATTAAAAATAAGCCGAAGTTACGTTTTTAGATATGGTCTTTACGCATCGAATGATATGTGTCTCGATGTTGTAGCCTGAAAATCACAGGACTGATTAACAGTATCCCCTTTTTGGCCGTTTTCTAAGTTTACTCTCAATTTTTCGAAAAATTCACACGAACAAGAAAAAACAGAATTACGTTTTACATACGTGTACCAAATTTCGAATCGATCCGTCCAGTGATATCCGAGATATTTTTTACCTGAGACGCTCCCCTTAAGATTCTTGATCAGGTTACCTTCTTTGTTCAACCTGCGAAAGTCAACTCGTGGCTGAAATCACTTTAGAAAGTTATCTGAGGCCGTGACACTTGCCATGTCAGGTGTTAATCGACTTGCAAAAAACCATTATCGAAAAAATGCAATCAACTTATAGTTGTTAATTTCATTGTGTTCGCAAATTTCATATTATCTGTTTATGTAACTCTATTATACGCCAGGTTTTCAATTTATTCCGTCTATAGTAAGTAGAGAATCTTCAATAATGAACACCAAACGTTATGTATGATTCAGAAATTTTCAATTGGTGTTAATTTACGACTGAAGAGACGCATCGCATGGCCTGTGAGCAGATGCCTGGAATGAATCCAGATGAATTAGATGTGGGATTGATGAACCGTGTGGCTCAACCGCTGCAACACACTCACCAAGACCTTCAAGGATGGAGTCGTGGCCCAGCTCGATCCAGTTGGAGTGCGAGTAGAAGTCTTGCAAGGCTGCGAGCGACGTGCCCAGCAGGTACCTCGCCGCCGCCACTTCACGCGTCTTCAACGCGCCTACTAGCCGCCCCCACCGCGCCTGCAGCACCGCATGTGACGCCGCGAACTGTTCGTTGTTGAAGTGGTACCTGATGGTGATGATGGAATGCCAGGTTACATGTTTACGTATACCCTGCTTAATGACTGATAATACTTAGATACCAGAGGACTGAATTTTAAAACTATTGCCTTAATAAGTACTGTTGAATGTCTCAAACTTATCTCGCAGGAAAGTATTTGGATTCAACAGAGGGCTTAGTACAGGACCAATTCAGTATAGTTTTATCATCCTTTAACCCGGCTTCTTTAAGAGCGATGTTTAAGAAGCAGTCCTCGCGTTACAATGAAACAGAGCCGCAGCTCCTGGATGATGTATATTTTATAATTCATTCTTTCAAATGCAAATTCATTTTGTTAGTTTTTCTGAATATTGTGTGGGTAAAATTTAAAAGGTAGTAATTTTGTTATGCTCAAAACTTGTGCAGAGATTTTGGGTTACGGAATGCCGGTTTGTTCACCACCTGTCAACACTGTGGCGCGCCTGCCTAATGAAATTGCAACTTGCACTGTCCAAAAGCGTCATTGATGGAGCTAAATATTTACTTTGAAAGTTCTTTAACATTGACAATGCCTTTGCGTATGCATAAGAAAGCGAAGGCGGAGTCTGGCCTCTTGACATCATTTTTCGGTACCTGTACCTCATCTAACTTTAAATCTTGATGTCATGGCGTTGAACTATTCTTGGCATCTTTGTACTTCCAACTTGACATTTAATCCTTCATTTGGAACTACGTTTTTTTCGCATATGAAAGCACAGAATTTTTCAGAACGAAGTTGAGGGCGAATAATGAAACTACTTATGTTATGAACTCCATTGTATATTACCGGTCGCTAGACACTTGGACTCGTCGATACAGCTATGATAACGGTTATGACATCTACAAATGACGACCGCGACTTTGTAACATTTATGTGCGGCCAACATCCTTTTATGTACGGCCAACGGCCATTTATGTACGGCAGCACCAGCAGTGATTAAACTGCGAGATAATCCTAGCTGCTGACGCTGCACCGCTGCAGAACTGGATGTCTGTCTGCATGGATGCCGTCTCGGACTGGATGCCCAACAACCAGCTCCAGCTCAATACATCAAAAACTGATTTTATTTGGTTTGAGACTGCTCTGCGCCGGCATCAGCTTCCTACCAACCCTGTTCGCGTGGGCAACGAGTTCGTCATGCCTGCGTCTTCGGTTCGCAACCTCGGTATTCTACTGGACTCAGAACTTTCTATGAACAATCACATTGGAAAAGTCACCACCGCTTGTCGTGGCGCTCTACCACGAATACGTAGTGTCAGCCGCTCTCTCGAGGCCCTCGTGGTGGCGCTCGTTCTGACCAGATTGAAATATGGTAATGCCACACTATGTACTTCTGACCACGGCACTTGATAAACTGCAATCCGTAAGTAGCACTGCTGCGCGACTCGTGTGCATAGCAAAAATTCGACTATGTTATGTCAATATAGCGCGATCTTCACTGACAGCGCACGCATTCAGTTCAAGGTCGCTGCTCTGACGTTCCGATGCTTTCACAGTCATGCGCCTCCTATTATAAGCACAGCAGAATTGGAGCAGTGAGTTGTGAGTTCGAGACTGTAACAAGCTGCGAATGTTCTGCGGTGTTAAGAATCGGCAACAAGCCTACGGCCTAATAAACGCTGAAATCGCTATTCTATATATTCTATTCCATATCCGCTAACAATTCTACGTCCATGCGCAACTTGAGACATCATGCAAAAAGCGAGGCTACAGCTAAAAAACGACAACCATATATAATGCGGTCACTTAGAACAATACGACCGTCATTGCGGCAGAGAACCTTCGAGATTGTTAAGGTCGCGACATGGGAAGAGCCACTCAACGGGATCGCACTACGGATCAACGTTTCGTGGTAAAGGAGGAAGGTTAAAACAGCGATTGAAGACTTAATTTCTATGCGGTTCGAAAATCAAGAATAAGAGTGCTGTTTTCATAAGGATAAAATTGAAGTTCTACATTTATTCATTTGTATCGTGTCCGTAACAATTATGTTGTTCACCTTAAGATGTGCCTTAATTTTCCCAGTTTAATTTTAAAAGTAAAAGTGTTTCATTTTCTCCTTCATGTACTCCACTTTCCGTCATGAATTCCTGGAGTCTTGGCCTAAACGTGCCTTCTTGAACGTCTTGAGCCAGTTATGGTAAGAAATGAACAATAGTTCATTTACATTTTACAGCAATGGCTGTGCAGAGGGAATACTAAGTACGAAAGCGAAAAAATACAGAAGAATAAGCAATTAACAAGATATGTTTAATACAAATGCGCACTTATTTCGGAATAAATAAAGCGAGCTTCCAATTAGAAACTGCCTTATTGCATTCTAAGACAAGAAGACAATTGTGATTCGCTAAGCTCAATTCTTTGATTCCGTTTTGTTGTCATTGTCAGAATATTCTTTTAGACTTTAGAGACTTGCAGCCTCGTGCCTAGAAAACCTACATTAGTCAACTACAATGTCTGTACCTGAGGAATGGGTTCACGGCTAACCCTTTCGACATGCAGGCTGACGAATACTTTTGGCATTGATTACTAAATAATGACGGCCTTCTCAACTGCCCACTAGCTGTTTCTCATTTACCAACGCGCCCATTATATTTCTTTATGGCACGGGCACGAAGCTTCCGCCTTGTGAAGATGTCTCCTTCTCACTACACCTAAACTGTCAACTCAACGTTAAGAGCAGCATGGCGAATATCTCTGGGCTATGATAACTCGACAGCGATTATCAGGGATACTACAGAGAGCAACGATCTCGTAAACTATGCACTGACACGACCTCACCTCGAGAAGAACACGTTTGATTTTTTAATCTAAGATTAGAAAAATACAGCATTTGATCACTACTTCCCTTTGACCATTTGAATATTAAAATTACTTTTTCCCTTTGACGACTTGGAGCAAATTTCATTTCATGCCTGAGCATTCCGAGGAATTGGACAGAGCAAACGCACTCGTATACAAACAGGTCCATCGCAAACAAAACTTTTGATAAAAAATATCCTGTTGTGAAACCTCCAAGTCACCTTGCAGCTTTAAATTTTAAAATGACGTTTCTTCATTTTCATGCAAGTCGAAAAATAATATAAGTATATAATAAGCATAAACACGAGGGTTCATTTTTTGTAACGTAACACTGTTTGGAATTTATATCTACACGAGTGAAGTTAGGAGAATTTTAATGCTCAACACATTACATGAATTTAAGGGAAATTGACGTTTACAAAATAAAGTGCAAAAAAAGTCAGACGCATTTATTATCTATCTCGGTGTAATTATTCCTGCAATACTTCACGCGAGCTTGATTTAGACCGTTTTTGGAATGAAGGACACCAAAAATTCTCATTGTAAATATAATATTCAAGTCGACTGAACTTTGAAAAAAATCGAGGATCGATCCCTTAACACAAAAGAAATGAAATTGCCAATTATCAATTACTGCAAAACCGAATCAACGCCGCTCTTTTGCAATAACCATACGTTTTTGGCCTCTATAAATGTAGCTTCACATAAAGGGGATCGTTTGATTTCGATCTCATACCGAGACATCGTAATGACATCAAGCTTGTTGAGACGTCAATGCCAATACTTCTTTTTGAGTAACCTCGGCAGTTTTCCTTGTCTCTCTATTGCATCGAAACATTTCGGTGCCAATTTTGATTTCAGCTACATTTATAGGAGGATTTAATTCAATTTCAATTCGTAGGGAATAATGTACTGATAATAGCAGAAATATTCTGATCAACTGCATAGTATAATACAATGATACCAATTCCAATGATACGCTAGATAATTTATCATCAGTTCACGATAATGATTGATACGATCGTAAGGATAACATCTTGTTCGTTCTTTGCATTCTCCTCCAATGAAATCAACGTTTTTATTTAAAGCGAGTGAAATAATACTCTTAATGTTTGTACAACATCTCAATATAGTTGTAAAATTTCACGATACCTCATCTCCGCTTACACAATGGTACCACTGATACGATGAATATACTTCATAAATTTTCAGTCGAATATCCTAAAATACTTATATACTATCAAACACTGTCAGTCTCCTATAACATATAGAATTTACGTACATGAAACGTTTCTCTAACACAAGTTCAATGAAGAGATTTTGAGATACAATATTTTTACCAAATCACCCTCATATTACTCGATTATTAAACCAATCTGATCATTTTCTGCCTAGGTGATGTAAACAATAAATAAATAAAACATCATTAGGAACCGCAATAATGAATGCCGTGTACTCGCTGATCGCGCCTCGACATTCTCGTTAAGAAACTCATCAGCTTTAATTCGCTGAGCTTATAGTGTTTTCTGCTGACCAAGCGTTTGCAATCAAAAGAACTGAATTCGCAAGGATACATCGCTCACTAGCTGTGAGAACCGTGCAAGCAACATCTCCATACACTTGCTAAGCTTACAAAGTTTTAATTAATTAAATTGAATTGGTCTTAATTATAAAGAAGGTAAGACGTAATCTTGACAAAATTGCCTCGCAAGATATTGTTCTGCCCCAAGTGCAGAATTTATTATTAGAAATCGTGGTATAGGACACATAATTGCCCAAGTTTTACTGTTCGATATTTTTGCTCAATAGATAATTTTCACTACTGTATTTCCACATAATTGCGCTCAATATTGTCATGACTTATTTGTGCTTGTATTGTGACGAAGCAACCATAAGGCCATCGTTCTCAGATTTAGAACTTCTCATTCTTGTCATGATCTCTGATCACGATCCGACCGCTGGCAAAAAAGTCTCAGGTTTGAATTTTGACCCCTTCAACTCATCACTGATGTGATGGTTGTGTGACGATTGATGAACTCAAATATGATGATTATGTTCTTTCTTCACAACGAACTATCTACCGAGCTTCGAAAGCCGAATCTACTTCTACTTTCGGAGCCAAAATTTCACAGTCTACGTGGCAATCATTTCTTGACGTTCCGTCCTTCTTTCATCAATTAATGCACATCAGAACCTGAGGCTAAAGCGTTTTTTTTTTCGCGACTCCCTCTTGCTACTATTGATACCACCTAATCTCTCTAACAGATTCGACTTGTTGCAAGTAATAAAAAGAAATTCTAAAATTATTGAAATGTTTTTCCTGTGCTCACCTTAACCACTATTCAATACATCCCTTTGTTCGGCCCAGGCGGCATGCTTCAATGATCCTGCACGCGTTTATACAACATCGGTTGTTGATTTTGATACCCACTCATTTATTCACTGTATGGTCGGCATCTCTGTTTAAAAGTGACAAATTCGTTCCACTTATCGCTTAAAAATCTCATCATACTGGACATGAAAAGGCAATCAGTTCTTCCGTTTTATACCATAACATACAGCTAAATAATGTGCAAAAACACTTTTAAATAAAAAAAACACTCATTTAATTTAAGTTGCAATGACTCAAATAACCCATGGCCATGCAGGCAAATATTCTTGCAACTCTAAGTTTACTGCAAGTACTTCTTACAAATTTGAGTTACAGCTAGGGATGACTCGTTGGTTACATTGTACCGTAAGTCTCACGCCACTGAAATCATTTGGTCTCTTATACCGTTTGTAATAGTACTCGGGCCACAAACTCGTATTGGCTACTTACATTGGCTGGGCACCCATGCCTCCGACGTGGGTGTCCGCTGCAGCGTCGGCGATATCCTGCAGGGCCAGCAGGAGGCGCTTGGTAGGTACATTCGGATCGTGGTATGCGCGGTAGGCCTCTTCCAGCGTCATGCCACGGCGGTAGTCGAGTACCCTCTTTGTTTTTGCATTAGGTACCTCCTGGAGCGTAATAGAAACGTAACAACGTGTCATTAAATTTAATTATAATAAAATCCAGTAGAAAATTTACACGTAATTCCTAACGAAATACCCAGCAGTTAAACAGTAAATCAAGTACTTCTCAAAAGATGAAGATTATCGGTCCCAGATTAATGGAACTGCTCCGGGCCGATTTCATTTAATCTAGTTGAACTAGAAAACAATATTCTTTTATATGCATGACGGAGACCTGTTAGGCTTCTGCACCATGAAACATGCCGTTAGCAAGTGTACAAAGCAGTATACACTCAGACATTTGTGGTGTTAAGTAGATGTCGTTTTTGCTTGCATTCGGCCTTCCTGTTTTGCCTCCTCACCCGCCCCCTCAGTAAGACCACAATCAAACCTAAGATCGCTGGAGACTCTGCTGGCGAATTCATTGCCATGCGATTATTGCTGGGCTAGAGCGTAGAGGTATGCAGGCGTACTACTATTATTTTAAATTTATTTTAATTTAAACACGAAAATTTCATTCAAAGTCTGTTGTTGATACATAACAATCTATCTTGAAACCAAGCTGACTCACAGAAATAAAAGTATAAAATAACAACTTTTCCTGTGTTGTGACAGGTGAAATTTCCCTTCGCTAGAGGTAGTATCCTGTTAGTATCAAAGCTAAGTAAGCTTGAAACAATGCGCAACTAACAGGATTATGTAGCAATAAAAAATGAATAAAAGAAGAAAGAAATTGAAAAAATTTCAGAACAGAAGAAACAGTTTTTAGCTCAGCATCTCGGAAAATCCCACATAAAGAACGATACGCAATAAACTCCATGCCTATGATATCAAGTGCGTAAGACTTTTTCTGTAACAGACCAGAATCCAATAATTGGATTTGCATCAAGCATCGTTTAGTTGATTTGCATTAGTTCCAGACTTGTTAAAGACAATGATTTGCATAAAGCTTGTCCAAAATTATTGCCTAAGCGGATGAGCGCATAATGGAGCTTAAGACCATTACGTAGTCATTCCTTACAGAATAAAACGCTATTAATTCCATCCTAACTCGGAAGCATATAGTAGTGAAAATATAATAATCTGGGACTGTTTTTATCGTTGTGAGAACGCAACAGATTATAAAAGAAAGATTGATTTGAGTCATATACAAATAGACTGGAATTGCATCTTGGAATATTGACAATATTCAAAAGAGAAAATTCGATTTAACTGTGAAATTATTCACAACTGCATGAGTAATGATCTGTTGATCGCAGATCCACAAATTGCCCGTGGATTTATTTTATTACAAGGACATAGTCGATAAAGATCATGCAATCATAATAAAATAAGAATGCTCTTCCCCTCAATTAGTTCAATTACATCATCTATTTCTCAAAGAAGTAATTGGTAAGTATATAAGAACCTGGTTATATTTTATCTTTAAACTTATACGTCCAGGTAACGTTATGACGACGTAATGTCAACGCTAACATTTCCCTATTAATTATGCACATTAATCACAAATCTCAGGGGTTATAAAATCGAGAGAAAGTACAACCTTTAAGCGGCAGGGTTTAGCTGCAGGGCTTAGCGGCAGGGTTTAGCGGCAGGGTTTAGCTGCAGGGTTTAACTGCAGGGTTTAGCTGCAGGGTTTAGAGGCAGGGCTTGGCTGCAGGGTTTAACTGCAGGGTTTAGAGGCAGGGTTTAGCTGCAGGGTTTAACTGCAGGGTTTAGCGGCAGGGTTTAACTGCAGGGTTTAACTGCAGGGTTTAGAGGCAGGGCTTGGCTGCAGGGTTTAACTGCAGGGTTTAGAGGCAGGGTTTAGCTGCAGGGTTTAACTGCAGGGTTTAGCGGCAGGGTTTAACTGCAGGGTTTAACTGCAGGGTTTAGAGGCAGGGCTTGGCTGCAGGGTTTAACTGCAGGGTTTAGAGGCAGGGTTTAGCTGCAGGGTTTAACTGCAGGGTTTAGCGGCAGGGTTACTCACTTTGAAGTACTGGACCAGCGAACGTCGCACGCCCTCCTCCGTGATGGCCACGTGATCCCAGGCTGGGGTCCGGGGATCAAACTGGGGGCACGCGACCCCAAGCACATCCCCGTGCCCCTCCAGCAGCCCCGTCCTCCCCAAGAACCCCAATGGCGCCCCCCACCAGGGATATAATCACAAGAAGAACTTCCATCAACAAAGGGAATTCACGCTAGCGCAAATCAATTGTTCTGAGAAAGCGTTAATTTTTACTTAATGGTGTTCAAAATAATACTTCTTTGTAAATACAGCAACTTTAGCGTGTTTATGTGAAGCGCTATGAAGAGCTAAAATGAGAAAATTTACTCAAAATGGAGAAGGTTAATGGAAACATTTTCTCCTTTCCAGAGCCAGTAGACTGAATTTTCAGCTAATTTGCAGCAGCAGCAGCAGCCTGAATTTCATACATTACTGGAAATGCCGACAAATCCGTTCCAATTTCTCTTTTATAATGTTACTATTACAGGAATTTCAAGTATTACTTACATTCGTTGAATAAAACAATGAATTCATACGCGTATTCTTGACAATTCTTCCGGCTAAATTCATGGTTACTGTTTTACACTTCCAACGACGACTAATTCGTTTATAGGTCCTAATTAGTTACTGTATCTTTTTGAAACAATAATTTATAGGATCATCATCTCGAGAGTGAAGATGGATACAGCACCATCAATTGAACACAATTCGATTTTGGTGGCTAAATTTAAAAGATCGAGCGCCCCTTTAGAAACGAATAATTTCACGGTCATTTTTTATTCGGGGAATTACCAAGAATTTACGGCGCAAAAATTAAAAGTTGGCGCTGTTTAAAATTGAGCATGGCAAGAGAAGGAAATGAATCCGAGATATTACTAACGTCCAGTTTCTGGCAAACGATTCACGCGGAATAGGCTAGCGTCAAGGGTCTGCAATGAAATGCTGCTCCACTCAAATACACTCGAAAATAATGCATCAATACTAGAATAACTGGTTCAGTGTACGAGAATGAATTTCTTTGAAAGAACAGAAAGGCACAATCTTCCGATAAGCTTTGTGCGAGTGGCAGCGACCACGACCACTAGTCCACACTCCACGACGCTGACTGTGCAATATTCACGCGGTTACTAATACTAACACGTACGGATTCAATTTTAGCAAACCAAACACCTCGAAACTAATGGACAGCTACCAATCACAGACCTACACGAAAAGATCAAACTAACAGTAAACTTGCAATCGAGTTTGCTCCTGATCATCCTGATGAGAAGTAGTTTTCATTTCATTATTGTCGATGATGTCTGACCAAAATCTCGCCCTTATTGCAACTATAGGCATTTATTTGCCTATACTTACAAAATATTTGAGATAAGAACTTGACCTCAAAAGGACGCGTCAACTTCGTAGAAGCAGCTGCTAGTCAGTTTCCTTTTGCTATGTGACCGACCAAATACCAAAGATGAGCCCAATGGCGGGCGCTGTCCAACTTACGACTACAGTCACGGGATTAAGGAATTTCAGTGACCGAATCTGACAATTTCGCTACCCTCTAATCACGTATATAGATGATAGAACGGGAAATAAATTCATCAAGTTTGCTGAAGGTAACAAATCATGTCGGAAACTACCGTAAATCTTCAAACATCAGAAATGTAGTTGATCAGAGTAATTTAATGAACCTGTGTTAACTAAGAATATCTCGCCTGTTTATGGGTAAATGAAACGAGAAATAGAACAGAATTTTTTTAAACATGTGCTATTTGTGTACAAGCAACACAAATTTATGTGTCCCGAAATCTATTTATTGGAATTCAAATAGTTTCATTAAAGTCTCTGACTTTCAACGGAATCATGTGAATGCTTGAAATGAACAGTAATCCACGAGATTTCTGATGTCTTCTCAATTGCTCTTCCTTCTTTCCCCACACCGATACGTTGTCTAGCCCAGATTTTTTTCGGAAGAACATTCCAAATTGCATGAATCTATTAAATTACAGTCCTCAAAACTTTTCTATCTTACGCTAATCATTTTAGTATCGTAATTGTTCAAAGAACGTGCACTTCGTTCACTTCTGAAACGTGGGTTCCTGTCCAAGCTAGTGTTCAAGTACGTGAGATAAGACGAACATTTCTGCAGCCTGCTACCCGGTACACGCGGCCTTGCCCACGATCGCACGACGTGCCTCTTGCTTAGTTATCTCGAGCAGTTGCGACTGCGACGTGACACTTCCTGTTTGCAAGTTAATTTCGTGCTCCTCTCTAACGCCCCGCTTAGTTGGCTTCAATTTCATCCTTGCGGTTGTTTTCTTATGCCTGCAAGTTACTTACGCGATGTTATCCTTCTATTGAAACCATCACTGAAGTACCATTAGCAGATAGCCGTGCAAACGATGCAATTAACATAATAGGAGGTTGAATTTCATAGAGCGGATCAGGACTGGATTAACGGATATCGGACAGACGCGAATTGGTGGCAAGCGGCAGTGAAGGTTCGGTTGTGCACACTGTTTGTGATTAGTGCACGTTATCGTTCAGATTAATTAACAGACGACATTATTCGTAATTGTTTTATTAAGCTAATTCGTACGAGCTAATTCATCTGCTGAGGGCAATGAATTTGAACCAGCCTGATAATCTGCCTGCACCAACTGGTCATCAAAGCGCCGTTTCATGTCACGATACAAGTTTGAGTGGCTTAGACCAAACAATCGTTCACCGGTTGTCGGATTGAGGGTCGAACTCAATGCAAGATTACTAGGAAAATAACGTTTAAAGGCAAGAAATAGATCAGAAAATGTTGGGTTAGTAATGCACATTTACTCAAACATATTATTAAAGCATCCATAGGTCAATTGGCTAAAAGCACATACGCCCAATACGATTAACTATTACTGAAAGCCACAAGTTTGTACTTGCAAAAGATAAAAGCCAAAATGGCGCTCCACATGCAGTCACACATCCAGCATGACCGGCACAGGCTAAATGTGCCTAGTGTTGCTTCTATAAGGAAGACGATATGCGGGCACCTCGAGAAGTTAAGAAAACTTGTCGAAGGCTCGCTGATGGAAACACGATAAAAGTTGAAGAAATTATCGAATCTATTAACTGCTGTGGAAACGATGGTGCCATGCAGACGCCGGAGGTATTTAGTGTCGGGAACACAATACACGACCCAGACAACTCGCGAGTCCTCGTGAGAACTTCTCTCCACGAACATAAAGTCTCCTAAAGATTCAAAACTTTCGATTATAATAATAATCACGATACCAATTAGTATTGGAGAATAAACATGCGAATGGCAATAAGTTTGAGTGCCAAGCACGACATTTATGTATAAACGTACGTAATTTATGCGACTGTTTCATCCCACATATAAAAAACGTCAATGGCAGAGCTCCTTGTTAGCATAAAAATTTTTTTACATCGAAAATTTTCATTAGAATCTTTTTACATACAAATATATACATGCATTAATATAAATAAAACACAACACATCTAACAGCCTGAGAATGTAAAGCAGTCCAGACGTATTACATCCCAAAGCTTGCTTGAAATATTACAGATTTGTTCTTGTTACATTTTGTGCTTCCCTATTATTTAGAATCAGTCGTAAGGGCGAAAAGCAGGAGTATTAGAAATACAACTTTCAGATGCAACAATCTTTCTAAGGAAATAAGACGGAATTGATACTAAAATTAGTTTTCCGTAGTTTAAATTAATATTTTCGAATGAAGAACCGAAAATCAGAGAAATGCTGTGACACGACAGTAAAACTTATCCATTGTTTTGACTTCTAAGCAAATTCATCAGATAATAGAAAATTTTTGTCGCACAAAGAACAGAAATTGAACAACAGAGATTTGAGAGAATAGTATGGAGGTAAAGCAGCATTGTCGACGAAAACAACTCCGGCGCAGAGATTGTAAGTTTCAACGAAAGGGGCAGCCTTGGCTTACATAGGAATGAGGGGGCGGTGTGAAGAGAGCGACATGGTGGAGGGGGAACGAAGGATATGAAGACGAAGGTGACGGGGTTGACAAGAGTGATAAAGTGAAGAGAATGACGCGGGTGACGACAGTGACAAGAGGGAGGGGAGGGGCACATGGCAGGAATGACGGAATAGCGACACATGCGCGGCGTTGCAGGTAACCGCAGCTTCAGCTCGCCATCGCATCTTCACCGTCCTGGTAAGGCCCGCCCTCCAAACGCTCTGAAGGGAGAAACTTTCTTAGTCTTCAAGTGGGAAGCCAGTTTTAGCACGAGTGTTATAAGAGCAGAAGGGATAAAAATTTCATGGAATCAAGGAATCTGAAGATGAAGCAGGCAAATGTTTACTAGATATTCTAAATAACACAAATTCGTCACAGAATAAGATATTTAGCAACTAAAATATTTACAAATTCAGTTACAAATTTATCCCCATAAACAAGATTATTCTGTCATCTAAAACTAAATTCAGTTACATGCATAAATGATTGAGGAACTGCTGGCCTCATTGAACATTTTTTATTTTATCTTTGGCACACTTGCCAACACCTGACACTAGTTAGAGCCACACAATTTGACAAATTAAGCTGTTATGAATTAGTTGAAAACCATCAGCCAAGCGCGTTAGTGGCGTCACGCTAATTTTTTTTTTATCTCTTGCAATTCTTCAGAAATAATAGACATGCAGCACATAAAATTTGCCATCATCCTTAATTTCGGTCCAACGCATATTTAGTGTAACTATGATCTTCTCTTCCGTAACGCTGATCTTTTCTTCTGTCAATACAAGACTAATTGCAGCACAGCTATAACCGTTATATTAGGACCTTGTATCATTGAAATATATATTTATAACCGTTTTTCAGGCCATAGGTTCGCTTCGTTATTCTACTGTCGCATTACTGTCTGATGTGACTCACTCCCCCGTTTTGTAGGTAGGTCAACAGAGTGTTCACTACGTAGCGCAGGAAATTGGAAATTTAGCACGTGGTTCAATCCTTGCCAATAAGAGTATCTATGTCAGATTACCGCACTGACAGTGGATTTTAATACATGAAAATAAGATAGAAATTACTAACTGCTTCCACTATCCATGGGTGACGTGAGAGTTACTTTCTCGTGCATTTAGTACCAGCAAAAGCCACAAGAAAACTTCCATGCAGTTTATTGCTAAATATGCAAGCAGTTAGAAGCTCGCACCTGTCTGGTCGAGCATGACGGCGTCTTCCACCGCGGGAGGCGGCGGTGCCGGGAGAGAGGACGCCTGTACTAGCGTCGCCCCCTCACTGAGCAACGCGTGGCTGCCGCCAGCGATGTTGCAGCCGCCCCCGCCTGGCGGCGAGTTGAACGAGTAAACGAAGGACGGGGACGTGGGCACTTTTCTTCGCTTCTTAGTGACGTCGCTGAGGGGAGTGGGCAACCCCCAAGGGAAAGATGTGTTTGAAGCGCCTGCAGGATCACTGCAGGATATTGCTTCCTGGCTCAGCGCCTGCAGGAGTACACACATCAGTCAACTACGAGCAACAGAGAAGGAATAATGATCAATGAAAGGTAAGTCGTAGGCCAATCGAGTTACACTCAAACGGTTAAAATGAATTACAATCGAACAAAAGTATTAGTGGAAATAGAGTATTAATATTTATTTCCTGTTCGATCGTAAAAATTCGGTGCTAAACTTAGAACTATGATCAATAAAATACTTTGAAAGAAATTCAACTTCCATTTCATCATTCACATGATCAATTACACGTTCAGAAACGCAGCAAAATCTCCCATACAACAGCAACTGCAGGTTGGGCAAAAATTTCCCAAGACCGAAAAATCATAGCGGTCAATGATGGACAAAAATAATAAAATCAATGAACCTGGCAATTTTTGAGAAAAAATTTAATTACGCAGCACAATTGTTTATGTAGCCTAACGCAGTCAGAAAATAAGTGAGACACAAGCTCATTCTTTACCTAAAACTAAACCCAAGCGCTTTCCCACTCGTGCCGCGATTGATTGATCCAGCATATACTGAGGCAAATAAAATGCTGGGTTACAAAGTTAAAATTCCATAACTTCCACTCAAATTTAAGCTAGAAAACGGCGCGTAGGTTCCAAACAACACCATCCTTCAAGTTAGGAATGAAGGTTCTTCACTTATGTCAACGGCTCTAATGCAACAGCACCGGAGCAAGCTAATCAATTGCTAATTATTGTTGAGTGGACAGCAGGAGGGACTGACTTGTAGAGCTGGGGGTAGCTGGGACGGGGACTGCGAGCAGTGCACGAGGGACGAAAAGCTTTGGGACGCGGCGCCGCCCGCCGGCGAGGAGGCGGCAGAAAAAGACGTGTGTAGCGCCAGGCTTGGGAACGAGGATGGGCTCAGGCACTGCTGCTGCTGCTGCGTCGTGGTCGTGTTCCTGCGTTGAAAATAATATGGTTACGATTATGGTGGAGTGTCGTGATGCCGTTACGATTAGGGTGGAGTGTCGTGATGCCGTTACGATTAGGGTGGAGTGTCGTGATGCCGTTACGATTAGGGTGGAGTGTCGTGATGCCGTTACAATTAGGGTGGAGAGTCGTGATGCCGTTACAATCAAGAACGATACAGATTGTCAGTTGCCATGCTGACAATATCGGTGTGAGCATCACCTGTTGAGCTGGCAAGTGCATGGGTTCGCAGCAATAAATAAGCTTCCTTGGTACCGAAGCACGATTGGCTGTTGTGCTGTTATTTTTATTGACAATAATGCAATTTTATTAATTAATACACGCATCATAAACGTAAAACGGTAATCATGCAAAAGTGCTTTCAATTAATAACTTTTCGAAACGAACAATAATAAGTGTGCTGTTGCATGGAATCCTTTTACAAAGGGAAATCATATGGAAGAGGAAAAAGACTTATAAATCCGCCTGCGACAAACAAAGTTAATCAGGTAGGAGTTCATGGTCTGAAGAGCTCAACTCTCTGAAAACTTTATCAGCTAGTTCTGTTACTTAAGCGTCACACTTCAGTACACCGAGTATTTTTTGCGTACTCGAATTTATTTGAAGATTATGGCGGTTATATTTATTGAAATGGAAATTGTTTTACAGAGACGAAATCCGGTGAATGAGAGGAAAGCGTGTTAATGAGATAAGATGAGCGTGGCAATAAGAGAAGAAGAGTTGTCTGATGAGAGATGACTGGACTGATGATGAAAGTGCTGGTTAATAGCAGGAGAACATCGTGCTGATGAAAAGAGAGCTTTCTTATGAGAGGGAAAGAGCAGCTTTCTAAGATTAACAAGAGGAGAAGAACTCAATAAGTGAAGAACTCAAGAAGATCAAGTTGATAAGAAGAATTAATTTTTATAATGATTTAGAAATGGCGTGTTCATAGGAAGGGTTAATGTTTATAATAAGAGAAGAGAGTGTATTTAAGAAGAGACCTTATTCCTAACAAGAGAAGAATGCGCATATATATAAAAGAAGAGATATTAACTATAGTAAGAGAAGAGCGTGTATATTAAAGCATGACCTTGTCTTGGTGACGAAGCAGCTGTTGGCGGGGGCGGGGTGTTGCTGTGAGGCGTCCGGGGGCTCCTCTGCCACCCTCAGGTGGAGGCTGTAGAGCTGCGCCAGACGCTGCAGCTCGTCCTGCTCTGCTACAGACGACGGCTGCAGCTGCAGCTCTGATGCTTGTGGGTCCTGACAGACAAGGGCCATCAGCACGTGCGTGATACAGGCAGCATTGTCACGCACAACGCAGCACGCACAGCCCCACGCACCACGAGCACGCAGCGCCATGCAGCACGCACAGCCTCACGCAGCACGCACAGCCCCACACGCAGCACGCACAGCCTCACGCAGCACGCACAGCCTCACGCAGCACGCACAGCCNATATTTAATTGCTACATACTCCATATATTATAATTCTAAGATATTCACCAAATGGCGAGTGGATATATATTTAATTGCTACATACTCCATATATTATAATTCTAAGATATTCACCAAATGGCGAGTGGATATATATTTAATTGCTACATACTCCATATATTATAATTCTAAGATATTCACCAAATGGCGAGTGGATATATATTTAATTGCTACATACTCCATATATTATAATTCTAAGATATTCACCAAATGGCGAGTGGATATATATTTAATTGCTACATACTCCATATATTATAATTCTAAGATATTCACCAAATGGCGAGTGGATAAATATTTAATTGCTACATACTCCATATATTATAATTCTAAGATATTAACCACATGGCGAGTGGATAAATATTTAATTGCTACATAGTCAAAATATTACAATTCTAAGATAGGAATTCATCTAATTCTACCCACCTTAGCTGGGTGGTTTTGGAAGACTGCAGGTACTAAATACCGGTACTTATTACAATATAATAATAATAATATAATTCTTGTAGTTTAGTAGATATAAATAGCAGTGCAGCATTGGCATAAAGGCCAGATAACAACTACACAGCAAGAACACCGGCATCACAGCCATGACAGCATGTGAGTAATGCAATATCACGGCTTTGCAATCATGAACATCTGACACTCATAAGTACGAGATCGCACTTATTATCCAGACTTATCCAGACCATCTCCCGTGCTGTACGCGATAAAATGCGGGAGGTAATCACCCAGTGTTGAATAATCGTGCACCGCAGCATCACAATCTAATCATCACTTCATTCTTTTCCCAGCGCTTCTGTTGTCAGAGCTCACTTCATCCTGTGACTCACTTCATCCTATGACAACAGGACTCACTTCATCCAGTGACTGAGAGCCTCACGTATATACTGGAAGCTACTTCATGGTGGGAAAAAGATTTCGTCAGTCCTAGTAGTGCTGAGCTGAGTGAGCTCCGTCTAGAATGAGACACACGAGGTACCACTCACCAGTATGCGCTCCCTGATCTTCTGGAAGCGCAGACGAGAGCTGTAGAGCGTGCCGCCAGACCCCGCCTCGTCGCACGCCTACAACATCGCAGAGCCGTGAGTAGAGAACCTTTTGATGTCCTCACGCGAGATGTAAAAGCTTTTGTCACTAAACAATTGATTGCGAAGGTAATGCAAAACTAGAATACACTTAGAACCGCTGTGTAAAATTCCGAACAGGACGACAGCCCCAAAATCCTTCCACAACTGAACATGAAGCGCAATACTGCAGGACTCCTGGCAAGCGTCACCAGGCATATCCCACGAGAATGTTTGCCTGGCTCATATTATGATTCATGTTGTCTGGTACATTCGGAGTGATGATGAAGCTGTACAAATTTTTGAGCTAATATCGCATGGATCAATCAAAAGAAATATCAACTCGCAACAAAGAAGCATTCCCTCAAATTTTGCTTGGAGTTAAGGAAATAATCAATCTTTTTTGGCTAAATTGAATACAAATAAAAGGTGAAGTTCCACGGTAAGTAGCAGATAACACAAGTGATGCAACATCGATGAGTGCCTTAAAAGTGAACTCAATTGTTTACAGCTGTCTATTTCTTCACCAATGTTCGGCGACTGGGAAAGAAGACGACACTACACAAAGATTTTGTAAAAGTTGGGGCTGCGAAGGTTAGTTTCTTCGTTTTTTTTTCTGCCAGGGATCACCAACCTACAGCCCATGAAGGCGCCTCATGCGGCCCGCTCACTTCAGCCGGACGTAAGACGATATTATCTCCATGTTGCTACAAGATTATGTTTTCTTGTACAAAAGTGATGAACTATGGATGAAATTTACTCCATACCCAATGCAGAAAACGGAATTTCTGAAAGTAAAATTGTTCTTTTGACCACGACTCAAATAGAGAGATAGAAAACGGATAGAATTAATTCTACATATATTTAAAGTTTAATATAAAATTTCTCAAAAGCAAAAAAAAAGTGTATGAATCTTTGCACTAATAGAGTGCCGGGAGACTGTCAACCTCTATTTCTTAGGCGCAGGTTCTTTAAAGAAGCCGGTGGGAGTTGGGCGTCGTGTTGTGAGAGAAAAAAAACCTTCACTAATAGCACAAAACATTAGCGATGAAGCTACGCTACGGTACCTATATCACAGCGGCCATAACTCATAGTCGTATATATCTAGGATGCAGTGATATAATTAGAACGGGTAATTAGGAAGAAATTCAAAGCAAGGGCAGCCAGTGTGCCAGAAAAGGTTAGAACGAAAAACTAGATGGTACCAATCATCTAAAAAAAAAGAACATAGCAAGGAAAGCGATCCGGTCAGAAAGCCTCAGATAAACTGGCTCTTGAACCAAAATCGAGGAAGCATTATGCACCACTCATACAAAAACACATTGGCCAAGAAGATGAATTTTTCCGAGGCAGTGAATGACAATAATGAGGGAACGAAGATAGTAATAACACCTGGGAGGTTATTAAAGCATGGCACACGAACAGGAGCGAACTACAGGGATAATCTAACCATGGCAGTGGAGGGAGAAGGGACGCCGTACACGGGACCTGGCACCTCGGTGACCCAGTCGCTCTGCTCGTCGTCAGCCTCGCGGCCCTCGTCACACGTGAAGACCTCGCAGTGCACAGCGTCATTGCCATCAGCAGGCAGCTCCCCGCCGTCACTCTCGTCGCTGCTGATGCTGCAGTCACCACCTCCGCTGGTGCTGGTCCCTCCTACCAGCTCACTGCTGCGTAGTCTCCCGTTGCTGCCGTTACAGCAGCTGCGCACAGAGCTATACGGGTCAATTACAGCAATAATAACACAAGATAACTAGCTACTGAGCTTATCATTACATAACTGATGATAGGACCAAAATCTGAATCAGATTTTATTACTTCATTATGTGAAGGTTCAATTTATTTCATTACTAAGATTTAATTATTTCATTATGTGACGGCCAATAAAAATGTAGTATCCTGCAGCATATTGTCAACATCCAAGGTGCTTTGGTCTAAAGAACACTGTTTCAGTCTTTTGCGCGCTAACGGTCTTAGCAGAAAAAGGATGTAGAATTACCTAATGACCGAGACGTGCATTGTCTTCAGAGAGTCGTGTTATGACAGTTCTTATCGAGCTACAAAACAAGTTAAAAAGAACTTAATGGTATGACCCTACATTTTCGCTCCGACCCTTCACTCCCATTATGAAGACATTTGAAAATTAAGAATTTTCCATCTAGTTTAGATAAATTGCTTAGACAATTTTGCAGTTCATAACATATAATCAACCCAATGGCCAGGCCCCATTCAATCAGCTGTCAGTGGAAATCTATCAAGAGTCATTTCCATAACATCCATCGACTGCCTTTGCCAATATCTAACTTCCATATAGAGGCTCCATACCCACTCTATGCAACATTTTTGTGCATTTGAATTTTGCTGTAGCATAAAAAGAGGTCAAGGAATTGTAGCCGTGGTCGCAGAAAAAAGTGTGATAAGCTTGTGAAAGATGAGGTGAATATGCATTTCTTAATGAGGCGAAGATGCAATAAAACAAGAATGCTTTAGTGCCTCATACCGCGAGGACGCAAAGGACACCGAGGGCGTCCACGAGGAGAGCACGAGGTCGTCGCCCTCTCCACGCCCCTCACCACCACAGGCGCCATCACGACTTCGTTTACGCTTTCCTCCGCACAGAGCAGACCTGCAACAGCGCAGTAATTAAAATTATCACACAATAAGGGTCAACAACACGTCAGGCTCACAACTATCGGGCGGCGCAGCGCGTCTGCAGCACCCACCATCTGGCGGGGGCGTGCAGGGCTACGGCACCCACCATCTGGCGGGGGCGCAGGGCTTCGGCACTCACCATCTGGCGGGGGCGCAGGGCTACGGCACCCACCATCTGGCGGGGGCGTGCAGGGCTACGGCACCCACCATCTGGCGGGGGCGCAGGGCTACGGCACTCACCATCTGGCGGGGGCGCAGGGCTACGGCACTCACCATCTGGCGGGGGCGCAGGGCTTCGGCGCCCACCATCTGGCGGGGGCGTGCAGGACTACGGCACCCACCATCTGGCGGGGGCGTGCAGGACCTGTCTCTTATACACATCTAGATGTGTATAAGAGACAGGTGCAGGACTACGGCACCCACCATCTGGCGGGGGCGTGCAGGACTACGGCACCCACCATCTGGCGGGGGCGTGCAGGACTACGGCACCCACCATCTGGCGGGGGTGTGCAGGGTGTGCACTCTGTGCACCACGAGTGAGGAGCGCCAGCGCGCGCTGCGACACGAGCTGCTGTTCACCGCGTCGCCGGCCACGTCCAGGGCAAGTCTCTTGCACTTGGGCTTCCTCCTGAGAACACGAAAACTTTCAAACAGAATCCACAAAATATAAACAATTTTGAAAACAGTCACAAAATTCAGGGCTAGTCAAGAAACAAGATTGGCGAATATGAAACATTTAATTATTTGATGTGGTTATAAATGTAGAACGCTAGACATTCCCTTGATTAGTAACCTGTCAGTTTGCGGGATCAGTATTTTGGTGCTAGTCTGACTACTGCGCTGGACTATGATATTAGCGTCATGAATGCAACACTGCCGCAATGCTAGTCAAGTAGGAAGGACGAGTAACATGGCCACATGCCTCCGAGTTACGGATAATGGCTAATAAAGTCAGAGTGTTAAGTGGTGCTAGCAAATAAAATAATAAATACTCATGATGCAATACTGTTGATTTTGAAAGGAAACTTGCAAGTAAATGCTGCTCATTTGCGAGAACTAACAGTTTCAAAAATTAACCCAAATTGACTTCATTCAAATTTTAACAATAAATATTATAACTTCAAACTTGAGTGGCCTAACCACTACCAGCAATGTAAACATGTAAGAAAACTTCACTGAAAGGAAATTCAGAGCTTGGACGTGCGTAAAGATGCCATAGTCTCAAGGGTTGTTTGCTCACACTCTGGCAGAACACTGAGAACAGTTGAAAATAGTTATCTTTCTACGAAGGCCTCGTTAATATAAACTTATTGGTAAGATGGATAGTTAAAGAAGAGTAGTTTCAGTGCCAGTAAGGATGACATATATTGGATATAAATCATATTCTATAGTTAACACACCTCCAATTAGCAGGGTAGCCATCATGGTGAACACACCTCATGTTCGAGGGGCGAGAGGCAGGCGAGAAGTTCTCATTGACCGAGTCGCTTTCAACGAGGCCCGCTGCTGCTCGCGGCGGCCGCAGCGTCCGCGCGGGGCGGTAGCGCGGCACTCGAGCGCAACGGTTAACACCCTCGTCAGAGTCTGAGGGCGGGCATGCAACTTTATGCATTGTGCCAAATACGTGTACGAGGGTCATCCGGATTGTAGTACCTACCCGTTTGGGAATTGAACAAAAAGAAGTATATATTAACAAATGTAAACATGTTTATTGAAAAGAACATGTATTACTATTACACTACTTCTCTACATAATCTCCGGACAAATTTAAGCATTTGTCGTATCGTGTCACGAGTTTTTGTATAGGTACCATTGTCATGTTCCTCCGCCGCCAGTGTATTGAGATACGCAGTCACGTGTTCTTTCAGTTCTTCGTCATTTTGAAACTTTGTCCCTGCCATGAAGTAATTGAGTTTTGTAAACAGATGAAAATCTGAAGGAGCCAAGTCCGGACGGTAGGGCGGACGGTCGAAAATTTCCCACTTTAATTTTTCGAGAAGTTGTTGCTTTATCCAAGCCGTATGCGGCCTGGCATCATCATGCAGGAGAATGACGCCGGTAGACAACAGACCTTGCTATCGATCTTGAATTGCCCGCCGTAATTCTTTTAATGTTGCATAATATGCATGGCCATTGACTGTGTCTCTACGGATCATGAAATCGATGAGCAGTACACCTTGCCGATCCCAGAAACACTGGCGGTGGAGTAATATGACACTGGTATACAAAAACTTGTGACACAATGCAACAAATGCTTAAATTTGTCCAGAGATTATGTAGAGAAGTAGTGTAATACATGTTCTTTTCAATAAACATTTTTACATTTGTTAATATTTACTTCCTTTTGTTCAATTCCCAAACAGGTACTACTTTCCGGATGACCCTCGTACAATCAAATTTACAAATGATCTTAACAAACCATCCACAAAATGCAAGAACTTTCCAACTAAAAATAGATATGGAATGCCTGAGAAAAGAACATTGTCTGGGTGAACTTACAAAACTACTTGACCTAATTGAATGACAGCTAACACACAACAAATTTGATGACACTTTTCAACGGTAGTATTTTTAATAAGGTAGTGATTTAAATATCTTGAAATTCTTGACTAGGTATGCATCTGAGACTAAAAACGCCAAGCTGATGACAGACCAACAATAATCAACATTTCAAGTTAGGTATGATAGAAAGATGACTGATTACCAGTGAGATGCATTGAAGACTTGTTGTCTTGGGAGTTGGCACCACCCGTGTGGACAGCATCTTCAGCACTGCTTGAAGAATAGTCACTGAAGCAGCCATTGCCTGTTACATCATGACACATTTACATCACTACATAATGAAAATGTTATATCATACCTACATCATGAAAATGTGTCAGCAGTGATACATTTTCCCTCTCACAAATGAACACTTCAGAGGTTTTTAAAGGCATCAAATGTATAGAGAACAAGCTATGCACACTGTCAGATGATGACTGACAGTGAACCGAGACAGTGGAAGTGTAGTTATTTTAATCGTTATGTCAAGGCATTTAGGATTGGAACAGATTAAAAACACAGTTAAAAATGACATGACACTGGCAGAGACAAAAAACAAATCAGAAAAGAAAAGAAGATGAGAACCGTGGTTAATTGACAATCAAGTTGAATAGGTTTGTTCCTCATTTGCCCAGGTAGTCCTCTTACAATTCAATGTTTTAATGCCAATGCATTAGCCCACTCTAGGTGTAAGCAGCACTATTCTTGAAGGCAACTTTCAGGGATAAAAGACTTATTCATAATAAACTTACAAACACAGCCAGAATATTGAGACAAGCACCAGGAGTATCATCTTGACTGACAACTTGATGAAATTTCCAGGTCAACTTCTTACAATGAAATGTTTAGGGCATCTGTCTCCTAGGACGTCTCATTCATTACTACTTTGCCGCATTTATCCATGGTTAAGACAAGTCAATCCTAGCATCGACGTCATAAAATTGCTTCAATCCCAAATTCACTAAAAATTTGAGAGCAAAGACAACTCCAGACAAATTCACTGTATCTCTATTGGCAACATTTTGGAGTCCAGCTCCATCATCATAACACAGATACAATCAGAAGTTAATAGTCATGATTAAAAACGCACAGAATTTAAAACCTAAGAGATGCTTGAGAATAAGAAAGGTGTCTTTGATGTGTCTGTTATAGAATTTTCTATTCAGATTCAGTCTGTTATAGAATATTCTATTCAGATTCAGTCTGTTATAGAATATTCTATTCAGATAGGTACCTATGTTGATGACACCTTTCTTATTTTAAAGCATCCCTCTTTTGTTAACCTTTCCTTTGATTACCTAATTTTGCAATATAATTTTATTAAATTTAACATGGAAATTGAATCTAACAATAGTTTGTCCTTTCTCAACTGCAATTTTACTATATCTAATGGCCATTTTCAGACTAATCTTTTCCAAAAATCAACTTTCACCAACCTAAGCACTAGTTTTTTTGGCTACTGTTTTTTTCAATTCAAGTCGAACGGGCTTCAAACACTATTACACCTTGGCTTTAGTATTTGTTCTACATTCCTTGCCATGTACACTGAATTTGAATTTGCCCACATCTTCTCACTTAATGGATTTCTTTCTACCTTAGTGTTAACCCAAATTAAAAAATTCATGTGCAAGCAATACTGAGTTTGTTAGAGAGCCTGATCATATGAACATTATTGATTCTTATATCCCATACATTGGTCATGCATCCAAAGCTATGTCAAGAAAATTTGAAAATTTGTTTATGAAATACTTTTCAAACATGAATCTTCATATTTTATTAGAGATCAATTTTAAAATGTGTTCTTTCTTAGGTACAATAACAGCCTCCCTTTATATATGCAATTGTCATTGGTTTTTAAATATAGTCGTGCACAATGTGCATCTGTATATGACAGGATGACGTCACACAATCTTTATTTAGAGCCACAGAGCATAGAGGAAGTACTTGTAGGACTGGGCAGTTACTATTGCGCCCTCCTCATTTGGCTGTGCGGACTCACGCTGAACAGTGCAATGTTCCAGTGTCCAAGTGACTTCAAGGTTTGCATATTTTAGAATAATTGTACATTTTCAAAGAAAGGCTTAGTTTAATGCAGCCTTTAGCTCTTATCCACTAGAAATCCCCACTTTAGGTGGGTTTTTTCTTCAATTATGGAGTATCCACTGTATTATTATGAATATGACATAGTGAATAGATAGTTTTTTCTGTTTTATTTTATTTTCTTACTCTGTCTTATGTTCATAAATTTAGATATTAAATCCTGTGTTTTTTTTCATTGCTTCTGACTGTATTAATTTTTGATAGTAGCGGGGTTCTAGATTTTTTCAAACTGTTGATAGAGCTGGATTACAAAAAATTTTCAATAGAGATCTGGTAAATTCATTTGTAGTTTTTTTTTAATTTGTAGTAAAGTAGATTGATAAATATACTGTACATATTATACAAGCAAGTAAGTTGAGACAAACTATTCAGACATATTTCTTGAAGGAAATATCACACAACTGACATAGACAAAAGAAACTTGAATTGAATGCTGACAAGTTGTCTTACCTTTGGACTGATTTGCTCTTCTCCGAAAGGGTCGTCTTTTACGCTGCAACGTATGTGACTCATCCAGAGCATGGCTGAGGTCAGATACCAGAGCATCCATTTGACAGCCCCATGAAGAGGAGTGACTTCCACCACCAGCAGCAGCTGCAGCAACAGCAGCAGAGGCACCTCCATAACAGGTCAAATTAACTACACCAGGAACAAGGCTACTTGTGTTAGTTCCTAAAATATTCCTGTTAGAATGGTTACCATTAGCAGTAGCCATTGTGAATGAGAACTTTGCCAGAGTTTAATGGTCAATTCAATGTATAAAGGTTACTATTTCCATTAACCATTGATTTTACATTAATCTAAAAGGCCGTTATATTTCAGTTGAACTGTTTTTTAACCTAGAAGGCCAAGGCATGAATATCATCAATGTACAATTAGGATCTTACAATTACAATTTTGACTGTAACACTTTCACACTTTGAATTTAGAGACACAATTCCATCAAACAAGGCCATAAGTGATGGGTGGGGTAAATAGGGATAGTCCTCAGTCATGGCGTGAAAATGTTATAGCAGCACATCTAATTGAATATTCAAAACTAAAAATAGTGGCATAAGCTTCAACATTTCTCCTATCTACCTATGCAACATGTAGTTAAGAAATCATACATTTACTAGCTCAAAAAAATCTCTGAAAAAAGTTTTATAAGTGATAGCTATTTTGATAAAATACTTCTGCTAAGGTCAGTAGTAAAAAATATTTGCCATATGGTAAACGTGCCATATTCCGACATTGTGGGTAATACCGATACTTCTCAACTTTTTCCTTTATATTAAGCTTTGTCTTAGTTCCACACATGCGTAGATGGTTGAAAATTTGAAATAGTGATGTCATACTATTGCACACCAGATTTCTGCTAAACACTAGGCCTGGCGGGAAAATGTTAAGATCCGCAGAGCGAAAGTCCATGTCACCCAGTTCTTCTTCTTCTTTGCAGGGTGTCCACTGGGAGTGGACTTAAAGCCACAGGTCTGCCAGATGGATGACCATTGGGCCTGAGAGCCTATAGCTTGTGGTTTTCAGCTTCTTTGTATATGAAATCAATTGCTGCCGTCTTGTGAGGTTGGCTGATGTAAGCTCAGTACAGGATTGGGTAGAAGTTTACAGGGAACATATATTAGTAAATGAAATGAGTTACTGCTAATGTAATTTAGATAAGTAACGGCTGCTAATATAACAACCTTCATTAAACAAAAAACAAAATAATAATAATAATAGAAATATATACATAATTATAATAATATTGAAAAAAACCTAGATGATCTACTTGCTAAATTGAAACATATATCAGCAGTTGCTATGCATTAGCAATTCTATCATGCTTGCATATATACAGCATTGCAAGGCACTCATCTAAAGATCACTTAGCCTACCTGACTTTAAAATAAATACATTGAAAAATTGAGAGATTTTCTGTGATACCTTATCACTAAAGTTACCTCCCCCCAGGAGATTACAAAGGTTAAGTTCCACATTGATGCTTCTCAAGTTACTTAGTAGCTCCTGTCTTGGTAGCACATGACGCTGACAGTCCAGATGAAAGTGAACAATTGTGTCTGTTGTGTTGCAGGTGGCGCACTGATCAGAATCACTCATTTTAAACCTGTACAGATAGCTCCTGACACCTGCATGCCCAATTCTAATTCTTGCAGATGCACATTCTAGCTTGCAAGACTTCAGACCAAGCCAAGGGCGAAGTCGCGGTTCCACCATATTGTTACTCAAAAAAGCTCCTTTCTGAGTCTGAGCAACAGTCATTTTCCAGTTCCTAGTCCAGCACTTGTGTAGTTTCTCCCTCAGGACAGTAAGTGTCTCCTCTATGCTTAGGGTGCTCATAGCAGAAAATGCATTTTGGTGGCCCATGTTAGCTGCCCGGTCTGCAATCTCATTGCCTTCCACCCCTGAGTGGCCTCTCAACCATTGCAGTACAGTTAGGGCTTGCCTTTCTAGTACAGCGTCTTGGATTTTGTAGACGTACTCCTTGTACAAGGGGTTGACGGTGTTTCTGATGACTTGCAGGGCCGACTGGGAGTTGGTCAACAGTAGGATGTCCTGCGTTCTTAGTCTTGGGTCCAGACAACAAATATGCAGAGCCTTCAGTATTGCAAAGAGCTCTGCACCAAGAACCATGTGTGTTGGGTTCAACTTCCATGTAGTGGTGACTTGTAGACTTGGTGCATACATAGCTGCAGCTGTGGAACCATCGCTGAGTTTGGATCCATCAGTACACACATGCACATGGGAAGGAGAGTTGGTGTGGCAGAACTCCTTGATTATCCCCCTATTGATGCCAGGGGGGGCATCACGGCTACATGTGCTTTGGGTGGAGAGTTGGATATGAGGTTCAAAATTGTAATAAGGTGGAACAGGTGAAATGTTGGGCATTGGGATTCTTTTAAAGCTTGGCATGGCCAAGTCAGATAGGAGACTTCTGCCTATTGTAGAGAAGAAGCTTGAGCCAAAGTTGCACACAGAGACACCAGTCTCATGGCCAATTTCTTGTCTTTATTGGCTTTTAGGGCAGCACAGGGTTTTCAGGTACCATTTTAGGAAAAGGTAGTCAAACCTGATCTCTAAGGGAGGTATATGGGCTTCAATCTCCAGTGATGTAATGGGAGATGTGTAACGGGCACCAAGGATAATTTCAAGTGCACTGGACTGTATTACTCTAAGTTTCTGAGTATTTTGCAGAAATGTCACCAAGTTTGAATAGAATGCTGCCATACTCAAGTTTGCTGCGAATAAAGCTAATGTATACTTGCCTGAGCAGACATCTGGAAGCACCCCAGCTGATGCCAGAGAGTGCCCGAAGTGGTGCCAGTCTGCGGAGCCCATCATTCTTTAGATGAGAAATGTGTGAATGAAATTTAAGTTTTGGGGCATCAAAAAGGACACCCAAAACCCTTTGCACAGGTACGCTTCCAATTGGTTGATCTGTGACAAGCACATTGACTGGAGGTATGTTACGTCTACGCGTGAAGAGTTGGAGTGAGGACTTTAGTGGGTTGATGGTGAACTGCCACTTCTCAAGCCACTTGCCCAGCAAGTTGAGATATGATTGCATCAACTCCTCAGCAGCCGCCACAGAGCTAGAGACAACAGCCAAAGTTATTATCATCGGCATACAAGAGGACCTTTACTTGAGGAATTCTTGGTAGGTAGGTCACTTAGCATTATATTGAAAAGAGTTGGGGATAGTACAGCACCCTGGGGGAGCCCTCTGCCTAGGTACTGGCTCCTAGAGTTGCTGTTGCCTATCTGCACTGAGGTGGTCCTTTCTTTTAGATAATGATATGTCCACTTGATCAGTTGCGAGTCCAGTTGCATATTAATCATCTTGCACAGAAGTCCATGATGCCATACACAGTCAAAAGTAGTAGTAGTAGTATGATGGTTTGCTAGTGCTTCAGCTATCAAGCTATTTCGCACCAAAGGTCAAAATGTAACATTGCCAGCAAGGCGGAAGGTCTCAATTATTACAAATCTCAAATGAATCATCACCCACAAGGGGCGGAAGGTCTCAATTGTCCAGCCCGCTGAAGCTGGCTTGAAGGAAGCAGTGTTAGCATCTCAAAGAGACGAAGTGACAAGGAGGGACAGGTGAAAAGCAACAGAAACGAAGACACTCGAACAAGAAGTTGCTGACACGGGATGTCGGCCGCCCGCACAAGAGACAGAGAAGGGAAATGTAAGCAATCCTACCTACATAATAACTTAGCCCCACAACTGAGACCTGCAGTCAGACACCGCAAGCTCAGCGGTGGGGCGCTCAGGAACAATCCCCCTAGGAATGCGAAATCCCATAGGACTTCTGATGCATCAGAAGTCCCCCCTGAGGGGATACACAGTCAAAAGCCTCCTGAATGTCCAGATAGACCACCAAAGCATAACTGCCATCCTTAGCTGCTTGTCTAATAGTCTGAGTCAGTGTGGCCAGAAGGTCAATGGTGCTCCTGCCATGACGATATCTAGTTTGAGTGGGAGGTAATGCATGGTTGACCTCAATGTGATATTCAATTCTTTTTTGAATAATTCTTTCCATTAGTTTGCCAATACAGGACAGCAAGGTTATGGGCTTATAGGACTTGACTTCTGTTGGATCTTTCCCAGGCTTTAGTATTGGGCATATGACCCCTTGCTTCCAAGCCATTGGGACTGTTCCACCTAAGAAGCTGGTATTATATAGGTTGAGGAGCTCCATCTTTATGTGATCCAGGCTCTTGGTAAGGAAGACACTAGCAATGAGATCACTTCCAGTTCCAGGTGATATGTTTTTTGGCATTTGCATGCACTTTTGGAGCTCATGAATACTTATTTCAGGGCATTGTGGCTTCATATTTTGTGCCACAAAACTCTCAACTCTGTCTATCACCTCCTGGTCTTTTTCCTGGTCTCTGGATGGGACCATGTTGCCAGTGAAGTGTTTGAGAAAAAGGTCAGCAATTTTATGATTTGGCGTGTTGTGGTTACCTATTGGGAAATTCCTTGCACATTGTTTCCCACCAATGCTTTTTATTGTGCACCAAACCTTAGAAGTGGTTGTGGTGCTGCTAAGTGACTCAGTAAACTTGATCCAGTTTTAATTTTCCTTTTTAGTGCCAGGTGTTTTGCTACTGCAACACATCTTTTGTAGTTAATCAGATTAGAGGGGGTTGGATGGCTCCAGAGTTTGTTTTTTGCCTTTTTTTTGTTTTCTGCAGCATCTTTGCACTCTTGATCCCACCATGGAGTAGTTTGTTTACATTGTGTGATGCCAGATGTTTTTGTGATGCATTCTTTTGCTATTTCAGTGATTTTTTGGGTGATAGTGATTGTGGGTGTCAACATCAAGAGAAAAGTACATGTCAGTCAATGGTTCATTGTTTTGCTGGAACAGGGTAGTCCATTTGTTCCAGTTGGCTAGTTTTAAGGCCCAGTTTTTTCAAGGTCCAATGCTCCGCTTAGCGCACCCAAAGCCAAATGTTGCCTCAATGGGGAAGTGATCACTGCCCATGTCACCACCCCGCTGCAGCTCTCCGAGGACACCCAAGTTATGAGTTGCCATGCATAGGTCAAGACATGAAGCTGAACCGGTGCGGTTATCTATGTAGGTTGGGGTTGGGCTGTCCGAGTCATTAAGCAGTATAAGATTACGAGTTTCTATTAGCTTCTCTATGCTCTGGCCAGTGTGGTTGTGCCTGTTTCGGGGGTCCCACAGAGGTGAGTGTCCATTCAGATCACCAATGAGAATAAAACTATTTCCAAGTTGGTCAGTGTAATGCTTAAGTTTTTCTATTGAGATATTTTTGCATGGGTTATATGTATTAAAAATGCTAATACTGCAGTAGTTGGTGTATATTTCAATGGATTGATACTCTAGGAAGCCAGCTGGGAATGGGATCACCTATTTTTGTTTAAAAGCAACATCCTCCCTCACCAAAATTCCCA